CTTTGCCCCTTCTCACAGATCTCTGTTGATCTGATCACTAACTTGCCTGAATCAGGCAGTTTTGATTCAATAATGGTCATAGTAGACCATGGCCTTATGAAGGGGGTAATTCTCTCACCATGCAAGAAAACCATCATGTCAGAAAGAGTCACTTAACTTTTCTTCAAGAATGTCTTTCTTAGATTTGGACTCTATGACAAGATTATCTCTGATAGAGGACCCCAATTCACCTCTAAATTTGCCAAAGAACTTGGAAGACTCCTTGACTATGAAGTTGCCCTTTCTACCACCTATCATCTGCAAACTGATGGACAGACTGAACATCTGAATCAGGAACTTGAAACCTATCTTCAAATCTATTGCTGCTCCACTCCTCTTGACTGGGTAGATTAGATTTAAAGCACCAACATTAGATTGTGGAAGACTGGAAGAAGGTAATTTGGTCAGATGAGATAAAACCAAATAGAATGGGATCAGATGGTCAGGAATATGTGTCAAAAAGGGCAGGGGAATTATTAGGGGAAAGAGAAGTTAAGAGTATACTAAAGTTTGGAAGATGAAGCATGATGGCAGGGGTTGTATGAGATGGAATAGTGTAGGGATTCTTTGTGAAGTGGAAGGAGGGATAAATGTAGAGCAGTAAATCTCCATTCTAGAGGAGTGTCTTCTCAGGAGCATGCAGAAGTCAGGAATTGATGAAGAAGACATTATCTTCCAATTGGATAATGACTCCAAGCATACCTCAAAGCTAGCTACAAAATAGTTTAAAGCCCATGATATCAATGTTTTATCATGGCCAGCATAACTATAGCAATAGTAGACTTGCTTGGACCAGTTTTGAAAGCAACTTGCCTCATAGATAAACTAGAGGAGCAGAGAATAAGGATATTATCCTTTTGAGCAGAGGAGATGGGCTTCATGATGATTATGTTAAAGTTCATGATGTTATATGGGTTTACATATGTAAATAATATTAAAATCAGACCAAATGTTTATTATTGCACCACTTCCATTAAGAATATTATGTGTGGATGGTCTGATTTTGTGATTTGGATGTAAAGTCAAAAAAGTGTCCAAATGAGTCATGTGATTAGAATTACCATATCCTGCCCATATATGATCTAATTCCCATGATATATATCTCAAGTTATAGCTATGATATCATGCCTTTAGACATGTCCCTATGCCTTTGTATTACACTCAGGTGCTGGCTTGCTATTATCCAATTACTTCAAAATGCATAAACATTTGGACACTTTTTTGAGCCACTGTATAAAGACCACCTTCAACTCTCTCATCTCTTTACCTAGAAACCAGATCCAAGACATGCCTTCTTCACACTCTTCAAACTCTTCCCTTGAATTTCACCACTCTCAGCTTGAATTTCATCACAAATGAGCTCTTATTGAATCAACCCTTTCTTCTCTTCCTTGCATTTTACCTTTAGGGCCCATTTGGCAACCACTCATTTCATTTGTTTGGGTTCATTTCATTTTGAAACAGATGGACATTGAAGTGAAACTGATGCTCCCACGGGTGTCACACACTGTCACACATGTAGATAATCAATGATAACCATCAGTTTACTGCTTGAGCTCTACAACTACTACTAGTATGACTTCATCACAGAAGAGAAAGGCCCTCAAAGCCTCTCTTAAGGCAACCCACACCCGCAGAAAGAGAGCTGCAGTGCTAGCTGCTGCAGTGGCAGTGGCCACCTTGCCCTATTTTGACAAAATTCCCCAGCATGACTCTATCTTGACAGGCCATTCATGGGTCCAGGAGCTCTTATCAGGACATCCCTGTCACTTCCATAATATGATGGGCCTTTCCAAGCCAGTATTTCGCCAATTACTCCATAAACTCGGTCAATATGCAGACCTTGCACATTCAAGATGTATCTCTTCTGAAGAACAGCTTGCCATTTTTCTTCAAATTTGCCGTACTGGGAGTACAAATTGGGACATGCAAGAATGGTTCCAGCACAGTGCAGATATTATTTCACAAGTTTCCATCAGCAAAGGTCTTGAGAGAGTCAAGGAGTGTTGCATTATCTCCCAATAGCCACTTTGCATTCCATGGAATCTTCCTGGTACTGACAGCCTGATCTTGAGGTTCCTGCAGTGAATTGATGTTCTCCTTGGTATCTGACAAGAGAGAGATTGCCATGGTAGTAGACTGGTAGTAGTTGACAGAGTAGGGACAGTGGGATATTTGATTAACTAGAGCGAGCAAATGAGTACTGGTGTGACACTGCATTATGCAGTGTGACAGATATCTAGCAAAATAAACACATTGCCAAACACATTTTTCTGTTTCAAATGAAAATGGATGCAAATGGATGAAAACAAATGAAACAGACACAAATGAACAGTTGCCAAATGAGCCCTTAGACCATTTCTTTTCTGAAGACATTGTTTCCCTGTCCTTGATGACCATCCATTGCAGTGCAGACCTAGCATCTAGCTATGCTCACACCATTGGAGTCCCTGCTGAGGAAATCACCAAGTACTCTATCATTTATCATATGACCAAGATCAAGTCCCTCATCACTGAAAGACTGCTAGACAGAGGGTTTGAGCAAGCACTCACCCCATCTATGATCTCCTAAATCACTAAACTAGACCACTCTGTATCTGCTGAACCTCTTCATTTCTCCACCCAAGAAGTTCCTAGATCTTTATTAGAATCCTCTGATGATGATACCCTTATCCCTGCTCCTTCAACTTCTCAGCTCATAGTACACTCTGCAGGAAACCCTCATCATGCTTGTGGCAAGAAAAGAAAAACTGTAGCCTTTGGAATAGGCCTCTCACACCCTATCACACCATTTCCTGCTTCACCTTTTATCATTGATGAAGACAAACCCATATCATCCTCTGACTCCCATGCCCCATCTGAAGAAACCTTTCAAGACAGAAATGATGTAGATTATTCCACCATCATTTGTCACTACTGCCAACAAGAAGGCCATCATCAGATCCATTGTCCTCCCTACTTTTGTCAAGAATATCATCACCACACTCCAAAACATTTCATTGCTTACTGCCCTACTCTTAAGGGATGACACATTATCATAGCCAGACCAGGCTCTTGGGCCTTCCACCATCAACTAAAGATCTATGAGGACAGGAAGGACATTGAGCAAGAAGAGCATAAGAAGTAATTTGCTAGGGATGCTGACTTCAACCCAAGCAACTACCACTCTCTTAGTGATTAAAGTTGGTGACTCTAGACATTAACCAGGGGGTAATGTAGCAATCACCCTATTCTTTTCTCACCATTACTGTGGATGCCCTATGGCTGTACTTCTAACACTTCCTTTTCATCTTGTTGTTCCCTCATGTTGCTTTCTTATCTCTGACTCATACTACATTTTCCCATGAACCTTCCTTTCCTAGCAGTTGTCACCCTTTGCCCAGCTTGGTCTGTGCACAATTCCTTTATGTATATAAACCCTAGTTATCACATGTATTTTTCTCTAACTTGAATCTACTCAGTTCTCTCTTATACCTGAACTCTAGCTCCTTGGGAAGGAGCCTAGTCTGTGTCCCATTTGAACTCTAGATCCTGTGGGAGTCTAGACAATTGCTCCTGAGGAAGGCATTGACCCAATAAGGTTCTACCCTTAGTTGGTCCCAATCTTTGATTCCTTTATTGGAACGATTCTATCTGAGTTCATAACAGACAAAGCATATAAGAATTTCTTGCACAGTGGTGCTAACAGTGTCCAGGAGGTTCATGGTTTAAATTATTCTTTTTCATATATTAATAGTTAGATTTGCAGAAATCAATGTGTTCAAGTCACAATGCCATAAACATGGCTGATACAAAATCTAACCATGGACTTACTACAACTAGTTTAGGTACTGTTGACTGTGCCCATCACAACATAAAACCACCCAATGCTGTTGAAGATCTTCAGAATGTTACAGTCACATGTAACATACAAGTACTCCCACTTCATTTTCCCTTTGTTCATTATGCCTCAGATACCAAATGCATCCTGACAATACCCATGATGCCTCCCATTACTCATCACTAGATGATAATGATCTTTGCTACTGCAAGGATGCTCCTAGCAGCTCACCTTCCTCTTTAGGATGATTGCCTATTTCCACTTATGGATGATCAGCCTGATCTACTACATTAGCATGATGCTCCTCCAGTCATTATGAAGCCATTCCTTCATCATCATCATCTATCCCATCTGACCAGTACCTATCATCTCATGGTTGATCCCATCTCTACTGATACCACCTTATGACCTAGATTCCCTCTGCCCTATTCTGTTCCTATCATATCTATTTTCTTTCTTTCAATCCACCAATCAACATGACGGTTGTATCACTTTGTTGGCTTGTCCAATGACTTGCGTCCCCTATGCCCTTACCACTCAACTGGTCACTCTTACATACTATAGCATTTTGACTCCTTCTCTGATGTTCCATCTTATTTCAGCATATTCTGCTACCCTTCCTGCTAATACAGTGACCCTGCCCTTCACTCACTTCCAATTTACTATATATACCTGTTAGATAGCACTTGTATTCTCTAACTTGAATCCACTTGGTTCTATGTTGTTATTCCATTGAGATCCTAAGCAAGCCTCTTTTCTTTATTAAGTACTTCATTGGAGCTCATTGCTGCCAACATCCTAGCCTTGGAAAGAGTATGATTAATGACTCACTAAATAATTGCTGCAAGCCTTGATGGCTTGAATAATTGCTGTGAACTTATACCTATGAACACTTGCTGGTTATAGCAGGCATGGTGTGAGCCCTAATCCAAGTTCTACATTACTCACTTACTTCATTTGCTTGTTGCACACTTAGCTTGATCATAACACAAAAGGGTGAAAGGTAAATTGTCTTCTGCATCTAGCAGTTGGTGATCTAATGCATGCATGTAGATATATTAATATAGACTACTTGTTTTTCTCAGCACTTTGTCATACTGTACATGACACTCTCAATGTATCCTACAATATTGCATGCTAGTGGCACAAAAAATTATGGCACTGCATAAGTGCTTTTCTGATTTCAATGCATCTTTCACATGCCATCAAGACAATCTCATTTTTCATGCTGAAGTTCCACCTGCCCACTCATATTGAGCAGTGCCAAACATCATTTTCATTCAATTACAAGAATAGGGTAGGCAGGACTGATGGAGAAGCACCAGAATTTGGCTGGGCCAATATCAACCCTGTTGCTTTGAGCACCAAAGAAATAGGACCTTGTGCATGGTGAGACACTCTTGATGACTACTTCAGAGACTTAAATTGGAAAAAGGTTGTTGGATTTTGTGCATTGATTTTGATGGAAAAAAATGGTAACTTAGATATTTCAGGTTGTACTATGCTTCACAAGATAAATAATACATTACCAAAGTGTGAGAACCATCATGAAGCATTCAAGAACCTTAATGATGGTTTGCAAGGTGAATATAGTACCACCCTCATATATTTGTGTTGTGACTCAGGATGTAAATGTGACATTAATAGTATATTTACTGACCAGGATGTGCCCCTGCTACCTTGTACAGATGCCTCACCAACTGACTGGATACCTTATAATGATAGGGTTAAATTCAAGACTGCAGAATTCCTATTTACATACAACCAGATGTCTGCCAAACAAATTGACAAACTACTTAACTTATGGGCCATGACTCTGATAAAATATAATGACACTCCCTCTTTTGCTAATCACAAGGACATGTACACTACCATTGATGTGATGTCACTTGGCAATATCCTCTAGAAGACATTCTCAATGTGTTTCAATGGAATTAAACCTGAATGAAATATGCCACCATAGATAAACATACAGTAGGATGTATGGTATAGAGATCTGCTGCAAATTGTGTACAATATGCTTACAAACCTGCCTTCAATGAAGGCATTGAATACTCACTGCATGATAGTTATATCAGTGATAACAAACAATACTGGAAAAACTTTATGTCAGGTGACTGGGCATGGAATCAGGTGATATATTTTCAAATATTCATGTTTGGAGTATACTGACAATCATCTCAAGGACCTTATTGCTACAAACCAAGAGACTTATGGCTCAACATTTGTGCCATTGATTATTGGCAGTGACAAAACAGTTGTATCCTTTCCTAGAGGCCAAACAAAATACCACCTGCTGTATCTTTCCATCAGCAACACTCACAATAGTATATAATGCACACATCACAAAAATATTATACTATTGATGCTCTCTGGCATTGTACAGAACTGATGTCCATGGTATGATTATTTTTTCTTTGATTTCTCAACAACTCATTTTTATAGGTGTCTGGCAAATAGCAAGGCATTTTGGCTGGTACTACTTGGCCAAACATAGCTCCATCAGAACTGTCCAAACACATATCTCCACCTCTCATGTAATGTTCTCATTGATGCCCATGCAGTACCAGTCCCATGCAGTAACAACCATTGCAGGCATCCCCTGCTTGGTCTGATATTATGGTTCTAAGTCAATGTTACTTTTTTCTGTGTGTTTTTTCATCTCCTCAACACCAACATCATTATCTGTGGATAGCCTGTTCCTGTGTGAGATCATTTGGATGGGCAAAACATGGCATTCAGTATTAATGCATACATACTCTCATTATCACTGCTATATTGCCTGTTCAGTACATGTCCTACATTTCAGCCAGATGCTGCTCATGTTACAATACACCCTGCCCTGCTGCACTTTTTCTTCTTTTTGTCATCTATTGTCTCCATCTGACTCATCTTATGTTTACTGTATTATGTTGTGTGCCACTGCTGCCACCATTAGACACTGTCTATGTGTCCTGTCTATGTGTACATTTCCTTTCTGGTATCTCTGACTTTGTTGCCACATCCATATTAGGCATATGCTTGTATTTCTACTTACTCATACCTGCCCTAAACCTTTCCTAGCTTTCCCCTATAAATATACGACTCCAAACTGTGTAGTTCTCTACTTTAATCTTACTAGGTTTTACCTGGAACTTCCCTCACTTAAGGCCACCAATCTTAAGTCATCTGAACTGTACTTTAAGTCAGAGGCACTTCCTCTGTCTTAGCTTACCCTGAATGTTTGGCTTATCACCTTATGTAGATTCTTGGCAGAGGTCCTGACTCTTATTGAGTCATCTGTTATTAGAACTATCCTAGTTTGTAACAGCTCAATATTCTTCAACTCTACCTCTAGTCTCACACATACCCTCTCATCTAGTAGCTTGTTGACCCAGCAATATGACTGCCCATTCAAAGCAATAACTTCATTAGAGAAGTCAGAATATTGAGACTCTGAGTCAGATTCATCATCAGAGTATGGGTCTTTGACTTCTTTCTCAACAACTGAGCCATGTATTTGTGAGTGAATGAGACACTCAAGTGCTGAAATTACATGATATACTGATCCAGTAGCCACTCCCAGTCTTTCCCTGTGCTAGCATCCAGGATCCTGCCAGCTACTCAAATATGAGGGTCTTCCTGCAGTGATCTTTAGTATATTCAAAGGTGTACACCCTGGACTTAGTTACCAAACCATGACCTGGACATTAGATGGGCAAGTACTGCCCTTAAGGATGATTGTCAATGTAAGTCCAGGTGTACCTGATTACCTTCAATTCTTCACTGGATGTATCCCTTATCATCAGGATGATGTCAGTATGGCATCCAAGCTTGTTCAACTGGCTGAGCATATGAGGAAAGGTATAATGGATGTGGATGTGTTCAATGAGCACCTGTTTCATAAATGCAAAAAGAAGGTGAAACATGAAACCAGGCTGAAAGTGCTCTGCAGTGAACATGATGCTTGCTAAGATATGGTAACTAAGACCATTTAAGTGGCAATCCAAAACTCACAGTAAAAATAAAGACTTACTGATTCAGTGATTTTTGGAGGGTAGTGAAGGAAGTTACCAAAGTACTGCAAGCAAAAACCATAGGTAAGATTTGTCAGCATGATTAATCAAGACATTAAACAGAAAGCTCCACACACCTGAATATGAAGTTGAGTCATTAGGGATTGGAGATACAGAGAGAATACTTGCTGATGGCATGGATTTGAATGTAGATATGATGATTGAATGAAAACAGAGATATGACAGGGTGTACCATTGTATATTTGATATTTAAAAGAAAAAAAAGTGACACACAGTTGGTGTAAAACAATGAAATAATGCTCATCAGGAAGACCAATATACAATGACTCCAATCTCACAGGTACAGATGTGAACAGATCCTATGGGAAGCCTAACTCCTTACAGATGGAATGAAGATGGGTTCATATGCAGTCAGAAGCCAATTAAATCACAATAGAGCAAGGAAAATCGAAGTGATGCATCATGTTGCAACTAACAGCACATAGCGGCAAATAGATGTGCAACACCTGGTAACAATGGTACTGCTAGTGAACCAATGGAAATACTGCAACAGCAAAAAGAAGATGTATGAGTAATGTTTAGCTGTGGGATATATACAGGTCAGCCTGGTCTACTATTTATCATTCCTGCACAAATTTCTTCTGACAGAATCTGTGGCAAAGCCATTGAATGGGACACATCACCCCAACACAGTGGTAATATTGAGTTGTACAGAAATGTGCTAATTTCTCTAACTTTTAGCAAAAGAACACACTATCAAACTGATCAGCATCATTGATATCTATCCACAGATACCTTGTGCAGCATATGATATGATTGGCCACTGCCAGGGTTGATGGTAAACTGATGGGTCAGGAAGTCACTCTGGTGCTGTTTGGAACTGCCAGGGTAAAGGGATCTGGGGACCCTCAACTTGCACACCTAACAATTCCATCCCACAAGAAGGATGACCCAAAGAAAGTCACCATATAGTTGCATTTTTCTTGATACCTTGTATGTGCAATCTATTCAAACCTGTAGTTTCATTGTTAGCTCACTCAGATAGTGCCATGGTAGGAATAAAGGTTGTTGAGATGCACCTATCCTCAAGAACATCAATTTCCTTGCTCTGATACATCAGCTTCTGTTACTGAGGATGACAGCATTATTCTGCATTGCATTGGCAATTCTCTTGCATTACACCTACAGGTCAAATACAAATCACAGGCAGATACCATCTGTGGCCTAGATGGTAACATTTAGCTTGTGAGGCTCAATGAGCACATTCAAAAGGGGCCTTGCCTTTCAATCATCCTCTTACAGACAATACAAACATTTGCAAGTATTCAACAGGATTGCTGTATCACAACAATACTGATATTCTTGTAGTATGTAATTTGCAAGTGTAAGTGCAGAAGTGTGTTTTAACTTGTCTTGCATCTTGTCCAGTTCTGTGCAGTCAAGATGTTTTCAATCACAATCAGCTGGATGGCAAATGAATGTACAGCATCAACTGCCACCTGGTGCAGCTCTGCTCTCTGCAATCATCAGACAAGCACTACCCTCATCAACCAAGTCCAAATCCAACAGTGGCATTTAATGAACCATGAAAATGTTCATCAGAGATCCCTCTCATGCAGTGCATTATTCTTATTGTTAACAGAACAGGAGTCCCTGGCCAAAACCAGCTGTCAGGTTTTGAAACCTCAATCAACCATTGTTAGCCAGGAAATCTATGGAAACAAGGGTGAAGGTTTCAATGAGAATTTGGATGCATGGCTTGATGGTAAGGTCAATCTTGTTGATAAGGATGACCCTGGATATCTGTGCTGCAGTGACCAGGTGTTTGTTGGTAGTGTGAATGCTTGTTTAGATAGCCCCAAGCCTCCAGTCCTTCTATCTGGAAGGGCAATGGAGATGGAGGCTCAAAATCAGTTGTGAACACCTGGGCCATCTTCAGAGGTACCTGATGGTGGCCCTGTAGCCTGGTAGTTTAAGTTTTGTAGCACAAAAATCACAACATGATCAGTATCAATAACTGGCCTGGGAGTACCCTTTATTAAAAACTTGTCTGAAACTCAGCATAAAGTTTTTCAAAGAACACTAATACCTGCCACACAAGCTGATGCTAGCAGAAGGCTTCTTTAATCTTACCCATGCAAATCTAATTGTTAGGGTGGATGCAAAAGCTTCCTCAAATTGCTTCACATAAACCCTTATATCCACACATGCAATCTCATAAATCAAAGTTGTCCTAACAAGGTCCATAATATGTGACATGTCCATAGCTGTTTGTCATTCATAACACATCCATCACCTCCCTGTGATATATCCTCAATAATACCAGTCCTCATACAATCAATGACTATGCAGGGTAAAATGGAGAGGGCAAAAATTGTCCACACAATGCAAAAGAAAAAATCAAGTGCAATTCTGTAATGTAGTGATGGACTAACATCACACTAGGCAACTAAATTTTCTAACCAGTGTAGAGAATGAGATTCCTCCAGGTATATATTGCGCATATTTCAACTTGCTACAATTACTACAGTGCATCACTCACTATCTATGACTTTTCCATGAAATGCGCCAGAGGCATAACACTTTCCTGCACTACACAACACATTCACATGCTTAGTGTGCTCTTTCCATGCTTGGTTGCCCTTTGTTGCACAGTGTCTGTCATATCTGCATATCTGGATCTCAGATCCAATCTACATCTTATCTCCATCCAACATCCCCTCATTCCATCTGTCCACTCATCTGGTCTGGTCTACAACTTGTCTGAATCCACAACCAGTGCTCATCTCCTTTTGGTAACCCCCTGACTCTGGTACTTTGGTTATCTGTATATCTGTCCTGCTCACTGATCCATTACCTATGTTTCATTTCCATTTCATTATTAGTGTTCCTTTCCTACTTACCAATAGACTATCCACATGCTTTGTACATAGCCTCAGACCCTGCTGATTGATCATTCCATTGGATACCTACAGTATATAACCTCTTGTAAATCTCTGTAGCACCTTAGTTCAAATATCATCTTAGTTTTGCTCATTCCCGTCCTCTAGACTTGAGTACCTCTACTCTCATCACTCTCCAAGACTTAGGATTGATTCCTATAGTCTATCCGTATCCGCCTCTGTCTATGACAGTCCATTACTGATAGTTTCTAGTCTGGACTTGTCTGGACCACCATCACCTACCTACCATCATGTCAGTAGTTGTCTAGCAGTCAGAGTCTATCTTTAGTTAGCATGCTTCAGTTGTCACCCTAGTCCTCAGCAACAGTCCACTATCATCAGTCACTACTCAGCAGTCTCAGTTCATGTCTTCACATCATTCTTCAGTGTTATGAACTCAGATAGAGCATTGTTCCAACAAAGGAATCAAGGATCAGGGTCAATCAAGGACAAAGCCTTATCGAGTCAATGCCTCTCTCAGGAGTGATCATCTAGACTCCTGCAGGATCTAGAGTTCGAGTATTAAGGAGAACCGAGTAGATTCAAGTTAGAGAAAATACAAGCAGTAACTAGGGTTTATATACATAAGGGAATTGTGCACAGACCAGGCTGGGCAAAGGGTAACAAGTACTAAGAAAGGAAGGTTCATGGAAAGACAAGGTATGAGTCAGAGATAAGAGAGAGACCATGAGGAAACAGCAAGGTGAAAAGGAAGCATTAGAAGTACAGCCATAAGGTGTCTGCAGTGATGATGAGAAAAAGAATAGGGTACTGTAACATTCAGTCTCTTATATGTCCGCACACTCCTTGTGCATTATTCCCATGCTTTGTGCACCTACACACTCCATATTCCCATGTGCACTTTCATTGCACTTCACCAGAGTTGACCTGGTGTCACTTCATGGATCCTTGCTTTCCTTGCTTTCCTTAAGGATTGAACATATCACTTGGCACATTTTGACTAACACTTAGAGAGTCAGAGCCTTTCTCTCCCCCCAGAGGTAGAGCCATCTTTCTTTCTTCTGCTTTGCAAGCCAGCAGAGTTGTTGAACCTTCACTGGTATGCAAACAAGCTCAGCACTCACAACATTTCAAAACAACCTCTACCAGTCACTGCAATCACATGCAGAACTAGAAGTGGTGAATACAAGAACCATCTCTAGGAAAGACTAGTAAGTTTGAGTTCATGCATATGTTGGGCAACACTAATCCACTACAGGATCATGATATGGTCCTGAGCACCATGGAAGGAATGTAACACAGGATTGTGAGACAGTTTCCAAGTAAATCAAGTAGGAGGATTTTTCAAACAAGATAGTGATGAAGCAGGAGCTTGATCGTGATGCACTGTCATCACTTTCCATGGTGAGCCTCAGAGATTATGATCTGGACATACATGAAATATCTCAGGCTGGGGAGATCCATACAAATACCATCAAGGCCCGTGTAAGTTTATGCCTGTACATGCTGGAAAATGACCAGTATTAGGCATCTGGACAATATAACATGGGAGACCAAGTTACTATATCATGGATGTCCTCCATGGCATCAAGCATCAGCACTTCAAATGATGTAAACTCTGATATACCCTGGTTGTATAGAGTATCACTGGACTGGGCAGTCAGCTGGGAGGGTGTCAGAGCCTGTATAGCTAATGCATGAACACAGGATACAATCATAGGGACAACAGCATGGCTCACCATGATCTCTGTGCAAAGTAGGGTAGATGCTGGAACAAAGGCTGTGGCCATAGGATGTGGATAATGTGTAGGTCCTCAAAGCAAGAAGCCACTAGCAACAACTGGCAGACCTGTGCCCTTTGGCATCTCAAGTGGCCTCAATGGGCTTACAATTACCTCCATGGCTAGTCACTGCATAATACTTGTTGGATCACATACATTGCAATAGATCCCTTGTGGGTCATCTGTATATCTGACAGTGAGATTTTTGCCATCCATACACAGCATGTTGGTAAAGTGCCTGCACTGTGTTGCATGCACTAGATTGTCCAACTTCTCCATACACTGGTTGTTTAAGGGGCCCCTGGATGCCTTATTACTACAATCAGTAAGGAAAAAACATAAGATTCCTTCCCATTATGGCCTGTGCATCCTAGCATCTGGTTGTTGACAATAAGCCCATATGATGGCTTGAATATTACAACATATCAGATGTGCAGCCTGTCCATACCCTGGGCAAAGGATGTTGTACATGTCATCACCTTTGTCTTGCCTGCATCCTACCGATTCAGGTTATGCTCCCTAGTATTTCCAGCCTCTCACAGGTCACTGTAGTAGATGGCACATTTAGCCTGCAGTGCAAACCCTTCTGCATCACCCTAAGAGCAGCAGAACACCAGGATGTGTTCTTCCACAGTCAGATATTTGGATAGAGCAGAAACAAGGTGGCTAAGGGACTGCCTTGCTGCAATGGGCTGAAAGTGTACAACATGCATTCCAATCTCTGAATGGTCTGTTAATGACTGGAATTTGGTAATCAGGTGTTGCTTCATATCAAACAGTTTGGTCAAGTTTACAATATAGCAGGATGGTCCAGTCCCTGTCATGAGCACAAGATTTTTCCATGAAAGAGCCTGGGCTGGATAACAGTTCAAGATATCATGAAATTTGTCCACAAAAACCCTGTCAAACTTTTGGCCTAGTGGAGATGCAAGGAGACTATAGATATACAGTTAGCTGATTCCAGGTGATAGAGAAGTCCCCTCACTTAGCAAATGCATGAGACAAGCAATGTTCAACCTACACAAACAGAATCTGAACATTTTCAGGAACCATCTTGGAGATAGAGTAGTTATGACACCACAGTCCACTTACAGCAGTATTTCTGTGTTGCTTATCTAGCAAGGCAACAAAAGGGCAGACCACAATGGATCTTGCTTCCTCATCTAATATGAAGGGCACCATCCACAACATGCTTTTTCTGCCTCCTGTCTTTATGATGATGAGGTCCATAACTGCAGTCATGACTGCAATCAGGACATTCATCTGTGCAGCACTCTTTGCCCTTGCAGTGTCATCCTTCCTGATGTGTCTGATTGCACATCAAAGCTCCTCTCTGATGTCCTGAATGGCACTTGGGGATGAGGATGGTTGAATTCCATAAGTAGCTACACAATTTGATATTCTGTTAATACTCGTTAAGCTGGTCATATCCATGGGCATGTCCTGATGAAAAGATCTAGCCCTATGAGGATATTTGATTAGGATGTTCTCATCCAGACTTGACTGGTCATAATCACTTGAGAAGCTTATAGCCTCCACAGGCCTCTTGTTCACCATTGTGCTAGAAATATGCAGACTTCTTAGTGGTGAGTTATCAAAGCTTGACAAGTTGCTAGCACCTGAGACTCTCTTCACTTTCACAGACACTCTGTGAATATGTTTTGGACTCCTGGTTGATTCCTTGTCATCATAGGTTTCTGGTCCATCCTGTAGTGTATGCTTGCACACATGGAATATAGTTGGTGCCACTGGACTGGTAGTGGACATGAACATGATGGACTCCTGGTGCTTTAAGATATTATCAGCCATGCCCTTCCTTATGAAACACTTGACATCAGTGGAGGAAGGCAGGGGATTGGCTGGCTCATGTTCCCTGTGGTTAGACAGTCTACACTAGCTGTGCTTGTAAGCTCTACCCTTTCCTTTGGACTCTTGGATGTGGATTGTTTCAGGGTGATCCATGGTTGGACTGATGTTAGACAATAGTAGCAAGCTGTCCATGTATTTACTTTGCAAGAAGCTGTCAACAGATGGGGCTGGTTATGGGGAGTCTGACAGCATAGATCCACACTGAATATAACCACTTGCAGTCAGTGACAAAGGCACAACAGATGTCATACCTATAGCATCATATCAGGGTAAGAATTAGACAACATTGGTTGTAAGCCTCACTGGTAATATGATTATACCCACTAGTGCCTGATGATTAGGCGAGAGCAGGAAAAAGTCCTGGCAAATTGAATCAGTTCTCAATGGGAATACAATTGAGGCTTGTACTTACTCCTGCTATTGTTGTGAAACAGGTCATCCAGATTACTATCCAAGCTTATTGGCTGGCCATTCCTGTTGCTGGGTAGCAGGGATGGAATTTCTGACATGGGCTGATCATATAGTGTATGTTTGTATTGGTTAATTGTGGCAGTGCAGAGTGCAGCCTTCAGAATGTCTGAATACTATGTATCAAAAAATAACCTCAGAGTCTTTTCCATGGTTGTCTTGACCTGGTCTGATATTGACTGTAGGGATGTTTTGTTTACAACTGATTCTGATTGCCTTGGGAGGAGGAAGTGGACCAAGAGTGAGAACACTGTGCCACCGATCACCCAGCTATCTATACTTACACATGCTATTGTTGGGCAGTTGAGGGACCACTCCTTGAATGATGGTGTAGTGACTATGGTCCATGCTAGTGGAATAATCTGCAGACTCAGTGAGGACCCCATCAGCTAGATCATAAGAGTTGTCAGGGGCAATGAATTCATGACCCATCATGATCATGCCTTGACAGAAATCTCTCACTCCCTATTGACAGGAAAAATATTCATTATTCCACTGCTAGATGTTGGTGGAAAACATTGCAGGGCTGATCCTCTCTCCCTCACCCATGCACAGATACCTGACATAGCACATGGTTGTAAGAAAGATATTCTGTGATGTGAATGGTTCATGATGGTGCTCACATTCTATACACATTTTTGGCCTGTTAGCCATAAGTAACACCAGCCAGTATGACTTCTGTTGTGTGTAACTCCCCTGCAAGCATTTCAAGGACCCCAAAGGTGATCTCCTTTGGCACAAAATCAGGGGTGCATGAGTCGTGATCAATAATGCCAGTCTTTTTACTGTAACTCATCAAAAGAAATATTTCACTGCCCTGCACAAAGAGATTATAATGCCTGTCTGCATTGCTCACTTTGTGATTAACAAATTGAGTGCCATAACAGAAAATGTGTAGGGTGATGTACAGTAAATGGTAAAGAGGCTCCCAGACCCACAATGAGTGTCTGAGACATTTCTTTATTCCAGGGATGTTCCACATGATCCATCCTGCATTGTCAACCATTGTGAGGTCATAGCAATCTACCAGGTAGAAGAACATGACATGACACTTCTTATAAAAAAGCTCCTCTGACACAAACAAATAACCACACATTGAGTTGGTGAGGTCATCCTTGGCCTGCTCTGGCACCTCCTTCAGCACGACAGTGTCATTTATGAGGGTAGCATAGTGCAATTTCACCTCCCAGAGGAGCCTTTGGATTCCATCCTGAAGCCTGTCCATATGTATGGTGTTGGTGCCAATGGTGATGGACTGAACATTGGGATTAACATAGACATTGGGCTCTCTCATTTGATTGAACACCAATAATGATGCATATTGCTACATCTCATACACTATGTTGAATGTTGTTGTGCAACTAAGGCATAGAACCTGTCATATGCCATTCCAGACTCTCAACTCTAAATCTGCTTCTCTGGATATCCAGATCCAAGATCCAGATCTCAAATGATCTGATCTATCTTTATCTTCCTTTCAGAATCCAAACCCTATATCAGCACCCAACCCCATTTAGACTTCCCCTGTCTCCGGACTCCGGTTAACCATGTTTCCCTTCTGATTATTGATCCGTTACATACATTTCATTTCCGGTGTTCATTATTTGTGATCTGTCCTACTTACTAATAGACTTTGCATATGCTTCATACATAGCCTTTATGTTTGCTGATTGATTCCTATATGATACCTACAGTATATAAACCTCCTGTAACTCTCAGAAATACTCCAGTTCAAATATCATCTTAGTTCCTGCTCATTCCTGTGTCCTCCAGACTCAAGATAAGTCTCTTGTCATATTCCGAGTCTTAGGATTGCATCCTAGACTACATTTCCAACTCTACCTTAAGGTAGTCTATCCTCTGTTAGTTTCTAGTCCAGACTTCATCTGGATTAGTCTTATCCACTTGTCCAAGTAACATCTGGACATCCATTGGATTTATCTTACATTTCAGACCCAGATGTCCATTGTCTGCCCTAGTCAAATCCCGGAAACTCCAGACAACTGTTCTAGCCCCTGGAAATTAAGGGCACATACTCAGGAAAGGGGCACAGCATATGAGCTGAGGCCAAGCCCTTGTGATCCAACCTCCTTGAGCATGTGACCTTAACACTGTGCTTCTATGCATTGTGTGAGCAGTGTCTGCTCTGTGAGAATCCACAGACAACTGTGTGAAACTGTCAAAATAGGCATTATCTGGGGTCAAATTTGTGTTTTACTGATGTTGGTCTTGCCCTTGTGTATATCACAAATCTCCTTCCAGGTACTTGCAGCACCCTCAAGCTTCTGCATGTGCAGTAACAGTTGATCTGTGATCATACTGAACATCTGCTGCTTTACGAGTGAGTCTTTCTGGAAGTACTCATCAATCTTTTGTCTAGTTCATCAATCTCTGTTTGCATAGGGACTGAACTGTCTGGTTTCTTTTGGTTGCTTGTCTACAGATCAATTTTAAATGGAACAGGTTTCACTGCACAGCAGTCAACATCTGTTCCTTATAGGTAATCCAGTTGCTGCCATCTTTGGCCAGCTTTGGGACATTGAATAGCACTGAACTGGTACTGGGGAGCATGGTTTCCATAGCCATCTCAGGGGTCAGAACCTCTAAAGATTAGAGGTGAGTGAACAAGATGGGAAGATCTAGATAGACAATGTATATCTCAGTCTTTGGGAAAGAACTCTTTGTTACACACTAAGTACCTAGATAAACAATATATCTGCAGCTTCATTAGCATGTGGTTAAAGTGTCATATCCCACAATCTGGACCCATGTTCCATCATATTCCCATGCCTTCCAAGGCTACATCCAGACCCCACTTCATATCCAACTCATTCCCAGATCCCCTTCCACTGTGTGCTCCACACCTCAGCAGGATTGACTACACTCCAGATTTACCTCTGAGCTCCAGACTATCAGATCTCCACTGCTAGCCTGATCCATACCCCCCTGTCCCATCCACCCTATGCACACTCCATCTAGCAAGACATCCAGACTTCACCTCATCTCAGATTCCGGACTATATCCACCTTGTCATATTCCAGTCCTGTATCCACCTTGTCTTCCGGATCCCCAGATCTCTGGACCTCTGGATATTAACTCCAGACCTATTCCCACCCTCTGTCCAACATCCTGCACCTATCCCCATTTAGACATCTCTGCCTTTCTGGCTTTCGGTTACCTCCTGTTCCATCTTGCTTATTGATCCTTGTATGAGTCTTCATCTCCAAGTTCATTTAGTTATGTTCCATCTTACATCAGGAAATCAACCTGAAGTTGGTATGACCAGATATAATTGGTAATCAATAATCATTATTACATGTCATGTTTTAGCCTTAGATATCATTACCATGGTACCACACATATATGAATTAAGATATGACTATATCAGACATATCACCTTGATGTGTCTTGGCCATCTGAAAATTGACACAAACTTGTTTTTCCTAGATTTGGTTGGTAAAATCAAATCAAAAATTCACTGAATCATATAAAGTTATATACAAAGATAAAGGTTGATAATGAGTATGACATATTGGTATTAAATGAACAAGTATTGCAAAAGAACCAACATTCTGATGTAGATACAGTGGCTCAAAAAACTGTCTGCATGTTTTGACATTTTTCACTATCTATGATATTGTGTGAGAATGAACAAATGCCTCAAGGACATGTTTATAGCACATTGTAGTATGGCTTCAGGGCTTTCATTTGAGCCCTACACCGTGGGAATCGGTGGAGATATGGTGGAGACATAAGGCTTATAAAATGATGACTCATGTGGACAGTTTTTTGAGTGTATATTAAAACTATATAAATCATTATTTATGACACCACAAAAATCATGCCACTATTATATAAATTATGAAGTGGTGTCATTATGTTATTTTATGACCATATCTAACTATATAAACCAGAATATCTCATGTATCATAGTCATAATCACCATGAAAGCCATCTCCTCTGCTCAAAGAGATAATATCCTCTCTCTGTCTTATGCTGGCCTCTCTGCTCGCCAAATTTCCTCTAGAACTGGAGTATGCAAGTCCACTGTGGCCAAGTTTATCAAAGAAAGCCACCCAGACAAGGAAAACTCTTGTGGAGGACGTCCATCCAAGCTTACCTCTACTGACAAAAGGGCTATTATCCAACATATCACTACAGGAATGGCTGATAATGCTGTCCAAGCCACCCATTATATCAATTCCACCATCACTACCCCTGTCTCTTCACAAACTGTGAGGAATGTTCTCAAGGCAGTAACAAAGAAGAAAAAGCCTCTTCTCTCCATCAAACATAGGCAGAGAAGACTAGCCTTTGCCTTAGCTCATCAACACTGGACTGTAGAGGACTGGAAGCATGTTACATGGTCAGATGAGACCAAAATAAATAGGATTGGGTCAGATGGGAAGGTATATGTATGGAAAAAGAAGGGAGATGGCCTAATAGACAGAGAGATTAATAGGACTGTCAAGTTTGGAGGAGGTTCTTTAATGGTATGGGGCTGTAAGGCAGTAATTAAAGCCAAGGGAGGTCATACAAAATACTAGAATACCTGGTTATTATTGTAAAATACTTGAGTCAAAAAACTGTCTGCATGAGTCACCATTTTGTGAGCCTTGTATCTCCACCATATCTCCACCGATTCCCACGGTGTAGGGCTCAAATGAAAGCCCTGAAGCCATACTACAATGTGGTATAAGCATGTCCTTGAGGCATTTGTTTGTTCTCACACAATATCATAGATAGTGAAAAATGTCAAAACATGCAGACAGTTTTTTAAGTCACTGTATACCATGTCTTGTAATTGTATTAACAAGTTTCCACCAATTGGTCTTTACTACCACTGCTTGCATGACATTGCATTACAGGAGTCATGTCACATGATGCTTATGTAAGTTGTGGTTCACATTTTTGAGACTTGTCTTCTCTCATCTCATCCACACTCTAACTGTGCACCTCTTCTAGTCCTTCAAGCTAACATCCTCCTCTCCCTACTATTCATGGCTCCTTCCTGGTATTTCATGGCTCTTCCTGGCCCTCCTTCAAGTTGTTGGCCCTCTTTCCTGGTCCTCTTCCTTCCTGGCCCTTCTTCCTAGCCCTTCTCCTTCCTAGCCCTTCATGGTTCCTTCCTGGTCCTTCCTGGTCCTGTATGGCTCCTCCCTGGTTCTCCCTCCTGGCCCTTCCTGGCTCCTCCTGGCCCTTACCTGAACCCTCTCTGGCCCTTCCTGGTTCCTTCCTGGCCCTCCTTCCTGGCCCTTCATGGCTCCTCCCTGGCCCTCCTCTCTGGTCCTCCCTAGCCTTTCCTGATGATTCTTTTTCTCTCTCTTGAGGCAGGTACCTGACATCTCTCTATCTCTCTACCTTATGTTCTACTATGTCTCTCTTCTCTCCTGTATTAATACCACATATGTACACCCCAACTCCAATTAAAATTTGATTTGATATATAAAATGATAAAATGAGTATCAATGTTAAGACTTTTGGCAATTTCATGGCAGTTTTGTTTGAAGCAGCCTGGCATTATAAACCTTTGTCAAGATAGCAGATGTTTGCAATGTGTATCATAATTGTATCTTTGGTGGTTTTCCCTAGCATAGTCTAACTATCTAAAGCTTTGTCAGGCTGACTGCAATTATGATAGAGATTATATGAATTTGATGTTAGATAAAGCTTTATAATGCTATGTTATTTTCAGGTCAATTTCCTGATGTACTTACTAATGCATCTCCACATGCTCATATATAGCCCTGCTCCTTTGCTTACTGATCCCCCCAGATATCCTCCAGTATATAACCCCTGTAGATACTCCTGTAGTTTCCTTAGTTTAAATATCAACTTAGACTTGCCTAATCCTCTCTTGGACTTTGGTCCACCTAAGTCTGTCCTACTCATCAGGCCTAGGGATTGATTCCCTAGGCCAGAGCTTTGCCTTTCCGGCACTTACCCTCTTTCTGGATTTAGGTCCAATCCCTGTTCTCTCCAACTCTACCTTAGTGTAGTCTACCTCTGTTTGCTTCTACATTGGACTTTGTCCAATGTAGCCCCTATTCCTTCTGGACCTCCAGACCTCCTGTCCCTCATACCTCTGGGCATCCTGTCCTTTGGATGTTCCATCCTCCTAACCCTCGGACGTCCTATCCTCCTGTCCTTCATACCTCTGGACATCCTGTCCTTCTGTCCTCCATCATCCTGCTCTCCTGTCCTCCAGACCTTTGGACCTCCTATCCTTCCATCCTGTTTCCTATAGAAGTATTACCTTGCAGTGGAAACTCTCCTGCACTCCTCCAGAAGTCCTCTAGCACTCCACCAGAGTAGCCAGCCTCTGGAAGTCCTCCGGACTTTGTTGGACCATCATTGGACCTCATCTGAAATGAAGGGCACATACTTGGGTAAGGGGCACAGTGTATGAGCCAAGGCCAAGCCCCTCTGAGTCAGTCTCTCTCTCCTTTGAGCAACATGGTTCTTAACAGAATGCTAAAATAAATTTCTCTGGGGCTACATGCTTGTCAGAATCATCTGCTGTGAATGAAATACAGCCCAGATGTGACAATCTATCAAAAGTGTTACAATAAGACTACACACATCTAAACTCTGCTTACACACTATTGTAACCTTCAACATTATTCAATTGCACCCTAGTACACACAATGTATCATTACCTTACTGTCACATAGTCAGTTCAATAAGCATGCACATTTCACCTTTGAACAGATCGCTGCGATAGACTTTTGAACAGTGTGGAATGTGAAACGGCACTGTGGCAGACATGTGACATGGTGTGATGAAATGCGTGAACTCTAGGGAAAACCACACTTTTTTGCCTGGTAAGTCTCTGCTGGACTCAACACATTGATTTTAAAAGAAAAAACTAGCGGGCCTTGTACTTTCGATGTCAGGCTATCTATCCGTCAAAAAATTATATTATTATGTGGATGTGTTGTAGAGTTATAAATGTTTTCCTAAAAATGCGAACTCTAGTGGACATCTAGTATCTGTTGATTTTGGCCCAATTTTCGCGCACCACATCTCTGAGAGTCACAAATACCAGAAAGAGTATGGTATGTATGGTGTATGGGAGTATCCCTGAACTATCCCAAAAGGCATCACTCTGAAGTGTCTCAAGACGAGTCCAAACATGGATGTGTGTTTTCATCGCTAGAAGCAATATGAAGTCATATATTACAACATAAGGGCCCCACAATCAACCTAGGGCTAAAGGACTCATCATTTCTCTGATTTGAATAGGGTACACAAACTCAGTAGGTACAGGATGTGGTAAGCTCTTCATGCAGTTATAGAATCCACTTCATGCGTTGGTGTGCCCATGCATTGCTCTAACCATGTTTCCTTCAGTTGATGGTCACCTTGCTATCCTTGTCATCTTACCCACATCCCTTGTTGTCATCAAAGCCTTCATGTGGTTCATTTATAACAGACAGAACAAACCTCGCCTTCCTCCTGGCCCAGTGCCGCTCCCACATCAGTGAATTCAAGAGTCCTTGAGATTGTAGCTGTGTGAACTATAGAATAAAAAAATTCTTCTCCCCCTAAATATGCCTGTTTATACTCTGAGATACTATCACTGCGGGTACATAGCCATGAATGCCAGCAAATGTAAACTACAATGAGTAGTTCAAAACAACAAAACAATGTTGTATCATCGCCCCTGGTAAGGATTGTTGGCGTATTTGTATTGAACTTGTTGGGTGTTTTCATTTCTCTTATAAATGTTTTGAACCACAAAGCTATTGAAGCCTTTCTCCTGGAAAGTGTCTTTGACATTTTCCATCAACTCCAGATAAGCACAGGAGTTTGTGGCAAGGTCGCAACATCGCACATTGTGGCCAGCAAGGGACGATAGTGAAAATGTGTCCCATTTGTTGAGTAAGCTCATTCTCCTTGACTAAATATTGAAACTAAAAGGGTATTTATACCGCGAAAAGTTGAGTTGAGCTATGGTATACCTGCAAATCTCAACTACAACCAAAGAGTTCATACAAAATTTGTCACACTACTCAATCACAGCTAGTGCACCTGTACCTAACATCCTTTACTACTCTCCTCAAACTGACATAATAGAAATACATGATCATTGATATATTCCAATATAATGGCTGTTCATCAAGGGCTCTCATTATCCATACACATCAAATTTAGCCAAACCTCAATAGATATGCATGGAATGCGACATGGAGCAAAGGGTGACAGAAAGTCATAGAATACAAATGTCGCAAGTTGGTCAAAAGCTTGAGCTTGAAGCTTCCATGTGTTCCATGGTGATTTGCAAATTGCGGGCCAAGGCAGTTCACACATCACATGGCTTATGTTAAAGTCAGTCCTCTATCATTTTCAGCTTCATTGTCATGAACTCACAGTGCACTGGTATATGTAAAGGAACAGCAATGAAGCTTTGAAGACCATCGGAAATGGTGACAATTATATCAGCACACACTGACAGAAGGAATAATCACAGACTTAGTTTAGGTGCCACTGGCAGACTTCAAAAGCAAACTATGAAAAGGTATTAGCTCACCAATTGAATGTGAGCATGAGGTCATAGTAGTAGTATGTGTTGCTGGTACTATATAACAAGATGTACTAGTACCCTTCGAGTCCATCTCCTGAACTTGAATGCTGGTCAAGTTCAATATCTAGTAGTGGGTGCTGCGTTCATGTAAATCAAAGAACTCGTCACCAAAAGTATATGCTAGTCCTACATGCTCTGATCTGGATGGCATAGTAGAGTCTACATTAGTAGTACTAGCCTCAGACAGGTGCACAGTTGAAGGTGGGGTGATATTCAGCTCAGCTTGTGGAAAGATAAGCTCCTTGAGGGGAAAAGGTATAGAAACAGGTGTGGAGTAGTCTAGTGTTGGAAGACTGTGTGGCCCTGCCATCACCGAATCTTGACTGGTTTGCAGGAGCAACAAACCAGAGGTCCATGCATGTGGTAGTTCCTTGGATATGGTTTGTGAATGGTCCTCCATTGGAAGATGATAGCTTATTGCATTTGCAGGTGCTGCCAGACCCATCAAACAATGGAGGGCACTACTGAAAAAGTGTGAGCATGACACTTGGGTCCAATGTAGTGAGAATTACTCACATGCTTCTTTGGTGCACATTCAACATACATGCTTCCATTGGAGGCCCATGAGTGGGAGACGACAATGCCAGCAACATTGCTTCATTGACTGTGTCCCGCTCATTGGCATATGGGTTTGGTGAGAAGTGAAGGGTGGTTCCCAGCAGCAACGTTTGTCCGCTTACAGCACATTGGGTTGCTAAACTCACCTGGAAATCATATATTAACATATGAAAACTAAAATTTTAGTCAGCCACTTACTGAGACTGCCTATTCTGACAACAACTTCTGAGGAGTTTTGAGCTCGAGTCTCATATCCTCATCTTGGGGTGGCGAGTCTTTGCCAGCATACCAGTGTGCAATATGAGTCTCTTCCAACACTGGGTTTGCAAACAGGTGCATGAAAACAGACATTGGTGAGTTCCTGACCATGAAGGTAATGGGTGAAGTGTGAAGTTGAATCGAACAATGAATTATGATGACGATCCCTGAAAGCCTGACACTCCAAGTTCGACAAACCAGAGTCTGACGGAGGTTGAACATCGAAATAATCAATGAGATTCTCTGAGGTTCTCGAGAGTCATTGATGGTTGAGCAAGAGGGCCTTGTAGATGATTTCTATAACCCTGGGTGACATCTCTAACTCTGGTGTTTGTGAATGAGTGCAGTCACGATCCAGGATGGCAATCAGTAGTACATACCACATCCAAACTTCATGTTGGCCTGCTTGATGATATTTGTGATATAGTCAACCGCAACTATCTTTTCTGTGGAGGTGATATCTTGAAGCCAGCCCATAGTCGTGACTGAGTTAAGAATCATGTGCCTTTCCACCCATGTGAGGGCAACTTGTTCAGTTGAGCTAAAATCCTTGAACCATGTTCTATACATGATCATATTAGTAACGCCAGCCAATGTCGGTGATGCAGAATCAGAGTACCTTCCACCATAAGCAACATGGAAACTGCTAGTGCCGCGGGCATAAGGAGAGATGCAATGCAATAAACCTGAGATGGGAGGCTGCACAGCTGACCACTGTCTGGTGCAGCTCAAGAGATCATCACTTGGGGCACATGAGAAAGCTTGGAATGACATAATGGTGGGCTTAGACTTGGAGGAAGAAAGAGCTTGAAAAGACATGTTAAATAGTGGGATATCAGTAGATCAGCTGATATATATATAAATGATATATGGCCACACTATCATGAAATCATCAAACACTAGTCCAAGATGAGAAGGTTGATGACATTGAGCTGAGGCATGCCTGGGACTTTGCATGTCAGGTGGACCTCATGCAAACTTACCAGAAACCTGGCTATCATGATAGGGGAACAATGTTAGCCTGAAGGCATCCAGGCGCTGTCAATGGTAATTACTGCCAAACATAAGTTTTATGCACTGACCTCCATCGCAACTCAATATGATGATAGTGACGGTAGGATCATGATCTCCCCCAGATCTCCGAATCATCTTCAGTGACTTGTCTAGTAGAAAATATCTGGGGCCTCTGTATTCAATAAGATTTACAATGAATTATGCACTTGACTCATTGGGGGTATCTGAAACTCTATGATGTGAACAGTTAATGGTACTACTAGTAGTAGAGGCAGAATGATGATGGGAAGACATGGCCTACCTGGCCAGAACTGCGTGCTAGTATTTCAAAGTTAAAGTTAATCATTGAACACAAAACTGAAGCAATGATACCAAATATGGCAGCTCACCTTCAACAACATTGCACAACTAGTTACTTCTTCAAACCTTTGTAGTAGCTTTGAACCTTGTGGAAAACCACCAAGAGGCAACCAAAGTGCAACATGAGGCAAACAAGACATTTAGGCAAGAACTGAGCACTGACTTGCCGGAAATGGTAGTAACAGCAGACAGTGGCCAGGCTATGTGCACTCCCCTATTGAATAATTCAGGATTTAAAAATACAAACTTGATTGGTAAAACATACATAGTTATGAAATATAGGTAAGCAAGATTATTCCACATCCGATGTACAAACTGAATCACAATGAGATCCAGCCTGAGATGGAGCCTGCCTGGGCTTATCTGAGTCCGAGTCATCGGAGGAACTTTCGCACCAAGGCCCATTATTGCCAGGGTCAAATCTACAACCATTCTTGCCTATCACCCCAACTCCTACATCCTGTAGGGTGTTGCGGATAGAACCAATCTGCACATCAACCACCTTCAAATGTGCCTGGGCCAAGTCCTGTTCATCCCCTAGGATGGACTTCATGAGATCTAGTTCATGGGAGCAAAGATGTTGATACCACATTCTTGTGGTAATAGCCCAGCAAGTGATATGTGAAAGTTTGAGCATGCATTTGTTGACCAAGATTGCAACATCTGGTGATGGCACAGAGGTTTGGTTCCACTTTTGAAAAAAAAAAATGAATATTGGAACATCCAAAATTCCAATGAACATACCATAGTTTGGAGGGTCTTGAATTTTTTTGTAGGTGGGACTGAGTCCTCATCATTGACGTCACCTTGAAATAAGCTATATGGAATGGTGCACTTCCAGCAATCACTGTTACCCAAGTTCTTCATTGGCGCTGTGTTAAGAACCATGTTGCTCAAGGGGGAGAGAGACTGACTCAGAGGGGCTTGGCCTCAGCTCGTACACTGTGCCCCTTACCCAAGTATGTGCCCTTCATTTCAGATGAGGTCTGATGATGGTCCAACAAAGTCTGGAGGACTTCCAGAGGCTGGCTACTCTGCTGGAGAGCACTAGAGGACTTCCGGAGGAGTGCAGGAGAGTTCCAGAGGAGTGCGGGAGAGTTCTGGAGGAACACAGGAAGTGCTCAGGAGAGTTCCCACTGCAAGGTAAGACTTCTACAGGAAACAGGATGGAAGGATAGGAGGTCCGAAGGTCCAGAGGACAGGAGGACAGGAGGACAGGAGGACAGGAGGACAGGAGGACAGGAGGGCAGGATGACAGAGGACAGAAGGACAGGATGTCCAGAGGTACAGAGGGCAGGATGTCTGAAGGACTGGAGGATAGGATGTCTGAGGGTTAGGAGGATGGAACATCCGAAGGACAGGAGGTCCGGAGGTCCAGAAGGAATAGGGGCTACATCAGATGAAGTCTGATGTAGAAACAAACAGAGGTAGACTACCCTAAGGTAGAGTTGGAGAGACAGGGATTGGACCTAAATCCAGAAAGAGGGTAAGTGCCAGAAAGGTGGAGCTCTGGCCTAGGGAATCAATCCCTAGGCCTGATGAGTAGGACAGACTTAGGTGGACCAAAGTCTGAGAGAGGATTGGGCAAGTCTAAGTTGATATTCAAACTAAGGAACTACAGGAGTATCTACAGGGGTTATATACTGAACAATATCTGAGGGGATCAGTAAGCAAAGGAGCAAGGCTATGTATGAGCATGTGGAAACACATTAGTAAGTAAGTCGGAACATAAGTAAATGAACTTGGAGATGAGGACTTGTACAAGGATCAATAAGCAAGACAGAACAAGAGGTAACCAAAAGCCGGAAGGCAGAGAATGCCTAAATGGGGATAGGCGCAGGATATTGGACAGAGGGTGGGAATAGGTCCGGAGTTAATATCCAGAGGCCCAGAGATCTGGGGATCCAGAAGACAAGGTGGATACAGGACCGGAATATGAGAAGGTAGATATAGTCTGGAATCCGAGATGAGGTGAAGTCCAGATGTCTTGCTGGATGGAGTGCGCATAGGGTGGACAGGATAGGGTTGTACAGATCAGGCTAGCAGTGAGGATCTGGAGGTCCGGAGCTCAGGAGTAAATCTGGAGCATAGTCAATCCTGCTGAGGTGTGGAGCACAGCAGAAGGGGATCTGGGAATGAGCTGGATATGAAGTGGGGTCTGGATGTAGGCTCGGAAGGCGTGGGAATATGATGGAACATGGGTCTGGATTGTGGGATATGACATGCTGTCATGCTAAACTCGTGAATTTGAAGGGCAGGACCATTGGTAGCAGTTTTTGTGTGTGATGCCATAGGAGAGCTACATTTGGGAGGGGAACTACTGGGTGCCATAGATGTAGGTGGTGTGGATGCTGACCTACAAAATGTAGTGAGTGGGGGTGCACTGTCCGTCATTGAGTTAACAAACCTGGGCCTTTTAGGACTTTGTCTTGAATCTGAAGAGCTGCTCATCAGGAATATCTTAATGCTGTTGTGGTGTATCAGGTTGTGAGAACCTCAAAGAAGGAATCAGAGGGATGGAATAGTCGGTAACATCTGAACTTCCTGCGTGAGAAGCAAGCACTCATATCGGAATCTCAAAAGTCAAGCATTAATATTAATTGGAGGTACTCAAATTATCATAGTCCTCACCCTAGGGAATGACCTTGGATATGTTAACCCTGACTCAGTATTAGACTCCTTGAGGTCTATACTTGTCCAAGCGAAAGTAGTAGCCTTGAAAGTGCAGGACTCATTCATCCACCAGTTTACGATATTGGTTGCACAAAAAGTCATTCAAACAACTTTTCAATCGCCAGAATCTACAAACTGCGGAATGGTCAGACTTGGAACATGACCATGGAGACTACTCACATCAATGGTTGAACTTTGAGTCCAAGTCCCACTTCATCTTACTGATAACCAATACTAAGGGAATTGTGGTCACAGTGAGTCATCCTGTGGCATGATGGGCTTTCAAATACTCACTAGCTGACAGTAGTAGGTGCAGCCTTGAGTTGTATTAATAGTAGTACATTGCTGCAGTTCTTGGGGAGTTCAAGTCGATTTGGGTGCACTGGAACCATTGACTTGGGAGTATCACAACTGTGCTCGGAACATTTTTTCATGCACTGCCTGTAGGCAGCAAGGAACACAGTTAACGCAGAGGCTTCAAGGCAGGACTATCATGATATCGTTCCTCAGGAATCATGACTGCAGCATGATAGAATGTCATAGCCTGAGCTTAACCAACTTGTCACCACTACCATAACTGCACCAGCAGTACAAAACAAGTAAGTCCCAGTGAGCTTGAAACTATTTTTCAATCAGACCTTAGCTAGCACTAATACTGACTTTGAAGAACCATAAACAACATTGCATCTAAGAGACTCGACCAACTACTACTGCTGCCACTGCCTCGGAGTTGAAGCTAGCTGCATCATCGAGTTGCTAGCAACTCCAAAGGGCAATGCATCTGGGCCTCACAGGATCTCTTTGGATTGTCACTGTCCTCTCAAGCTTGTTTATATTTATGGTGTCATGCAGTTCTATAGGTTGCTCTTGGGAAAAGGCAACAGATGCATGTGGGCTCAGCAGGCACCGCACTTCATGTCATTTCTACAAGAAGTCTAGCTTGCTTGCAACTCAACAAAGATGGGAACGTGCCAAAGAGTCTGTCACTGCAAATTTGGCTCTCAACTGTGACCTGCCACGGCCATTTGTGAACCCTTCACATGTAAGTGATCCTATTAGCTGCCATGGTCATTCTTAACTCACACAAACTTCAACATCAGAGAATTGGCCGTCCAAAACCAATTGCTGCTTACTGGTCACTGGCAGAGGAGAGGAGAGGGTCTGCCTCTTGCATATTTGATACACCTGAACCCAGTCTTGTAGACCCCCAGCACTGCATTGAAACAGATGTCCCACAAAACGATAACAATGTTGAGATGAATATTGATGTAGATACCTCTGGTTCATATGATTTTGAATAGCAGTCATAGCTTTCTAATCACTTTACTCATTCAGATGAATGGGCACGCCCTGTCAGACAAATCCCAAGGCATTATGTTAACATCAATCGCTCTGAAGAGGATCTCAATATCTCTGATAACGCTGACAATCACAATGTGTCGACTCAAAATTCTGGTACCCTTCCAGCTCAAGCTAGGATCCGACGCCTTCTTCTAATGCTTGCAGATACACTTCAGACCACCTTTAATTCATTTGGTATCTGCAGACTTTACCCTCATCACCCTTCTTTTGAGCCGGATAAATTTGTTTCATCCTCGTTACTTGTGAGGACGTGTCCCAATGCTGCTGAAGGCAGTGATTCTCCACTGCAGGTCTATGCTCCCCCATATCCTTTTGCAAATATGACAATCTATTGGCTCATCTCCTGGATGAATTCTGGTAGCAGTCGAGTATTGGAATCTAAAGTTGCATCCCTCATCAATGACATAATGCTGGCAAAGGATTTTGACCCCAAACACCTTCAGGGGTTCTTGGTAAGGCGGAGCTTGTGAGAATTAGATAAAGACGAGAGCAGGAAGAGAATCAATTTTCTGGATGACTGGATCGAGACGTCTGTCACTATCAACATTCCAATGAAGGCAAAAGAGGATAGTCCCAGGCCTTATACCATTCCTGGGTTTCACTACTGCCCTCTGGTTGACATTATCCGTGGGGCATTCAGAGATGCTCAAGCAGCAGCATTTCATCTCATGCCCTTCAAATGTCTGTGGAAGGACCCTCTGGATGGACATGAAGAGTGGATATATGATGAACTTTGCACCTCAGATGTCTGGTTGGAAGTGCAGGACAGTATTCACAAGCAACCAAAGGAGCCTGGCTGTTCATTGGAACAGGTCATTGCAGGGCTAATGCTCTTTTCCGATGCAATGCACCTGGCAAACTTCGGAACCGCAAAAGCTTGGCCACTCTATGTGTACTTTGGAAATCTAACAAAATATATATGTTCATCACCAATATCGGGAGCATGTCACCTCATTGGATTCTTGCTGTCAGTGGGTATTTTGATTGCATGTTCTTGGTTGATGTGGACATTGACTCTTCTCATCAGCTCCCCGATAAAATCAAAGATGTTATCAGTAGCTTGCCTCGAGTATCAAAAATGGGCATGGCCTCCATCCACACCTACTGCCATAGGGAGTTGTTCCATGCGTGCTGGGAAATATTACTGGACAAAGATTTTGTTTATGTGTATCAACACAGTCTTGTTCTGAAATGTGCTGATGGAGTGATGCAGAGAATATACCCTCGCATCTTCATGTATTCTGCTGATTATCTGGAGAAGTATGTTTTTATTGCGCTAGTTAAAAATATGGCTCACAGATCTCCAGGGTTCTAATTGCGACCATAAAAGATATGGGTTCATGCCTGTGCCCTCACTGCCTCATACTGAAAGGCTTGTTTGATTATCTTGGTCTCATGAAGGATATGAGAAGCCACCTTACCAACCTTTGAGTACATGCCATGGCCAAGGTTATCAAAGCTCGTGAGTTTATCTATCAACTGGGAAACATTGTAGATGGTGCCAAGGTCGAAGATGCCCTCAGAGAGGGCTCCTGGGTGCCTACTCTGGTAAACGAGACTGGTTCCATAGTGGGATGATTAGCTCAAACCAGTGTTCCCAGAATCAGTTTGTTAATAAACTCGGACTGCTCGGCCTTGATCCGTTTCATATGCTTGTTGTCGACATTATGCACGAGTGCAAATTGGGGACCTGGAAAGCTTTATTTATGCACCTTTTGAGACTTCTTTATGCCCTTCCTGGAGGTGCTCAAGCCATTGTGACCCTCGACACCAGGTATGAAGAATGTGTATGGAGTGTTATTGCCTGCTAACCATCGCCAACTCATTCCAACCCTAGATTTCATCAAGTTCCGACATATGGTAATGGAGTGATACACAAATTTTCCAACAACACCTCCAAGATGAAAAAGTTGGCTGCCTGTGATTTTGAAGACATATGACAGGTACAGGTTCAGTTTTGTGAATTTTATATTATGCTCACTAACATACCTACCAGCATGCTATTCCGGTTTTCGAAGGGCTGTTTCCTCCTGACCATGACACAGCTATCCAGTCTCTTCTCTATCAATTTGTGCAATGGCACACACTCACAAAACTCAGGTTACACTGCAACTCCACCTTGGTTTTTCTTGATGAAATCTTCAAGAAACTCTCTTGAAATTTGTGGAAGTTTCAGGCTCACACTTGCGCTGCCTTTAACATGATGGAGCTACCAAAGGAGAAAGCAAAATGGTTGGCGAAATGCTCCAAAACTGGTAATGCTCCTCCAGAATCAAGTAAGGTCAGGTGGAAGAAGTTCAATTTAAAACTTATAAGTTTCATGCCATGGGAGACTATGTTAGAACTATCAGATTCTTTGGGACTGCTGACTCCTTTACCACCCAAATTGTGCGTATTGACTGCATTCCATGAATTCAAACCTGAAGTCTTTGCACAGGGAGAACTCGCACACCAAGCTCTAAAGGCTTTCTATTTGCTCACCAACAAGCTTGACACCCCCGTGCAGTTAGCTAAACACAAGTGCAGGCATTGTGTGCTACGGTGGGTTGCAGAAGCGGGGGGTATATCCCCTTCTATCAGTCTATCTCCAGTGGATGCACCCTCCTCTGGAAAGCATCACCATATTGCAGTCAGTCAGAACAATACAGTCCCTCTATTCACGCTCCTTCGAGAGCACACTGATGATCTGGCTCTCAAGGTAGCAGTAATATTGCATTTGTTTGAAATGCATTGTACTCATGAGTGGATTTCAGAATTTTATACCGAAACTTAAAGATCACATTTTGTATAGGCTGCGCAAGCTTGATATCAGCTACTGCAACCACATGTTCATGGATGAAGAGTGAAACTTGGTCATTATTCCTAACAACACAATCTACGCTGTTCAGATGATGCAAGTACATTACACTACATATGACATGAGGCACAAGTACAACACAATCAACCCCAGAACACATGGCGACATCATGGTACTCTTGGGAGAGACTGCACCTAACCACCCATATTGGTATGCCTGCATGTTGGCTATCTATCATATGGAAATGTGGCTCAACAATGGGGGCACACCTGTGAAGCATCACCTAGAGGTCCTTTGGGTTAGATGGCTGGCCCTGCTGAGGAACCATAAATCTGGTATGAAATGTGCTTGTCTTCCAAGGGTGGCCTTTGTGGATGAGTCAGACACGGACGCATTTGGATTTCTTGATCCAGGGCAGGTGATTTGAGGAGTGCATCTGATCCCAGCCTTCAATTCGGGGTGTGGTGTTAGTTTGCTTTGAGGTGGAAAGTCATTGGCACATCCAGATGGAGCTCTAGATGACTGGGAGGTGTATTGTGTTGGCATGTGAGTGTGAATACTCATCTATGCCGCAGTCCTGCTCCTAACTGCTACATAAGTTTCATAGATCAAGATATGTTTATGCGGTATACACAGTTGGGTGTGGGACACCCAGCAATGTTGCACATGATAGCTAGAGACTCTCTCGGAAATGAATCACCATCCAGCATCATGGACACTGTAGACAACAGTAACAGTGTCATGCTCCAGGGGGATGTTGGCTATGGAGAGGATAGTGATGGTGAGGGCTATGAAGGATATGATGATGAGAAGGAAGCGAGTGATGAAGAGTTTAGCGATGAGGAACTGGAAGAGGAATGGGAAGACAAGGGAAGTGAAATTGAAGATGGCTGTGAAGAGGATGGGCATGAGATCGAGGATGAGTTCAATGACTTGCCATCTTTTTAAATTCCCTATTAATGCGATACACATTATTCAAAGCTTAAGCTTCTCATTCTCCTCAGAAACATTTATGTGTATATCATGATATCAGCCCAACTCTACTAGTACAAAGTCCTAGCTAGTACTAAGTACTGTACTCAGAATGTGTTTATTGGTAGGTGTCACATGATCCGCACCATACCCCACCACATGATGCTTCCCCAGCACTTGTCACACTCATGACTGACCATGATGTTTTGAACACCAGCTTGAGGAAGGTGTTGCCATAGCCTGAGGTTGCTGTCTATTCCATCCCTTTGATTCCTTAGTTTAGGTTCAACCTGACACACCCTAACAGCATTGATATATATGACAAGCAGCTCTTCAGAATCAAGAAGAGGTTCTAATAAGCCTAGGTTTGTTAACTCAATGATGGACAGTCACCATCCTTGGCACTCACTATATTGTGTAGGTCAGTGACCACACTGCCTACATCTATGGCACCTAGTAGTTCCCCTCCCAAATGTAGCTCTCCTCTTGCAAGTAGCTCTCCTCCTGTGAGTAGCTCTCCCCCTGCAAGTAGCTCTCCCCCTGCAAGTAGCTCCCCCCCTGCAAGTAGCTTTCCTCTTGTGAGTAGCTCTCCTCCTGCAAGTAGCTCTCCTATTGCATCATGCACAAAGACTGCTACCAATGGTCCTGCCCTTCAAATTCACAAGTTTAGCATGACAGCGCCAAGGAAGACCTTGGGTAACAGTGGTTGCCAGAAGCACACCATTCCATATAGCTTATTTCAAGGTGGCATCTGTGACGAGGACTCAATCCCACCTACAAAAAAATTCAAGACCCTCCAAACTATGGTATGTTCATTGGAATTTTGGATGTTCCAATATTCATTTTTTTTTTTCAAAAGTGGAACCAAACCTCTGTGCCATCACCAGATGTTGCAATCTTGGTCAACAAATGCATGCTCAAACTTTCACATATCACTTGCTGGGCTATTACCACAAGAATGTGGTATCAACATCTTTGCTCCCATGAACTAGATCTCATGAAGTCCATCCTAGGGGATGAACAGGACTTGGCCCAGGCACATTTGAAGGTGGTTGATGTGCAGATTGGTTCTATCCGCAACACCCTACAGGATGTAGGAGTTGGGGTGATAGGCAAGAATGGTTGTAGATTTGACCCTGGTGATAATGGGCCTTGGTGCAAAAGTTCATCTGATGACTCAGACTCAGATAAGCCTAGGCCTGCTCCATTGGTCCTCCAGGCTGGATCTCATTGTGATTCGGTTTATATGTCAGATGTGGAATAATCTTGCTTTCTATATTTCATAACCATGTATGTTTTATCAATGGAGTCTTTATTTATAGATCCTGAATTATTCAATAGGGGAGAACCTACACTGGTAGGTTCAAGTTGTCCTTCTGCTCGCTGTTGTTGCACATAAGTGAAAAGATATATTTATGAGTATAAGCAATGAAATAATAAATTCAAACAATTAGTATCATTCTGCCTGATTGCATCACCGTCCTTCATTATTTGCAGACATGTGGTGGGTTTAATTTTCAATACTAAAGCGAAGATTAACACAAACTGATCTCTGCTTCCCTTGACAATTTTTCAAAAGGCTTGAAGCTTATAACAAGCCTCATGGGTTTGAAGAAGTAACCATTTGTGCAACGTCATCGAAGGTGAGCTGCCATATTTGGTATCATTGCTTCACTTCAGTGCTGTGCCCCTAATGTTAAATACTAGTGTGCAGTAGACCAAATCTTTATCATCTCATCATCATTCTTCCCTCACCCAATGAATGCTATCGACCCTTCACATCTTAGAGTGCCAGATACTCTCAGTGAGTTAATTGCATGCTTAATTTGAAATCCTATCGAATACAGAAGCCTTTTCTACCAAACAAGCAGCTTTGATTGGAGATTATTTGGAAATCCAGGGGAGATTGTCATCCTACCATCACATCATAATCACTATTATTGAGAGTCACAATGAAGGTGGGTGCATAAAAGTTATGTTATGTGAGCAGCTGGCAGTAATCACCATCAAAACTGCCTAGTATTTTACATGTTCATGCCCTAATATCATTCCCCTATAGCCAGGTTTTTGGTAAGTTTGCACAAGGTCCATTCGACGTGTGAAGTTCCAGGCCAGACTGGCCAGAAACATCATGCCTCAGCTCAACTTCATCGACCGTTCTCGTCTTGGATCAGTGATGATTTCATGTTAATGTGGCCATATTATTTTTTTCAATCATAGCTGATTTCCTGACATCCCACTATTTAACACATCTTTTAAAGCTCATTCTTCCTCCAAGTCCAAGCCCACGATCATGTCTTTCCAAGCTTTCTCATACAACCCAAATGATCCATTGAGCTGCACCAGATGGCAGTCAGCTGCGCAGCCTCCCATATCAGGTTTATCGCATCGCATTTTTCCTTACTCCCATAGCACTAGCAGTCCCCATGTCACTTATGGTGGAAGTTCAAGGCACTCTGATTCCGCATCAGTAGTATCAACCAGCTTGACATCGGCGGCTGGCGCTAATAGTAGTATGGACCCGGATAGAAAGCGGTTCAAGGATTTCAACTCAAATGAACAGGTTGCCCTCATGTGGGCTAAAAGGTGCATGATTCTCAATTCCGCTATGACTACAGGCTGGCTGCGAAACATCACCACAGCAGAAAAACGAGCTGTGAATGACTATATTGTAGAGATCATCAATCAGGCCAACCTGAAGTTTGGATGTGGTACATACTACTGATTGCCATCCTGGATCATGACTGTACTCATTCACAAATCCAGATTTATAGATGTCACCCAAGGTAGTAGATATCATCTACAAGGCCCTCTTGCTCAACTGTTGACGACTCTTGAGAGCCTCAGAGGATCTCATTGATTATTTCAACATTCAACCTCCATCGGACTCTGTTTTGTCAAACACAGAGTGTCAGGATTTCAGGGATTGTTGCCAAAATTCATTGTTTGATTCGACTTCACCCTTATCCTATTACCTTCATGGTCAGGAAATCACCAATATGTCTATTTTCATGCTTCTGTTCACAAACATGGTAGTGGAAGAGATTCATATAGCACACTGGTACACTGGCAAAGACTCCCCCCTCTGAGATGAGGATATGAGACTCGAGATCAAAAGTACTCCTACTCAGATGTTTTCAGAATCAGCAGTCTTGGTAGTTCAAGATTTTAATCTTAGTGTTCATATGTTGACATGTGATTTTTAGGCAAGGTTAGCAATCTGATGCACTGTGAGCAGAAAAATGTCGCTGTCAGGAGCCCCCCTCCACTTTGCGACAGATCCATACACCGATGAGCAGGATGCAGTCAATGAAGCAATGTTGCTGGCATTGTCATCTGCCACCCATGGGCCTGTGATGGAAGCACATATGTTAAATGTGCACCGAAGAGGCATGTGAGTAATTCTCACTATGTTGGACCCAAGTGTCATGCTCACACTTTTTCAGTAGTGCCCTCCATTGCTTGATGGGTCTGGAAGCACCCACAAGTGTGATAAGCCATCTTCCAATGGAGGAGGATTTGTGAATCATATCCGAGGCACTACAGCACACATGGACCATGGGTTTGCTGTTACTGCAGATCAGTCAAGATTTTTTGACAGCAGGGCCACACGGGCCTTTGACACCAGACTATTCCATATCTGTTTACATACCTCTTTCCCTCGAAGAGCTTGTCTTTCCACAACCTGAGTCAGATATTGCCCCACCTTCAACTGTGCACCTGTCTGAGGCTACTACTAGTAGTACAGACTTTAGTATGCCATCCAGGTCAGTGCACATAGGACCATCACTAGTGGATAATTTTGGTGACGAGCTCTTTAGTTTCAAACTGACACCATTAAATTTTGAATTTGACAATGATCAAGGAGGGTTCGGGAACAGAGGGTACTACATTCTGTAGTTTTGTACCAGCGACATCATTTACTATCTGCTTGCATTCCATTCAATCCGCCCTTTTTCGAAGGTTTCGTAGCATTTGTGTCATGATCATGACTTGCAGCTTGCTTCATTGTATAGTACTACTGTATTGTTACCACAAAATATTTCTACAGCCTCTCAACCAAAGCAAGCAGGTTTCCCTGTGTTGTTGGAATCAAAGAAGGTCCAGTTTCAAATATTCATGGGTTGGTGTCTATTGTAACTTTTGAGATTGAGGTGCTGCACCACAACGGATCAGTCCGAAACCCTGCATTAATATCAACATTCCATGCACTTGTGCCTCAGAGGAACCAATCTACATACACAAAGTTTCACACACGACTACCTGCAACAAGTCCACCAGGCAACAACCACAACCCTAGCGCTGGAGTTGTAACACTAACAATTCAATAGGAGGACCAGTCAGTCTCAAGACCTGCTCAACAACAATCAGTCACTAATACAATGTCGCACATTCGCACTTTGTCTTTCTTTTCTTTTCGAAAACAGTTGCAGCATTCAAGTGATGCGAATACAGATCACCGTGACCAGCAGCAATCTAACTGATGCCCAAGCACCAGCATGCAGGACCATGACTTTGCACCATAAAACAACCAACAGTGCACTCAAACAATGGGTCCAACTCGCTCCTTGCCAGAGAAGCAGGATGACCACTGGCAAGAGTCTGACACGGCTTTAGCAGCCCACAGAAATTCTACCTCTGTCCCCCCTCTCCACCCTGATATATGCTCCATTGTTCAGCTCACTGTTGTGCATGCCCACAAGGTCTACTTCAGTGGCCCACTAGTAAAGCACATACAGTGCCAACTGGATGGCCAATGTCCCAAAGATGATGAATGGGTTGATGTCTGGGCACAGCTCAGTGGCACAACATTGAGCATATGGGACATGAAGGAGATCGAGGAAGCAAACAAGAAGGGCCTTGAGGTGCCTCCTACATATGTCAATATTACAGATGCTGTGAGTTTATTCTGTTCTCTGTCTATACTGGTGGTGATGACATTGGCTGTAGTTTGTTCATGTACTAGGTTCAGTCACTGACCCCGCAGAGAGTCCAGAGCAACTGCAGAAGACATATACAAACATCCTCACTCTCAACACAGCAGGCTCTAATTTACTTTTATTCAGCTGTCTGTCAATACCAGCATTGGAGTCATGGGCAACAGCTCTACAATTATCTGCTTGGGAAAAGTCTCATCTTGAAGAAATGTATACTGCTCAATTAGTAATATGCATAATGTTGCTTGAAGGTCAGTTCTCTTATTGCAGTATGTTCAACACTGATGTCATATATCTCAGGTAAAGATACCCACACAACCCTCATCCGTGGCTGTATGGAAGGGTGGGTGCTCATTCATGTTGCTGGACAAACAGACTGGAAATGCATGTGGATGGTCATCTCTGGGTCACAAACTTCATCAACCAATCCTGGAGCCTCATCTACTACCACTGGCACTGCACCTACTCCCAAGAAACGCATGTCAAATCTCTTCTCGCAGGATCACTCCCCTGAGCCTCTGCCAAGCCTTTGCTTGCACTTTATGCATCCCCTAGGCCAAAGAACAAGAAGCATTCCCTTCTCACGCTTAGGGAGGTTTCACAGGCATTTGCAGTGTACCCAGAGCGCCCGGAATTGATCAACCGCAGCATGCTCATGAAACTTGGGGGTTTGATTGGTGATGAAGAAATGGTGGGCATGATGAAACAAAGGGAGGGGTGGTTGCTTGTCATGCCTGAGCTTGAGGCAGGGAACACACAAGCTTCCAAGATGCTCAAATGGCTTGTTGGTGAGTAGACTATCTCAGTTGCACAGAAAATGATAACTCACCATTTATCTAGCGCTTCATGATGCATTTGAGCTATATGGCCATCCAAAAGCATATGCCTGGGATCCTTGCAATCCAGTTTTGCTGACGTTTGCTTATCCAGTCAATCCTGGGAGAGATGTTAGTACAATTTGCTTGCCAGCACAAGTCCGCTAATTTATTGGATGATAGCTCCTGTTCCTTGACCGTGAAGTTGCAGAGTCTATGGACCCTCATGACAACTGTACCTCTGCCATTTGCAATTGTCTCCTAAATATCCTCCACTCACACATGCCCGAATTGCATGCAATGTCTGCGCCACCCCCACTACCTCCCACGGGTCTAGGGGCTGATCTGAATCACCCACAGCAGCAACAGCCATCACAAAATGCTGCTCAGCCCCAACCACAAACACAAAATGGTCAGCCTGCTTACATCCCCCAGCTCCCCACAGTCAATTTCAACTTGTGCTCGCCACCAGACCTCACTGTTGGTCACACACTCTCCCCCATTACGGAATGGAGTGCAACACATGAAACATTTCTGGATTTCCCTCATACACAGAGCCACTCAATGTTGAATGAGCACCATGTGCCTGAGTCAATGATGATCAGCAGCTCAATGTCGAGCGAGAAGCCAGATTCTGTAGGGCAATCAATGAGCAGCGGACATCAGGACTTTATGTCATGTTCCATATCCAAGCATAGCCAGTCGCAGATGATTTCTCCACTTACTTTGTTGAACCCGGTCCTAGAGAACATACCTGGGTTGATGACTGGTCTCCCAATGACTGGAAGCCCTCCTCCCACCTCGTGTTCAGACTCAAGGCTTACACCAAGCATGGAGACTGGACAAACGAGGAGCATGGAGCTGTCAACAGTGGCGAGTGTGGATGTTGGCAGGTTCAAACTTCCTCTTACACCTGAATCTCCTGGGTCACCTACATTTTCTACGAGTTCGACAAGTCCCAGTTCAGGAAATGGTAGGCCTATTTTGCCAGGCATGTCGTTGTCGGCCCTTGTTGCACCAGTGCCCATAAGATCACCAGCTTCAAGAACTCCCCCTCCTGCCTTGCTCCTTTCATGTCTTACATCACCTTACTCTCCCAAAGGGAAGGATAAAGAGTTACCTTCTATTCAAGATGTACAAGATGTTTTACAGCTGCCGCCTCAAGCACCGTCTCTGCCTCATACATTTATAATGCAGGCTCACCGCCCTCACCTCCCAAAGCCCAGTTACCAACCCCACCACGAGTGCCTGTTATGTTGATGCACTTGCCACATTGTCTTTCCTTGATAGTGCACCCGACGTCACACCCCCACCTGCAACTACATCCCAGCTACCACCAATAGAACAAGGCATGTCATCAGAGCCTACCGTCGAGGGTAGCACTGCCTCTGAGAGCTCAGAGGGAGTTATACAGTATAGGTTGTCCTTTGCACCATCCAAGCAGGCTGCACAATGAAAGGCGTGTGCACAAGCACAACATCAGGCAGTGCTTCACAAGCCTGGGAGAGCAAACAGGAAGCATGTCACACATGGGAACAGGCTTTCTGGGTGGAACGAGAGCAGCAATGAAGAAGAGGAGGAGGATGAAGAGGATGACAAGGATGCTGATTCTGACGAGGAACCCCCTTCAACGTTGGAGAGCAAGAAGCCAGGTCTTGTCATGCCTGTACCAGTTCTGGCTGTCAGACCTCTGCATCCCAGTAGTGCAGGGTGTGCTGTGACACCTGGAGAACAAGCAACAGACATGAATCCCTACGTGCAGCTACAACATCCTCATAAATTGCCACCTGTTCCAAGGCCACTGACTCAAGGTCAGCATACCTCTTTTTGTTGAATTCTTTGAGCTGATGATCCACAGGTGGTGTGTCAGATGACTACATGAATGCCATGCCACCACCTTGGCGACTCACCTCTGATCAGCACATGCGAACACCAGATGATGCCCCTCACCTGCATCCACAGTCTGAATATACTACCCAAGTCCTTTGTCCACAAGCAGACTTTAATCAACATGCTGCCACCCATCAGAGCAGCATTTGGACACAGGTTCTTGATCCTGGTCGCATGCCTAGTTCTCATCCTCAACCTGAAACTCCCTCACATCAATGAGACCCTTTCATTCAGTTGGAACCTGCTTCCCATTCCATGATGAAAGCTTTTACCCCTCATGGTTTGCTATCTGCTGGGATGCAGGACAAGCAAGACTGGTCTGCCAAGAGACAAGAAGAACTTGCGCAGGAAACCAGTGCCTCACTCATCAACATTCCTAATAAGCCACCACCACCTCAGATGGGTCTCTTGGGTGCAATCACTGCTCATGAGCATGAGCGTAAATGTGAAGGTGGTGTCAGTGCTGCTCTGATGGAGCATGAGCACAAAAAAAGGATGGCTGAAGAATGGCAATGCAAGATCAATGACTTCCAACACAATCAACTGGAGATGCAGGGCATGTATGGAGGTGGCCAGCAGTACCCAAATATGATGGGCAACCCAATGATGGCCAATCCTATGATGATGGGCATGAACCCAATGATGACTGGTGGGAATCTGATGATGGCTGGTGCTAACCCCATGATGAATGGCACCAACCCCATGATGACAGGTGGGTATATGGGTCATCCAGGTATGATGCCAGGATTTGGAAATCCACAATTCTTTGCGCAGCAGGCAGCACAAGCTGCTTACCAACAAGCTATGATGGCATATTCCTCTGCTGGGTCACATGTCGGCAATGGCATGCACCCTATGCCCATGAATCCTATTCAGTGAGTTTTTTAAATAATCATTGTTACTTTGTATTACTACTTAAGCTACAGTGACAGGTGTAAACTCTACTGGCATACAGTTCTGGGTCAACTTGAATTGAACGGACAACTTGAAGTTACACAAGAGTTCAAATTGGAGCCAGATTAGTACAAACATGATGTGAGTGGCTAGTCCATTTTGAGCAACTCGCAAGCTGAAGCATATGCATATGAGCTACAGGTCCGCATTCCTGTAATTTTGGTAGACTTGCTTAAATGGTCATTGTGCAGCAGGGGAGTATAAAACAGGTGGTTGTTTCATTCCCTCATCTTGCATTTCTTATTCCTTGTCTGCTTTTCAGACAGTCACTCCTTCCAAGTTCCTCTTCATCAATGTCACACATTTCAGAGGGCAGCACATCAATCTCTGGCAGTACCATGGATGTTGATGGTCAGCAGAATGACCATGGCCTTCACCAAACTCCAGAATCTGAGTCAACATTTGCCCAGGCTCAGCAGAGAAGGAAGATTGCTGAACTCAAAGGAAAGTTAGAGGCTCTCAAGTCAGGGCATACAATGAAGGAAAAGTAGTAGGAACTCCACCATTCCTGGCTCAACTTTACTCATCATCCAACAGGCAAACGAATTATTATCTAGCTCAAGGATGAGGGCTAAGGCGTGTTGTCACTTTGTTTGATAGTATCAAGGATTTAGTTGCCAAAAATGACCAGAGATATGACAATGTTGACAATGATACTAATGGCACTGTTGAGTAAGTTTTTGCCTTCTATTTATGCCATGACAAGTGTGCTCATTGGTTTCATTACATAGCCAAGATCAGCTACTATATGGGTACAGCATCCTAGTGAGAACTTTGCCGTGGTTTTTGAAGAAAACCACAGACATGGAGCATGATGACTATGTGTGCATGCTGAAGATGGTATGTTTTACTGCCATGCAGGTCAATTCTTATGATCTTGAGACTGTTTAGCTTAGGCAAGGGGTTGATGGCACCTGGGGAGATGATACATCAAAGCTAAAGACTCTTGTTTCAGACTGGGTTAATCTCGCATTCAAGCCAACTCCCCCAGTCGATCCCGATGACAAACATTGCCATGGATTCATCAATGATGCATGTGGCAGATTACTATGCCCGACTGAACTTGACTGGAACAACCCAGCGTATGTAGTGGACTTGCATCTTTCACAACTCTTACTTTTTACTAGTGTACAAGCAGGGATTCGAGATCAATCAGAAGGCTATGTGGTGATGGACCTTTCTTTCCCAGTGTTTTTGTATGAAAAATACACTGCCAATCCTGATGATTTGGAGGAAGGTATCTTTAAGGGAAAAATTTTGCTGCAGGTTTGTCACACTCGAGTCGCCCGATGATGATCTCACATCATCTTACAGGCCTACAAAGCTGCCTTTACATCCCCATCCTCCGCAAAAGACATTGAGTGTGACAGCGATGGCGCAGATGTAATTGAGAACAACAAACACGCTAAGATGGCATTCTCAACAATCAAAGTGAAAAAACACATCGCACAAATTATCAAGATGGATAAAGTCACTGCTTGCTCGATTGTGTACATCACTTGTCAAGTAAGTTTGTATTATTGTAACTTTTGTTGCGATTGTTTATAAATGATGACTATGTATGCAGGTGCAATTTGCACTTTCATCTGTTACCTCGTGGCGCTCGATCAACGGTGACTTTGACTACACCCAATTCTGGTGGACTATTGTGGATTTCTTTGAAAAGCCTCCCAGTCAAGATGCTCGGCGCAGGGTTGAGCGACTCCTCAAGTGGTGGACAAGGTGTGTATCGTTTACATTGCTGAGCAGCCTCAACTGGACTCATTTTTAGAAAAGTTTTTGGAAAAAAACATTGCAGTGAGCTTAGCAATGCAGCGAAAGCTAATATGTCTGTGAACACTCTCGCAAGGCAGAGGGCCCAGCATGATGATGCTGCTTTTGATTCTTCTTAGATACCTATCAATAGTCTACCTACACTGTTTTCAAGCAATCACTGGCCGTCTCCACAAGTAATTTTTACTTTTAATATCATGATGATTTGATGAAACCTTGTCTGGTGTGATACACCACTCTCTTATGGTGACTTCAGACCTCATAAATACCATCTGTAACAGTGTAGCATGCACGACAGCATCTTAGATTCAGCCACTTGGTGTCAAAACACTGAAAGCAGGAAATACAACACAACTATGGAAATGTCTGTGGAATCTGGTTGTTTTCGCTAGCAGCACAAGTTAAGCCTCATGGTGTCCATCCACCTGCTTGATTTCAACAGGCTGCATGTATGAAATACATTGTAACTATGACAATGTCTATTGCTTCTACTCATTTCACTGATGGCACAAATCACCCCTTGAATTGTTCATCCATGTACTTGGTTTCAAAAGGCTGAACATAGGAAACACAGAGCGCTCGTGACAATACCTGCAGTTTTTAGTCCAATTGCTGATAGCACAATTTCAGCTTCAAAATGTGGGTCCTCTCACTTGGTTCAGTCATTTGTGTGTACTAGGAATGCAATGCAGTCATTGCAATCTCGTGGGATTGGAAGACGCCTTAGCTTTGAAGTCCCTTGTTGCTGAATCAAGGACTTACAATGCAAAGGTCCCAAATGTCCTCATTAAGAACTCCTCTTGTGGTGGCCAAAGACACACGAATATGTTAATGCATGGCGCAATGCACCATACGCTTGTCAAATAGGAAGTGATGTACAGTGGATGGTCATTAAATGTCTGAATGACATGGCACCAAAGCCAGAAGCTGTACATACAAGCACCACTGGTGATGAGGAGGACACACAACTGTTGCCTGGAAGCAACTGGCTTTCATTCTGATTTGGATGGTTGTTCTATAATTAATGGGAATGAAGCTTCAATGCGTACATTTCTGGTCAGTTCACCTCACCAAGCAATCCCAACTCCTGGCAAAGGTAAAGCTTTTTCTCACGGATTCCCAATTGAAATTATGCTGATGATCATTAGGTATTTCAAAGCTGATAGCATCAACATTTAAAGCAGCAGGTATTTTTGCTCTCGCTCACTTGTCGGACAGGTTGCTTTTGTTGGAAAGATACTAACTTCCATCGCCGAACGGAAAGTTTTCCTACGACTGCTAGATGTTCATCACTTCAAGCGGATGACGTCTAAATTCAAAGCGGCACGTGTTTTTGCTCTCACTCACTTGTCGGACAGGTCGCTGTTCTTGCGAAGATACTAACTTCCATCGCCGAACGGAAAGTTTTCCTACGACTGCTAGATGTTCATCACTTCAGGCGGATGGCGTCTAAATTCAAAGCAGCAGGTATTTTTGCTCTCGCTCACTTGTTGGACAGGTCGCTTTTGTTGGAAAGATACTGGCTTTCACTCTTGGCATCGTAGTAGCGAACATTACTTCTGAACTGATGATTCTGATTTCTTTAGATGACTATTACCTTCACAGGATTTAATTCACTCTCGTTCATTGGATGGACACATTGTCTTTTTCTGCAAGTTGCTGATATTCGCTCTCAGTCTTGAAACAGCGAATGTGTACACCTAACTTCCCTATTGCCATGTCTCTTGGCCCATCATTAACTTCCAACCCACCATTCCTTCAAGTTTGAGTTCGAGTAATGCCTACGTCCTTTCCTGATCTCAAACTTGCATAAGAAAATCAGCAACTCTTCTTTCCTCTATAAAGTCAAATAAGACCATGTAATAATCGATAGCAGAATTGTTGTGATGCTGGCCATTATGGGCTATATATTGTTATATATGTCAATTTACTTTGTTCACCAGTTCACTGATGCACTGTTAGGAAACGTCTTATCTATCGACACCAAGGAGCCTTGGTTGACTTATACCGAATGGGCTGCTGCTCATGGTACGTGGGGAGATAGCATGGTGCATATGTGGTGCAAATCATTATATCAGGAGACTTGGTTTTCGTGCGCCTTCTAGGCCAGGAAGTCGTGGTGATCAATTCTCAGCACGTTGCAGAAGCTTTAATGGATAAGCGTTCTCGCATTTACTCCGACCGACCATACTTAGCCACACTCGAGCCGTACGTTCTTCTAATATTCTTCGATTCAATCATAATGGAGTACAGGCAGGTTTGGTTGGTCCGTCGTCTTTGCATTCACAGGTTATGGTGATGAATGGCGTCTTTCCCGACGACTCTTCCACCAAACTTTCCGTCCCGACTTTGCACTCAAGTTTCGTCCTAAACAGATCAAGCGGGCTCGTGAGATGATCGTCAATCTAATTGATGACCCTCAACATTATCATGATCACTTCGCAACGTTAGTTAATGTGTTTTTAAACATTGAATGACTATTTACCTGTTTACAGATTCTCGTCATCAGTTGCGATGTCAGTGACATACGGCTACCAGACTAGTCCTCGTGATGATCCTCTGGTTCGAATCGTAGAAAATGCACTGGCTGTTAGCCTTCAGGTGATGACCCCAGAGAGAGCAATCCTACTTAAAATCTTCCCCTTCTGTGAGCTTATTCTCGTTGATGAGAAAGACCTAACATTCCGCGCCCTGATGCAGTGCTGAGGTTACCTGACTGGTGCTGGGGATCTGCGATCAAACGCGATGCTCGAATTTCGACCCATCGTATGACTGAAATGACGGACCTGCCGTTCCAATATGCGCAGGAGCATATGGTGGGCAACTTTTTTAGTCTAGTTCAGTTCTAGATGTTGATTGTGTGTTTGCTAAGGTCGAAAACTTGTCCCTCAGCCAGGTTTCTATGGTATCAGACAATTTACAACGGATGGAGAAGCTGGATCACGCATCAAAATCCATCTTCGAGACTGCCTTGAAGAAAGTAGCTGCTGCTGCTATTACAGGTTTGTCAACTCTTCATAAGGGAAATTGTGTTCTTTGATAGATGTCTGTGTAGGTTCATATGAGACGGTCAGCAGATATCTGAATCATATTGTCTGTTGCTTAACCTCTTCACAGACCACGTCGACCTTGATGACTTTTGCTCTCGCCATGGTATTGCAACCAGATGTTCAGAGACGTGCGCAAGCTGAAATTGACTTGGTGGTTGGAGGAGATCGTTTGCCTACATTTGAAGATAGAGCCTCGCTACCCTATGTTGAATCAGTCCTCCGGGAAACTTTGCGATGGCATCCCATTGGACCCATTGGTACTCCTTGCCAAGTGATCTCGCTTTCACTAAAAACAATCTTATAGGCGTACCACATGCTACCTCAAGTGACGATATATTCGATGGCTACTTTATTCCAAAAGGTCTGCCGTTTTCATCCAGTGAACAAACATTTTGTGATATCGTACATCAGGAGCAACCGTCATATCCAACATATGGTCAGATAAATCCTGTCTGGCTTTCAAAATACTGATATTATATTGCAGGGGCATTTCACGGGATGAAAAGCGGTACCCCAAAGCATCTAGCTTTATACCAGAGAGATTCCTGGCCGTCAATAATGCGCTGACGGACGATGACCCTGCTAAATATGTTTTCGGCTTTGGCCGGCGTGCATGTCCAGGTGGGTTGAGTTATTTCATTACCGTATAGAGCTAATACATTCTTTGATCAGGCCGACATGCTGCTGATGCCTCTGTGTGGTCCGTTATTGTTACTATGTTGGCCACGGTGGAGTTTTCTCCTGCCAAAGACGACCAGGGCAAAGTGATCGAATTCACCCCCCGATTCACGACGGGATTCACTCAGTACTTGGTTTTTCTCTATCATTCCATCTTCCCGTCACTAATAGTTCCATCGCTTTAGCTCCCCTATGGTCTTCCCTTGCAATATCTCAGCACGCTCTCGTGCCCATTCAGAACTTGTGGATGTTTTCCGAACGGGAGCATGACATGTTTTCTGGTGAATGAACGTATATATCTTCCTTCTTTCTTGGGCTCACTACCTGACCAATTTGTCAAACATTCGGTACCTTTTTTGACCCTTCTCCGCAACTTTTTACTTAGCTCCGTTTTGTGTACGTGTTATGTGAAATATGTACCATGTACTGGTATTCAACTACCTGCTTGCGCGTGCACGAGACGCAACTGAGACCTATTAGGTATAGTCTCGTAGGCAAACCCGATAGAAGACAGTGGTTCACTCAGTGAAGGTCACGGGCTCGCGGTACGGCGCTACCAGGGCCTGATCAGACTTACTCCGATTGATTCCGAGTACGCCTGCAGGGACACCGCGTCGTCATTACTATCAATATCAACACGATAACGAAATAGTAAGTAACAAGCAAGTAACACATAAAACAGGGGAAAAAATAACAAACAACAAAGATGAAGATAAAAAGTATATCCACACCAGCCAAAGCAACGCGAGAAGTGCAGCACAACAACAAGGTGAATACAACGCACAACAGCCTCGGGGGAAATAACAGGAAAAATGATAAAAACACGATAAACAAATGAAACGAAGGAGATAAGAGCACCTCCTGCAAGGACCTAAAACCCAGTAAACGAACGCAACGCGCCAAATACCCTCCCCGCTAACCCCACCCCCTGAGGTCCAGCACCAGGACCAGCAGACGGGGGATCAATCTCGTACCCACCTTCCAGCACCTTCATCATCCTATCCACACCCATCTCACTGGCCTTCTTATCCCCCCAGAACTGCACAAGAAACCGATGTCCAGCAGAAGACGCCCGGTACTCGAGGACTTTACATAACACGAGTTTTCCGAGGGTACTGCTTGGATCAGGGACGATGAGGAGGAAAGCTTTGTCGACGAGTTGTAGTGGATTTGTGGCGAAATCGTGGAGACGTTCTGGGGTGAGTTGTCTATGGGGACGACGAGCGAGGGCAGGGGCGATGGGTTCTAGAGATGAAGGGAGTTCGCTTTCTTTTGGGAGATCTGGAGAGGGTTCTGTCATCGTACAGGCGTCGCGGAAATCTCGGGCTTTGGTGAGTGGGAAGAGAGCTGGGGGCATGGCGGCATCAAAGTCGAAATTGGGGTGGCTATCGGGCTCGAAGTGTGGGTGAGTGATGCTCGCGCCGTCGCTGCTCCCGCTGTTGCGGTCAGCTTTGGTAAGAATTTCGTGAAATGTCGTGGAGTAGTAAGACCCCGCTGGTGGGTTCGTATCGGGGAGGCACAGCATGAAATCACCAGGACCTGGGGCTGGGTCAACGGGTGGAGGAAGAGATGTTTGGATGATAGGACCGAGAAGCGGGCCTGGCTCGACACTTGACATGGACCCATTGTCTTTAGCTGCTTCGTTACGCATCGCCAGCTTCCTTCGAGCACTACCAACATGATTGAATTGATGAAGCGACGCAGCAGTTATGTTCGACTCACCGAGAATTACGAGCATTAATACGCTTCCTCTCTTTCATTTTCTCAGCTTCTAGTTCGTCACTAATGGGAATCAATACGTCAGCGAGTTAGATTGAAACGGGAACACATACATCTCGCCATTCTTTATTCTTTCCTTCAGCCGCTGCCTGTATTTTTTATTTGCCTCACGATGTTTGTCCGATGTTTTTAGAGTTGTCTGGAAACAAGTTGAACAAATGAACAAGCCAGAATGGCTGAGAACAAAATACCGAGCTATTGTGACTATTCATCATCGCTGAAATGCCTTCTGTATCTACTTCCATTGCATCCCCTGCATAATCAGACCCAGGGTCTACGCCAGAAGCTGGGGAAGGTAAGGCTCCTGCTGAGGACGGCGTGGGATATTGAGCCTGAGGCCAGCTAGCAATCTGCGACTCAGAACCTACTGCTAGCGTGCGCTGAACAGGACGTAGAGTAGTTGATGTGGACAGCGAAGCGTGCGATGACGCGGGAGGTGTAGGACAGCGCGGAAAAGTAGAAACTGAGGTATTTGCTAATGCTGCGGATTGCGCGGATAAAGTTGATAAAGCTGCTGCATTAGCATTAGGTGTCACAGATGCGGGGAGTTGAATGGTCGATGAGGTGTGCGCTGCAGCTGTACGGTCATTGACATGATTTGGAGGTGGTGGGGGTGGTGGGAAAGTGTAAATAGGTGGAGCAGGTAGGTGCGCAGATGATACAGGTGCAGATTTTGGTGCAGAGGTAGCTGGCGTAGGCGCGAGAAGGAGGTCGCGGAGGAGTGGTGAATTGTGATACGTTGGATGACGTCGTTAGTGGTGTACGTATCAGTGGGGTAGGTGTAGGTATGGGGGTACGTATGGATGAGGTGGGAATAGGAGCACCAGCAATATTAATGCCAATAGCGGGTGCAGAAGCAGTAAGAGACGATGTAGAAGCGTTATTTGTGATAGATAATGTCTTTGAATGTCCTGCAATCGATGCTCTTGGCAAGCGGATTGTTAGTGGTGTACGAACGCGAGGTTGAGCAGTACTAGTACTGTTAATCGGTTCTGCTGATACCGCCGCGGGTCCCTTGGAACGCGTATACGGTGTAGCACGAGTTGGCGAAGAATTAGTCGCCGGTGCGGGAGATGATGATGGAGTATCATGGGTATGACCGGACGCTGTAGTTTTTGCGCGTGTCTGAGGCATGTTTGGAATAAGAGCTATAAAATTTGAGTTTGATGAAGCCTGTGAAGCCTGATTTTCGAGCAACGATAAAAGAGGAGGCAACAATATTGCGGTCGTAACAATCCCTGCAGCTCAAAGTCAGGCCGATTCAAGGATTTGGGGAGCAACCACTGCGTCTCGTACCACCTTGGGCCCAGCTGAATATCAAAGTTGAAAATGAAAAAGAGCGTGAACACTTCCGTTCAGTTCTTTCCATCTTTGGTGCGAACTTCGTTCAACTGGCCCATCTGGCTTTTTTCCGACAAACGTCGTCAGCTCATCGTGAGACTCGGGTAGTGCGTTGAACCTAACCGTTTCTAGAGGGTTCCCAATACCTGAGCAAATGCCCAAGACCATTCTTTCCGCTCATGTGTATTGACATTCACTATCCAAGCCAAGAAAGAACGACTGTCTTCTCTGGTAGGGGAGAGTAGACTTCTACAGTTGCAAAACACATCAATTGCAGGTGATAGGTTGCAGAAAAAACCTCGCATGAACAGGATGACTCCTCTCCCACCCAGTCCGATGTTGATAGATCGAAGGGTTCCAGAGTTGTTCGCATCCGTCAACACAAGTTGATTTAGTATCAGGCGTTCGAGAGTCGGCAGATTACAGTTTGCGTGGGCACAACAGACTTTATCTGCATTCAACTGTCTTTTATATGATAGGTTTGTACACACTTGACAAAACCATAGTATTCTGACAATCCCTCCTAAATTGGCTGTATGGCTGCAAGGTACGAAGTTCTTATATGCTGTTTGTGCCGTATCTTCCAACCAACATAAAACCGTCGTACCATCTGGGGAGAAGGGGACAAGAGTTCACATTCAACCGTCGTGATGGCGAGAGGTGGCACACGCATCTCCTGGCATTCCGAGTCAACGGTGGCACTGACCTGCTTCTATTCTACGTTGGAGCTGGCACACTCCCTGCTACGCTTCACTAGTTCTTCCACGAATTCTTCTGCGAGAAGAAGGTTCTCGTGGTTCTTGCAATCACAAACCTCGAAGGAGAGCAGAGGATAGAGGACGGGCACCTTCGAACGATATCAGATCCCATATGTGCATCACTGCTACTGATAGATTGGACAGCAGACACAGAAAACCTCTATGAGATTCGCACGTCATGATCCGCGGCCCTTTCAAAAGATTTACTGCCGACGGGCGGGAGCAAGCATGGATAAGAGGGACATGTGAGATGCCCTCATCTGATGGAGCATTGCAGTGAGTATGTCTCCAAAAGTTACAAAAAGTTGGCTAATATGATCAAGCAAGACATTTATCCAATCGTGGATTTTTTTGCCGATACATTGACTCTCATGAACATATAATTACGTATATTTCACTAGTAGTACTGTAGGACGGCCTCACAAGCAGTACCTGCCCGGGCTGACACCTTTTCAATGAGGGCCTTTAAAGGAGACCTGTCGTTTTCCGCATCATCATCAACTTCGCAAGTCCCTGCACCGTGAGGGTGCGATGTATCAAAGCACTCAGGATGCCGACTGAGGGGGTCAGGCTATAGGCAACTTGGTCATGGTCCTTACCAGGCGCCAGTTTGTGATCACCCGTTAGATGGGGTTGGACACCTCCTTCCAATGTCGATTATATTAATCGCATTTGACCCCAGATCAGACCGTTTTCAAATAGGATGACACTATTCTTGGTGCGACGTACTTTTGTTCGTCTTTCGTCTGTCACGCGGCATTGCCCTTGTAGTTGTAGCATTGTGGCGTCCTGGATTCTGTATTTGCATATACTGTGGTAGCATGATGTTTATGCTCCTCTCACGAGGCTGTACATACCGCACACAAAATATAAGGCATTTTATAAACCTAAATCATTCCAGATGTCAATGTTAATTTCTTTCGCGTGACGCGAAGTTAGATCGTCCTGAGGTGGTCAATGACTGATTCGCAGGGTATCGAAATTTAGTGAGGCCACGAATGTCGTGGAGTGTGACGAGGGAGGGGTCTACATCAGAATAACGAATATGATTTGACGTCATCGAGTTCGAAATTGGCTGAAACAGATATATGAAGGTGGAGAACAAATGCGGCTCATTGTCGAACGTTGTCAATACCATGATCAATATAGTCCGTTACATACATAGGAAGATGGACATAGCGCCGGTCGAAGACCTGAGTGATTTATCAACACAGCACTTGAGCTGTGACGCAAACACGTGGATAACACATGGGGTGCACACCATAGTACACGACTTAAAGCAACAGATGCCCAATTTCTTCGGCTCCAAACCAAACGTCTACTGTTTCAGTGTACAGTCTGTCCTTCACATTAGTGATCGGAGTATTTCAACCTGTGTAAACCAGTTTGAACAGTTTGTCGTGAGTGATATTCTAGGCTGTAAAGTGGCCACCTGCTTACCGACAACTTGGATACCGTAAATTTTTTCGCATTACATTACAGCAAGACCTACATACGTAGTCCCTAAGCCGCCAGCGGGTCAGGACTGTCTTTGTCTTTGTCGGATAACCCATTTCATTCAAATATCTCGGCGGGCTTCCTGCATAGTCCACTTGCAAGCGCCATCATGGATTCTCTAATCGATAATACACCAGCGGTCATGCCCAGGAAGACGATGCGAGGCCACACCGACCAAGTACGAGGTGTTCTGCACCTGCCTGGCAGACGGCGCATCATCACATGTTCGGAAGACGGTTCACTCCGACTATGGGACCTGGAGAGTGGTGCACAGATTCGCGACGACTGGCGAGACGAGGGTGACAAGGCAGCGGTGTTCACCATAGCATTATCTCCAAACGGGGACACCGTTGCGAGCGGAAGCGATGATGGAAAGGTGAGGTTGTGGGATGTCGAGACGGCGGAGGTAATTGCCAAATGGATAGGGCACACTGATTGGGTACGGTCAGCATGCTGGAGTACAGATGGTCAGCGAGTGGCCAGCGGATCCGACGACGGGACAGTAAGGGTGTGGGATGTCAAGAGGGGGAAATCAGTTCTGGAAATCAAGACCGAGAGCCAATGGGTGTTGTCAGTTACCTACTCACCCAATTCAACAAAAATCGCGACCGGCGTACACAACGAGAGCGGCGTAAAAATCTGGGATAGCAAAACGGGCGAGCTGCTCGCTACACTCAAACACGATTATCAAGTTTGGAGCGTGGTTTCGTGGACATCGGATGGAAAGAGGCTTGTCTCCGCGTCGTATGGCTACATTAGGATATTCGACACTGCCACTTGGCGGCGGGTCGCCATCTTGGAGGGCGGCACTGCTGGCACATTTGATGTCCACACCTTATGCTTGTCTTGGAACGGCCGCCTCCTTGCGAGTGCATCAGACGATCAGACAGTGCACCTGTGGAATCTTACCAAGAGTATCCCAGTCGGTGCACCTCTCCAGCATGACGGCAATGTGAGATGTGCAGCCTTTTCTGTTGATGGAAAGCTGCTAGCCACCGGTTGCGACAACAATGTGTACGTGTGGGACATCTGTGGCATCCTTAAACAAGTGGGCTTTGAAGACCTACTGTCTCTTCCTAATGTGAGTGTAAATGCCATGACTTTCCACCAAAGACCACGCTAATATCCCATTCGTGATAGATTGTAGCTGGAAGCTCGTTAAGGAATGTGCGTGACGTGTTTCTAACCTTGTCAGCCATGTAAGATCGATGTTCTAGAGTAATGTGGCACGGCGCCCAACTCAGCTCAAGGATGCCCATCGAGAACTGCCAGGCTTTTTCGATGACGCGCCCCATGTGTGTTTTCTATGGTTTTGTTAATCACTTTTCGTTCTGACATGTGTGCTCTCAGTCGTCAGCGACGCGCAACATCCACCGTCGTTCCTCTGCGCGCCGCCGCCGGTCTCTCTCAACCTCTTTTGAGAGTCGAACTACGCTCCTCGGCCGCCTTCCAACGCTCTTTCGTCATTCTCGCCCCACAACCGGCGAAGCAACCGAACTCGAGCAACACCCAAGGCAAAGCATCTTCTCTCGTCGCAGTCCTCTTGCTGTTGAAGTTCCTGCAGTACAGGACAGAAAGGTACGATTTTCTTCGCATGCTTTTGATATCGCCATGGTTCAATTTATTCTCTCCAGCCGTTGGTTGTCGCTCCGCGCTCAAGAAAACCAACACAGCGGCAGCACAGGCAATCGCAAGCCCAAGCGTCGTCGTCGCTAATTCAGCCTGCCGCTCCCTTGACGTCCACAACACCTGCTCCAGGTACTAACGTCACCACGCCAGGTGCAACCGGACAGTGCAGACCTATCCCATTGTGGGCTCGTTTTGTGCTGTTCCTCTGTTGTGCATCTCCTCCACACCCCAATGGCCACTGATACTGCACTTGTGGAGAACTATCTCATCTTTGCTTCGAGCTCTTCCGTACTCTTATCTCTTTCTCTACACCTTCAAGCTTCGCTACTCCGTGAATCGTGTTCTCGTCGCGAGGCTCGTGGGGTGCATTCACACCTCTTTATGTGCGCATCGCTGTCCCGTCACATCGCGAGTTGTTCGTAGCGCTCTATTAATGTTTCCATTCGCAAGACATACTAACATTCATCGACACTCGGAATATCGATACCTCTCTTGAAACCAACTCATTTTTGAAGCGGTACGTTCGAGGAACAGGGTAGCTGGGTACAGTATATGTATGTAGCACCCAGACGAGTATAGCTGAGTACATGTGGACTTCTTGCGTTCAGGTTTGAGTTTCAATCCATCCACCCAGCGTCCCGCAAACTACATCTTGCGGGGTGTGCTTGTGTGACACCTGCTTTCCGATAAACAAGTCTTTGTATACACATTGCGATCCAGTTCAGAGAAGATCTCCTGGATCGACGTGAGAACGTGGCGAAATATTGCAAGGGAAGACCATCAAGGAGCTAAAGCAATGCAACTGTTAGTGATTGGAGGGTGGGACTGGCTAAATAAAATTACCAAACGAGTCCGGGGTTGAATTGAGGGGTGAAGTCGATCACTTTGCCCTGGTCATCCTTGGCGAAAGAAAAGTCCACCGTGGCTAACATGGTCACGATAGCAGACCATACGGAAGCATCACCGGCATGCCGCCCTAATTAAAGAAGGGATTGGCTCATCACATATAACAGTGAAGCGGATCAACCCACCTGGGCATGCGCGCCGACCTAAGCCAAAAACGTATCTCGCGGGATCATCATTTGTCAATACGCCGTTGACGTCTAGGAACCTCTCTGGCATAAAACGAGATGCGTCAGGGTACCGCTTTTCATCCCGTGAGATGGCCCTGCAATGTGACATCAGCATCTCGAACTCGGTAGAGAATCTATCTGACCAGGTGTTACACATGACGGTCGTTCCTGATGCACGATATTACAAATGGTTTGCTCAACGAACGGATAAGAATAGCAAACCTTTCGGAATAAAAAAACCATCGTATGTATCATCACTCGAGGTGGCATGTGGAACGCCTACATTATTATTTTTAGCAAAGGCAGAATCACCAGCAAGGAAGATTACCAAGAGGTAGAATGGGGTGCCATCGGAAAGTCTCCCGCAGAATTGATTCGACATAAGGTAATGATGCTCTGTCCTCAAACGTAGGTAAGCGATCTCTTCCAATCACAGAGTCGATTTCCGCTTGTGCGCGTCTCTGAACATCTGGATACAATACCATAGCGAGAGCAAAAACCATCAAGGTCGAAGAAGTCTGTGAAGAGGTTGGGAAGCAGCACACGATATTATTGGAACACCGCTGACCGTCTCATATGAACCTGCATAGTATATTTGTCAGGGGTACAACATCTCTTATAAAAAGGTGACGTACCCATAACACCAGCTACAGCTGCTCTCTTCAAAGCAACCTCGAACGTTGGCTTGGATGCCTCGTCTTGCTTCTCCATTCGTTGTAAATTTTCTGCTACCATTGAGAACTGGCCAAGGAACGAGTTTTCAGCCTTTGTAGGCATGTAATCAACGTCTAGCTCCAAACTAGATTTTAAAACCGATTCTCACCATATGCTGCTGCGCAGATTGAAACGGCAAGTCCCTTATTTTATTCATATGATCGGTCGAAATTTGAGCATCGCGTTTGATCGAGGATCCCCAGCACCAGTCAGGTAACTTCAGTACTGCATGAGAGTGTGGGATGTCAAGTCTTTCTCATCAGCGGGAGTGAGCTCACAGAAGGGGAAGAGTTGAAGCAAAATTGCTTTCCCTGGGGTCGTCATCTGAAGGCCAACAGCCACTGTATTTTCCATGATTCGAACCAGAGGATCATTACGAGCGCTGGGTTCGTAGTCATATATAGTAGACATCCCAACCGATGACGAGAACCTGTGGATAAGTTAATAATTGCTTGATATTTGCAAATACATTGGCTGACGTTGCGAAGTGGTTGTGATAATGTTGAGGGTCATCGATTAGGTTGACGATCAGTCTCACGAGCCCGTCTCATCTGCACCGGGCGAAGCTTGAGCACAGAGTTAGGACGAAAAGCTTGGTGGAAGAGCCGTCGGGAAAGACGCCATTCGTCCCCATAGCCTATGAATGCAAAGGTGATCGCGGACCAGCCAAATCTGGCTGCATCTCAGATTGGTTGAATGAAATAAACATTAAAAGAACGTACTGTTCGGCTGTAGCTAAGTATGGTCGATCGGAGTAAATATCAGAACGCTTGTCCAACAAGGCTTCTGCAATGTGCTGGGAATTGATCGATATGACTCCCTGACCTAAAAGTCGTACGAGAAACAAGTCTCCTGATATAATGGTTTGCACCACATATACATCATACTATCCGTCTACGCACCATAAGCAGCGTGCCATTTCGTATAAGTCAACCAAGGCTCCTTGGCGTCAATAGATAAGACATTCCCTATCAGTGGGAGCGGCACTGGGCCAGGGGGAAGACAAGGTTTGCTCTCTCTGTTCGCAATGAACCGCCTGAGGGCTATGATAACAGCGAAGGAAAGTGGTAAGACGGCGAGGATATCAAGGCGACCATCAACTGAAGGATACATGTCTAGAGCAGTACGCAGATATACATCCAAAGCACGAAACAGGTCTTATAAAGGACCCATGAGAAACCCCATGGAAACCAGATTAGTGGAGGCCCCAATTTGTCCGAGTGCCGTCCTGAGTTCACCTGAAAGTAAATTTTTGCTGAGAAAACGAGGCCAGCATACCAAAATTATGCTGTCATCGATCAGTTATATTTTATTCTGCAGGTTATTTGGTGAGTGATAAGTAGATGAGTAATATAGAGCCTTGATCGCATGTGAAATTCGTCAGCACACCAGCACCCTCAATTGGCACAGATAGGCACTCACTATGTTGTTCCGCAACTTGGTAAGGAGTACCGTTCCGCTGAGGATGGAATTACCTTTGTACCGCATTTATGAGCTACTCGCTTAGATAAAAAGCATGCCCTCACTTTCTAATTAAATATTGTATCGCAGCACGTTATCAACTCCCGCAAATACAAGCACACCTCTTCGAGGTGCTGCCACTGAAACAGACTCACCTGTGCCATCCAAAATTGCAAAAAGAGCCCGACGGAAAACACTGGATAGCGGAGAAAGTTGGGACAGGGAGTCAGGGAGGGTAGCCGTCGGGTCACCGGGACATCAGATAACAAAGTGTCAAAGTAGCAATCACCTACAAATTAAAGGTCCAGCACGAGCTTACTTAAACATTGCGTTGACAGAGACCATATTAAGAAGCTGAAATTAATATTGACGCGGTCCTCAGCGTGCGCCTAGGACGAGGCATTGACGCGGCACTGTTGGAAAAAGAGATTAGCCATGACTTGAGGTTTCTACTCGGACGCGTCACACATGACATTGGTCCTATACAAAGTGCAATTGAGGGTCGGAGGAATATCAGTGAGCTTCGAGTGGATGTAGGAACGTTCATCGGGCCGCAAACTGTCGGTCTTCTTGCAGTGCTTGCGGCATGGTCGAGCTCCATGTATGTAGAAACAGTGCAATCAATATCAATGACATTCTCTTTGTTATGTATGTTCTAGCGAGTCTCATGCCACTGTAAAAAAGCTATAAGCTATTTCAATTCTGAGGCGGAAGTTTCCAATGCTCATGAGCGTAAATGCTATGACTTTCGACCAAAGGCCACGTTCATTCGTAATAGGTCATAGCTGGAACTTCGTATATAAGTTACAGGCTTACAGCTGTGTGAGAAAAGTGACAAAATTTTTCACGCGCGTGTGACCAAAAAGGAAATCACGCAGACGCGACTTGGACACATCCGATGGCGCGGTCTTCCTGCAATTCAACTTGCCCCAAAACCGGCAAAGCAACCGTCTAACAACACCCAAGGGCCAAGGCAAAGCATCTCCTCTCGTCGCAGTCCCTTTACTGTTGAAGCCCCTGCAGTGCAAGACAGACAGGTACGACTTTCTTCGCGTACGTTTGATATAGCCATGGTTCTATATATTTTCTACTTAGTAGGGACCTATGACATGGGTCGACCTAGGTCATACCCGCACCCGACCCGCGGGCACCAAAAATTTTAGAGGTCTATTCATACCCACTCGGATCAGAGCATCGTGGGTGGACATATTTTGCGGAACTGGTATGTACATGTGCTAAATGACGAAACAAAGTATCTACGAAGCTTAGTCGGAGTCAATAACAATCTCGTTGCTCTTTCTTCTTGACAGCGCATCGCATCGGAATGAGGGCACGATAGGCCTCTGACAGGCGTGTACTTTGAAATCGAGCCGCTAAGCATTCGTAAGTGTCTGTAACGCGCGTAAGTTAAGCGTTCATTCCAGTGGTTTTGCAGATGCTGATAGGAACTTTTTTACATTCGACAAGGCCCTCCTCCCACGGTACCAGCAGGGACATCAGCTGAATGATAACTTCATGCTTTCCGAAAGATAGGGCTGAGCCGATCTGTTTGGAAAGGTCACTCCCTTATGCGATGCGTCATTTTGAACAGCTTTAGTGACTAAGTAACTCACTCGGATAAACAAATTCTAGGGGTTTTTCGTTGTGCATGGCGTGAGAGTGTCCTCTGGAATTTTGTTTGCTCGGAGTTTGAGTTCAAATGAACCAAGCGAGGTCTGAGTGATAACAGGGTTCCAGACACCGTATAAATACAGCTGCCAGGGAACGTATGGATGGCAGCCAGAGAGCCTTCTGATCAGCATGTTTGTCCCTGTGACGGCCCCACTGCTGGAGAATTAGCTGGTACCACGATCTTCATACCTGACACGGCCTCAACGTGGCCATGGCCCCGTCGTCTCAATCAGCACTATCCCGAAGTCAAGGTCGAATCTGCAGCTTGGTTTGCGAGTTGTAAAGCCTTTAATAGTGCTAGAGTACTAGATGCCTTTGAACGCATCCATTGCGGTAAGACATGGTGCATGATAGTCCTGTCAACATGTTTATGAGTCATTTATCAGATCTCATGAGTTGTTTAGGCTTCCCAATCGCGAGCAAAGGTGAGCCACGATTCCAACCGATAACTTACTGAGAAATCCATCCGCTGGTAGTGCATCTTCGTAACATTTGCGACATAATGAGAATTTTATTCGTCATAGATGAATACTCAGATGTGTCAAAGCCAAGTGATGTCCGCGAACAGAAGAACACTGTCATGGACGCTTTGCATAACCCTCATAAACCACGTCCCGAAGGAGAATGGGTTGGTGGAGAAATGACGCGCCAGTGAGTGCTTTGCTGTTTGATATTCAGCAAGAAACTCATTCCAGCGGCAGAACCTGGGAACGCACCATACGTGATGCTAGTGCGCAGTCACAGAAGCGGTTTATCGCAGCATTCGACTTATTTCTAGAGGCCACGATGCGACAGGCAATTGACCGAAGCAAACATCATATCCATGACATTCAAGGCTACATCGATGTGCGCCGCGACACGATCGCAATGAAGATTTTGTTCGCGCTTTTGGAGTTGGGCCTGGATATCCCAGATGAAGTCATGTCCCACCCAACAATTGAGACCATGGTTCTCGCATCCACCGACATGATCATTATTGATAATGTCAGTGATTCTTCTGATGATCGCAACGCCACCAATGACACTCGTAAAATGTACGACAGGACATTATATCCTACAATTTGGAGCAAGCACGTGGAGATGCTAGTCACAACTTCATAACGACTGTCATGCGCGAGCTTGATACGGATGTCAACGGTGCCATGTTATGGGTGGCGGATCTCCATATGAAAGCCCAGAAAAGGTTCTTGGAGGCGATGGCAGCCATTCCAAAATGGGGAGAGCCCATTGACTCGCAGATGAGAGAGTACTGCGATGGCTTGGGAAACTCGGTGCGCTCAAACTATGAGTGGAACTTTGAGACCGAGAGGTATTTCGGCACAAAGGGTCCAGAAATTCGAAGTAAGAAATGTATGTCGCTGATGCCGAAGGACTGCCTGAAAGATTCTAAAGAGACTGGACCTGTACATGTTGATTGCGCTCTGTTATAGTATCACTATGAAGCTATATGTACTCTCACATACCTATGTATATCTCGCATGTTCTCTCCTTACACAAGTTTTCGGATAGTCCCCTCGCTACGGCACTTCTCAATCTAGTCGAGGAAGCAAGCTGCAGCATCTTACCCTGCGTCCTACTTCTCCTCAGCTCTAGGTCTCCAGTGTGGTAGTGCAAAACCAGCATGAAGCCTTACGAAATCCACCAGTAGTTCGATCGGAAGACGAAATTTGAACCCAAAGGATGGTGCACACCTGCAATATAGTAGCAATACCCTCGATAAGACACCCTGGACATGTCTCTTTTGTATTGTACCGATAGCAATGCATGACCTCATGAACCAGCACACCTAGTGTTTCATGTCGTGCGCGAGCCTCTGATGATTTGATCCAATCCAGGGAGAAACTAATCTCTTTTGTCTCATGCGTGCTCAAAGTGTATGCCACGCCATTGAACAGTCTGAGAGCGAGTGTAACGGTCTCGGCCCCCGGAACGCAGATGATTTACAACACATTTATGATGAATTGAAAATGCATAGTACTCACCGCATTGGGGCCTGTGAGCTGGGTATACAGCTAGGTAGAAGATGCTTTTGCCAACTGCGAGCCTGAGTACTTCCTTGGGGTGACAAGTCCTCCACCCTCAACACAAAATTGGGTATCATTCAAGATGGCGGGGGCGGGAGATCATGAGGGGTGTGAGTAAATGGTGTTATCACAAGCAGACAAGCAAATGAGGGTGTCAGATTTGAATAGCTTCCTTGATAGGGTCCGAGTTTCGTTGTCTCAGGGTACTCAGTACTTAAGAGTCAACTGTACAGGAGATGAAAGTTGCATATCGCGCACGCGCAAGCAGGTAGTTAAATACCAGTACATGTTACATATTTCACACAGCACGTGCACGAAGCAGAGCTAGGTGGAGGGGTCAAGAAAGGGTTGTCGAATGTTTGACAAATTAGTCAAGTAGTGAAGAAAAAATGAATATATGTATACGATTCATTCACCAGAAAACATGTCATACTTCTGTTCTGAAAACATCTACAAGTTCTGAATGGGCACGAGGGCGTGCTGAGATATTGCAAGGGAAGACCACGGGGGAGCTAAAGCGATGGCACTGTTAGTGACGGGAAGATGGAATGATGAAGAAAAACCAAGTACTGAGTGAGTCCCGTCGTGAATCGGGGGGTGAATTCGATCACTTTGCCCTGGTCGTCTTTGGCAGGAGAAAACTCCACCGTGGCCAACATAGTAACAATAGCGGACCACACAGAGGCATCAGCAGCATGTCGGCCTGATCAAAGAATGTATTAGCTCTATACGGTAATGAAATAACTCAACCCACCTGGACATGCACGCCGGCCAAAGCCGAAAATATATCCAGCAGGGTCATCGTCCGTCAGCGCATTATTGACGTCCAGGAATCTCTCTGGTATAAAGCTAGATGCTTCGGGGTACCGCTTTTCATCCCGTGAAATGCCCCTGCAATATAACATTAGTATTTTGAAAACCACAGAGGATCTATCTGACCATATGTTGGATATGACGGTTGCTCCTGATGTACGATATCACAAAATATTTGTTCATTGGACGAAAACGGCAGACCTTTAGGAATGAAATAACCATCGTATGTGTCATCATTCGAGGTGGCATGTGGAACGCCTACATAATCACCTTCAGCAAAGGCGAAATAACACAGCGAGGAAAATTACCAAGGATTCCGACTGGGTGCCATCGCAAAGTTTCGCGCAGGACTGATTCAACGTATGGTAGCGAGGCTCTATCTTCAAATGTAGGCAAGCGATCTCCTCCAACCACCGAGTCGATCTCCGCTTGTGCGCGTCTCTGAACATCTGGATGCAATACCATGGCGAGAGAAAATGTCATCAAGACCGATGTGGTCTGTGAAGAGGTTTAGCAGCAGACAATATGATTCGAATATCCGCTGACCGTCTCATATGAACCTGCATAGAGATCTATCAAAGAATACAACTTCCCTTGTGAAGAGTTGACAAACCTATAATAGCAGTAGCAGCTACATTCTTTAAGGCAGTCTCGAAGATGGATTTTGATGCGTGATCCAGCCTCTCCATCCGTTGCAGATTGTCTGATACCATAGAAACCTGGCTGAGGGACAAGTTTTCGGCCTTTGCAAACACGCAATCAACATCTAGAACCGAACTAGACTAAAAAAAGTTGCCCACCATGTGCTCCTGCGCATATTGGAACGGCAGGTCCGTCATTTCAGTCATGCGATGGGTCGAAATTCGAGCATCGCGTTTGATCGCGGACCCCCAGCACCAGTCAGGTAACCTCAGTACTGCGTCAGAGGGCGGAATGTCAAGTCTTTCTCATCAACGAGAATGAGCTCACAGAAGGGGAAGATTCTAAGTAGGATTGCTCTCTCTGGGGTCATCACCTTAAGGCCAATAGCCAGTGCATTTTCTACGATTCGAACCAGAGGGTCATTATGGGGACTAGTCTGGTAGCCGTATGTCACTGACATCGCAACTGATGACGAGAATCTGTGAACAGGTTAATAATCATTCGGTGTTTACAAACACATTGACTAACGTTGCGAAGTGATCATGATAATGTTGAGGGTCATCAATTAGGTTGACGATCATCTCACGGGCCCGCTTGATCTGCATAGGACGAAACTTGAGTGCGGAGTCGGGACGGAAAGTTTGATGGAAGAGTCGTCGGGAAAGACGCCATTCGTCACCATAACCTATGAATGCAAAGACGAACGACCAACCAAACCTGCCTGTACTCCATAATGATCGAATGGGAGAATATTAGAAGAACGTACGGCTCGAGTGTGGCTAAGTATGGTCGGTCGGAGTAAATGCGAGAACGCTTATCCATCAAAGCTTCTGCAACGTGCTGAGAATTGATCACCACGACTTCCTGGCCTAGAAGTCGCACGAACACCAAGTCTCCTGATATAATGATTTGCACCACATATGCACCATACTATCTCCCCACGTACCATGAGCAGCAGCCCATTCGGTATAAGTCAACCAAGGCTCCTTGGTGTCGATAGATAAGACGTTTCCTAACAGTGGGAGCGGCACCGGGCCAGGAGGAAGGCGAGGTTTGTTCTGTCTGTTATCAATGAACCACGTGAAAGCTTTGATGACAACAAGGGATGCGGGTAAGACGGCAAGGATAGCAAGGCGATCATCGACTGAAGGAAACATGGTTAGAGCAATGCGTGGGCACACACCAACACACGATGCGGACCTTATAACTGCACGAAGAGCTTACCACATCCTGTACCTACCGAGTTTATGTACCCTGTTCAAATCAGAGAAACGATGAGTTCTTTAGGGCCGATTGCGGGGCTCTACGTCGTAATATATGACTTCATATTGCCTCTAGCGACGAAAACAAAGGACATGCTCTGTACATATCATCATGTAATGGTATAAGACAATATAACTTTCTCACCAGTCCTCTGAAGCGGCGTCTCCCGACGACTTCAAACCCAGAGCACACAAAGTCCGGACACTTTCACGTCATTCACAACGAACAAACCCCCGATTCAGCTTAATTCTAAACGTTATCTGCGGGGTTTCGGCTAAGTCTGAAAGTTGGAAGAGAAATTATACACATGAATGAAGTACACGATATTTTGGAGGATGACGCATACCACGACGAAGAATTACTCCAGCAAGTTGCTGTGTTGGGAGCCATTGGGTGCCCTCATAATTGCATGCGCTAACGCCCGACAAAGATGCACCAAACGCACACAAGTCTACATCGCACATATCTCGGAGTCGTGCGAAGGGACTGCTACCGAGTCCATCTATTGCTACTCCATTGCAAGGACTCTATCATGCACGAAATGACAGGGCATTCATCACCACAATGGGCTTTGACATAGAGAGTTGTCACTATATCCTTAGAGGCTGGGTTTGTGACAGTGATGCACAAACCCTATTCCTCGAGCTGATGTGTCTCCGGTGAATCCATTGCTTCGGGTCATGTCAGAGGATGTCGTGGACTATGAAATCTACGTTTGAAGGTCATTTTGAAGCTAGAAGAGGGGGTAGAACCCTTCGTTCAGACGAGAGTTTGGAACAATTGAGTGATCACAGGCGTGTGAAAACATCGGTGTGAAATGACATCGGGTTGTTGGCACAGCAAGTTTGTACGGCGCTGAATCTGTTCAACCATTCCGCGCACATAAAACTCACAGATCTATAGACAGACGAGACACTCGTTCGCATACACACCTTAGCTATATAAAAGCATTTATAGTACTACACAATCAGATCCGACATGATGTGACAACTACAACGTTGCCAGTGATAAGCAATTCATATTGCAAACGAGGCTGCTGATGAAGGATCAGTAGCATTGTACCTGGACGTTGTCTGGCGGTACCAGTAAGTGGTCTGTGACGAACTCAATGTACCGCCAAATGAGCCTGGCGTTCATGCCAATCAGACCGACAGGGAGAGCATCTAGAAAGACAGTCAGCGTAAGAAGGACAAGTTGATGGTAAGGACAGACTGGTTAGGAACCCACGCTCAACATCAGGAATTTGCGCGATACCTAAGCGGACCTATGTAGCCTATGTAGTAGAAGAGGAAGGCATTGCTTGTTCTGTCTGTCCTTAATGAACCACCTCAGGAAAGTGATGGCAGCACAGGAAATAGTTAAGAGACAGCGCGTATAGTAAGGCGACCATCGACTGCAGGGAACATCGTTAGAGCAGTGCGTGTGTGTATCCAAGCCCGCCAGTGTAAACAGACTGCGGCACGAGGGGGAGCCGCTTATCACCTGGCGTCTGTGGAGTCTTGCAGTAAACTCGAGATGGATAAATTCGGTCAAGGTCATCAGATAGGACGCATACCGTGTATTGTAGACAAAACATCAATGAACCGGTGATATACATATGTTAGAAACGTATATCGCAAACTCATGGTGGGGGTTTACTTGGGAAGTTGTGGCATCTTTGGAACTTCCAAACTCCGACGCGCATTACGCGTCGTTTGAACAGATTCTTTATACAGCAGCCTGAGTCTCAGCGTTTTATAATAATGTCGGTCGACCTCACTAGTAGTAGTGGCCGAACCATCCTTGCCTTCAAAGCTGGTCGTGCTTTTCGACGCGCTGGAACCAACTTCGTCGATGCTTCCCCCACCAAAGGCGCGATTGTCTTGACCAATGAGGACGGCCTCATACACTTCATGTGGAAAGACCGAACGACAGGGGAAGTCGGCGAGGATCTAATCTTGTTTCCTGGTGATGCAAGGTTGGAAAAGGTCCCACAAAGTAGCTGGGGCAGGACCTATGTCCTCAAATTCGAGAGCTCCGACCAAAAGCATTTCGTATGTGTCTCACTGCAAGCTTTTGATTTTTCATAGGCTGACTTCGCTCCCTCTATGTCAGTTCTGGCTGCAGGTGTTTTTTGCCATCGAATTGTTTTGATATATATCTAATCGTCCTGCAGGACTCGTCAACACGCCGCGATGAGGAATTCGTGACGAATTTGAACAGGACCCTCGCCGATCCTAACATTATTGCTATCTGGGATATGCGCAACGTTTACCCAGCATCGGACGCCTCTACATCCGCTGCTGGTACATCCACTTCTCAACCCTCGACAGTGTAGGTCCTACTTTCACTGCAGAATGTTGGGCGACTCACATGTGCATTATGATATCTAGACAGCCAACCGTTCCAGCGACCAGTGATTCCACACCAGCAAGTACCACCCCGGAACAACTCGCGCAACTTCGTGGGATTGTTAGCTCGATGACCGGCTTCGCGAGTGAAGATGGTATCTCTATTTCTCAATCGCACTGCATCATCACTAACAAATTTCACAGAACCTTGGTTGACAGACGTCCTGTCCTCTCAAAATTTGCTTCAGCTTTTCCAATCACACCCTGAACTCCTCCCGGCACTCTTCCCTCATCTTCCACCTGAACTTATCCCATCGTCAGACGCTACACCGCAACAGGTGGTAGAGATATTGCAGCGTACGACTAATTCTCCACCTTTCCGCTCGGCTGTGGCCCAGCTTGATCGGGCACTTCGGACGGGCGCCCTTGGTGAATTTGTGAGGAGCCTTGGTCTCCCTGAGAGTGCTGCGACGAGTGTTGGCGCGTTCTTAGCTGCCATCGCTGAACAGGCAAGACAGGAAGGCAGTACTGAAGAACAGATGGAAGAGGATTAGGGAGCGTGATACTCGATCGGGCTGTTCTTTAGTTACTACTGGCATTCCAAGTGCGCTAGGATTCCTTGGTGTTGATGTGCAAGCTTATACATTTACCGTTTTGTTCGTTCCGTGCGACTTCTTTGCGGGAAACTCGCGGTAGGAACAGTGCAGCAGGTGTACATATATCCTAACGGCGAGTCGAATTCATACACAGAAGCTAAGGTGAGTGTTTTCTGTTACATTAGACGATCACCGACAATGATAATTGCTTTGGGGCAAGACGTCCAGTCCCAGGATACGTGGCATGAAGCACAGGCTGCATCACTGAATGGCTTCTTCGATGTATCTTCTCCCATTCAGTGACATGCCGATAAACGTAATCTACATGAACGACATGCAGTTGGCGATCATGTGTCACATTGTTGTCTTTCAAACTGAAAACTGCCATTGCTAGCGCTTCATCTATGCAGCTCTGTGCGCAGGTTATTGCAGCGTTCGCGAACACACGGACATATCATCTTCGTGCCCTGTAGGCGACGACACTCAAGATATCAGTGATATCTTTGGAGAAAGTCTAAGGAGCAAGTCTGATACCAACCAAACTTGCCCATCGCGCTTTCAGTGGTACGGACAAGTGCCAGATCTAGCAGTCAGACGTAACACATCCGAGATTGCTTGCGTCGGGTGCAGAGGACAGCAGGACACACATCAAGTGGAGTTGGCATAACAATTTGCCAGCGAGAGCGATGTTTTCGAGAAAGTCACCGCCTGTATCATTCTCCTTCCAACGCACGCCTCGAATGACAACCATGTCTTCGTCCAACTCCTCTACGCAGGTGGTTCGTTGAAGGAGTTTGCTATACCTGCGAGCGCCTGCGATCAGCCTTATAAATTATCATTCTTCCATTTTCACCTTCGAAACCGCAACAGTGGTAGCTGTGTGTGGACTACGCCAAATCCTGAGAGGCTGTAAGCACGCTGGCTTACTAGATTTCCCATAATCTACATGCATACCGTCCGCGATACTGAAACACGAGTTTTCAGTATCACTGCCTTTTGGCATAACAGTCAAGCGGACGACAGTCTTGACTAAGTTACGGAGGCCAGTTATAACGAGTCCGCCTGGTCGGCTCGTTCATGCCAGTGCGTCTGTTATGGTGACTCTGGACACATCTTTGTGGGTGGTACTTCGTGTTGAGGTAAAATGGTGAACTGGAGAGCTCGCTACTCCAGGTTCTTTAAAGAACACTGCAGCAGCCTGAGGGCGAGTTTTATCTTTCGCCTCCAAATCAGTAGTTTAACGCGTTCTTGACGTGTTGAAGTTGGGGTGTATATGGGTCCGATATCGTCAGGTGTTGGTCACTTTCCGGCGCATCCCGAATCAGAATATCCCTTGGCGCGCACAACGCTCGCCACGAATGATCCACGAATGTCTATTATTCAATAGGTCACTGCCGCGGCCATGTTCATGAAGTGAGTAAGAGAGAAAGACTTACATTTTCTCTGATATGTTGTTTTACCGTCACGTATTTCAGTCCGTCGCCTGCTCGGAGCTACACGCTTGGCAATTGCACTTCGCAATGTGTGCGACTGCGTGTATATTTACGGACAGACTCCGCACAAAAATTGAAACTAGAAACAACCCGCAAGCCCATCGACGCCACATGACGTTTGTGTGTTGCAAATGCAAGTCACAACATGAATAGCTGGTGAAATTGCTCTGTGAGTCAATGTGGGTGACAGTGCACTCTACAGGGCGTGATTCCCAGCCGAATATGTACGTAATGGAGGTCCAGAGCAAGACATGTATTTCCAGAGCATTTTGAAGTGAGTGATGTAGGCGATCCCATCACACACCAAGTAGGGAAAGGTATGCGGAACAATATGACATGGCAATCACTGAATTGAGCGACGCAGTGAAGGGTTCGAGGGATGTCGGATTGCGCTAGGTGTCGCCAATTTGTTCATTCAAACCGAAGTGGTTCTTCCCCATGCCTTCTCAAGTCGTGTATGATCTCATAACAGTATGTCTGCGTTAGTGCGAGTGTCACAATATGTACTTCAATCCTACTAAATGCCTGAAAATGGGTGATGTTGACTGCATTCCATAAACCATGTAGTGAGTCGGATTAGCACATTAGAGGTGTCTAATGACTACGATCTGAGAGCCAGCGAAGGACTATATCCCTACAACAGATGATCGTGCAATTAGTCAAGAATTCGAAGTTCATTGAAGACGAGTTCATAATAGAGAAGTGGAACGCACAAATTATGTTGACTTTTCATCGAACACTGATAAAGAGTTAGCGCACACGGTATCCGGTATGAGAAGGCTTACCGAGTAACACTAAAACGATATCTCATAAGTGCATTGAAAGCATACAATAATTCCGAGAGACGTACTGAGACTGGGCGGTCTTGTATCTTGTCCAGTTGACTTCCCTCAAGATGAGTGGGCATGCAGTACTAAATACGCTCTCTACTCACAGGTCGCGTATAAGATCCTTGACAGATGCATGCGAGGGAACGTCATTCTTGTTTCCAAGCTGTCTCAATGTAAGCAACCATGTAGATGCCCCGAGGTAGCAAACTCACCACCAAAAGAGGAACACTTGCTAGATTCGGCTGCGCCAATAGTTGGTGCAATTCGAAGCGTGCCGTGTCAAACTTCTCTTGCTGTGAGCGGCATTGGCGTTAGAACTGAAACCCACCAATTGCATAGCAAAGCCTACATCGGCCGAGTCAACTACGAATCTGCAGCGAGAGAGCATTCTGCAAATGAAATCGACTATCAAACGCAAAGAAGCAGGACGACGTACACGACAGCATCAACTCCGTTACAATAGCGCTCCCACATTGAGCGAAATTTGGGCTGTCCTGCGACATCCCATATTTTCAGGGTCACAGCGCCTTTGCGTACCTTACGATAGTTGAATGCGACAGTTGGAACGACGTCTTCCGACCACTGAGTGAGGTAAGCCGCTTGAGCGAAGGAAAGGCCATGAATACAACAGTCGCACCTGCCCCGACCCAATAACATTCACAAAGGAAGTCTTTCCAGAAGCCTTCGTGAAGGTGTGTCAGTACCATTTTCTGAACTTGGAATATACGAGTCCACGCACCTGCAGCCCAACCACGGATATTTCAGCGGCTTTGGAGAAGAATATGCTGCGATATTCAATATGTGAAGTCTTGTCCACTTCAAGAAAAGGCTGGCTTACCTACTGAACCAGGAGAGTATCGAGGATATAAAGGTCATGGTAGACTGTTCGGTGCTCGACTGCCGAGTCCTTGAAACTTGAAGCTTTGAAGGTCACAGTATTAATGATGATAGCAGGCTTCATGCAGTGCGTGGGAATTATATATTATTAATAAAGCTCCCGTGGCCCAGGCCTCCAACCATAAGTATCATGATCGTTTTTAACTTGAATTGACTTTGAATCATTGGTTACCAGTAGCTGGGACCCCCACTAGTTCAAGTTTTATAGTAAGCCTAGAAGTTTGAACTGCAGCACGGTTCATGGATGCCAGCCCAAGGTATTCGCATGCAAATTTAAATAATATGATTTGACGAATTCATTTCAGTCAGCGTTGTTGGCTCTCATCTTCTAGACGATGAACATCGCATATATGAGCATATAAAGCCCGTCATATACCAGAACGATGTGCATGTGAGTCTTCAACCTTGTCTGATCAAGTCCCGTTTGCTGGGAATATTACCCATCTCACGAGAGCAGATCGTGTTCGCAGTCACAGATTACATCATCTGGTGAACGTCCAGCGCAGCCAGTATGTCGTATGTAATGTGCTATGGAAATTCCCCCTTCTATCAGGACACAAGAACATGGCTGCAGAGGTTTCGCATATTTCCTCCACTTTGCTTTCGTCAAACAATATAGGTGGATCAGTATCCCGTTTGGATCAAGCCTGATTTCTAAACTTGCGAAGTGATTGGGCTGTCCAGAATCCACATTCATCAAACTTCCTCGTCATTAATATCATCCACTGCACGTGCGTTCCACAGCCAGTGTGATAGGTCATTTTTTTCTACGACTGTTTGTTGTAGGAAGGATGTCAATAACAACTCAAACTGATGCAGAAGATTGGGGACGTTGCTAATCGGGTTCCTAATTCGCACCGTCGTGTAATACTTGCATAGAAGTCGATCAAAATTCTCAGACCTGGTGTCCACCGGGACACCATCCAGCTACTCTGTCAGATTCTTGTGGAAGAGTTTCTCAACCTCGGCCTCTTCGGGGCTCGGGGGCGGGGTTCTGCGTTGTGGGGTTGGCTCAGCCCTTTTCCCTCACGTAGTCGGGTATTCGCTCAGGATGGATGTGTACAATGTCCCGAGTGCAAGTAAACTAACAAACAACACGACTATTTCACAAGACAAAGTCAGGTACCCCAGTTTTTACACGTACCTGCGGCTCCGGTTGCCGCTCGCAGAAGGCATTGTTGTCGTAAGTTCGAACCTTGCGTGAATTATTCACCTGCTTACTCCGGTAGACTGTTGAGCTAGAGATCTACTTCCATGAACATCTACTCAAAGCTGTAGAGGGGTCTGAATGTAGGGAACCGCGACTTGTTGAAGGTGTACCGCGAAATGAGCGGCGTGCGCATTGAGGACGACATATTAATCACTTCAGATGTGTGCGAGAACTTTACCAAGGTTAGGAGGGATGTTGAATGACTGGAGTTGGTGTGCACTGGGGAGATTTGAATGTAGAAAGACATTTGTACGCATTGGAGTTGTCGATGGCACGACTCGGATATGCAGTTCGTTGCTGACTTGATCAATGTGGTTGCTTCTGGATATATAAATTTTACTGGTGCATGGTGTCAGCACCTGTGAATCAATCATGCAAGAGACAATCCCAAACGTTCAATACTAAATCTGATTTTGACTGTTAAAAATATATGACGTATGAGCGGTTTGATTTTATGTAAATAAGCGCCCATTAAAAAGCTTTTCATCAAACTCCGAGTCGAAAGAAGCTTTGAACCACGACTTTCGGATGCGCCGTTTCCACGTGAATGCGCGCTCTATTGCTATCGGTGCACTTACTTACAGAAAACGAGCATTTGGCACTTCTGCGGGTGTTTTAAATGCCAAGCCGGACGCGGACTCAAATCGAAGCCATGGCCAGGGCCAGAGTCAAAGCGTGGACTTGGGAAAGGATGATAGCAGAAGCAGAGAGACTGTGAATGATGAGCAGGGAAAACAGGATGGGCATGGACAAGGATATATTCTTGGGAAACTCTCGCGCTCTCTGCATAGCCAGCGTGACCCCTCGTGCAACCACGCAAATAACTCATGCACCGCAGAAGAAGATGCTAAAACCATCAGCTCTTCTTCCAATACTGTCCCCTTGATACAGGAGATCACGCAAAAAATCGATAGTGCCGTGGAGGAGACGATCAATTCGTGTATTCAAAACCCTCATCGTGTCGTTCCGACTGCAGGTATTTCGAAGAGAAGAAAAAAGGAAAAGCAGCCAAGAAAAAAGAAGGCCTCGGGAAAAGCGAAGTTTGGCGGTGCTGGCGCACGACCTGCTGTAGAATCAGCGCGTGCCTCACTTGCAGGGTTCGACGCGAAGCGTGCGGGGGTACTGCAGCTACTGCAGAATGGTTCTGCGGAAACCAATCGTTTGGCGAAGGATGGTTGGACGACAGGGTGGGGCGAGGACGGTGCGTTTTGCATGAAATTACTGTTAGTTTTGCTTCTCATTCAGCTCTGGTCTATCATATGAAGCGCTTCGACCGGGGGAGAATGAAAGTTATGGATTGCAGGGGTCGTTCAGTGGTGATGGACGACAAGGTGGGATGAAGTCCACGAGACATGGACAACCGCCGCATATACGCCATCCCCTACCTTATACCCGCCGTGTAGAGGGTCTCTTCGACGACGCGCGAGATCTGAATCCTCCTCATCAAGCGGACCGATCTCTATCAACAACATACTGGAAGGTTCGTGTTATTCAGTAACATTCGCAACGTTTAGAACCTAGTTCTAACGTGTGCATTCGCAGATATTGACCCACCCTCGGAGCACAAACCTATTGCGCGGCTTGCGCATGGGCTTGACAGGGTGTTATTTAAGCGCGTCTTTCTGCCCTGTGAATTGTAAATGCCATTTTAACTCTATCTGTAGCCCCGGTGTTCATTGGCTCCAAGATCCACGCTCCCGTGTATATAATTTCACGCCTTGGCTTGAAAGCATACCCAAAGTCACAGATTTCGCGTTCGAGCGCGTCACTGGGTTCATACGGAGTTCTCAGGATGATGTACGTTCGATCCTTACTTTTTCTATCTACAAAATCTTAGGACGCTCACTCCATAGGACCTTCATACCCTCGCGAAAATACACTCCCGACCATACGTTGGCTCCACTTCCTCCCTCACTGGTCTGCTCAGCCATATTTACTTCCTCATTTCTGGTGGAAAGGAAGTAGATACGAGTGTTTTGAGCGGCGCTTTCGCGCATGAGGTGGGTGATTGTTTACCGTACCTGAGGCTGATTTTTTGGGCATGGATTTTATTATTCTCTTCCAAATCCATGTGTTTCGTAGTGCGGTTAAACGTACCAAATACCAAGCTCTTGTCGTGCGACGTGTGCTCTTTTGCCTTCACGCGCGGTTTACACTCGCTTCTTAACCATTACATCTGACTACACGTTCCTGGACGCATCTATATACCCTCCCGTTCTGCTTATCCACATTTTCCAATACTTGCTGACATGTTTATTCACAGCCAACGAACTTTACCCCAGGCCAGCGCATGCCTGTATCAATCGTGTTACGATATAAAGACGGTGTATGGGCGGTCGACTCCGGCAAAGATGGCGAGGATGACAGCGAGAAAAATGTATTGACGTGGATGGTGAGTTGCGCAGGTGCATTTGGTTCTGTTTCCGTTTGTTCCTTCTCACTTTTCATCCGTGACTTTCGCTTTATGAATTTTGATTTTGCTTATCACCTAACTAATGACTGCGTTTGCATTACAGGGCACTCTCCTGGAAAAATTCTTGACAGTTCCAGAACCTGAGTTCAAGACTCTCCTGCGCTCCTCGCCCGCCCCAGCAGAAGGTGAGGAGGATAAAAGGAGGGAGGCATATCGGTATGCTAAGGTGCGTTTTTCTCCTACGCTCTCTCGCGCGTTGGATTTCTGATTACGTCCGTGTTATATGGTGTGCTGATATTATGGGATCAGAGTAACCGCTTTTTGATGCGCTCCCAGCTCGATTGCGTCGACCCGCGCTTACCAGGAACAGGCGTTTTTGATGTCAAGACCCGTGCTGCGGTGCCAATCCGACTGGATTTGCTGAATTTCGAGGTGTGTACTTTTTTGTTTGGGTCCGAGTGCCATCCGTTATTGTGATTCTATCGGGGCACATCATCTGCGCATCAACAACGGCTCAGTGTTTTCGCATTCATACTCTGAACTGGGACTGTGGTTAACGAATTTCGTTGAATGTAGGAGAACTCAGGTTACCTCATTCGCACGCTTCACGGACCACTGGAGAGCTTCGAGAAAGAATATTACGATTTGATTCGAAGTGCATTTCTGAAATACAGGTGTGTTGGCGCTCCACCCCTTTTGCTTCCTCGTCTTGACCTGATATCATCCCATACCAGCTTCCAAGCTCGTATCGGTAACATGGATGGCGTATTTGTTGCTTACCACAACACGGCCCGCGTTTTTGGATTCCAATACGTCTCGCTCGAGGAGATGGACGCACGCTTGTTTGGACAAGATGTGAAACCTGCTGGTGCTGTTAACGGTGATGGTGCGCCTACCAGAGGCGCGCGCATATTCGAGAAGTGTGTGAAGGTGCTGGAAATAGTGATGGATGAGATTGTTGGAGTGTTTGGGGAGAGGGTGAGTCCGCTTCTTTGTCTTCTCCAGCTTTTTGTTGACAGGTGTGGTCCTGGTTAGAGCGTGAAATGCACTTTCGAGACACGGGAGCGCTCGCCGAAGATGAATATATGGGTGGAGCCTGTCGAGTGGGATGCAGAGAAAGAAGGGAAGGGAAAGAGCCTAACAGAGTCGAAGGAGACAGAGGAGGAAACGAAGGTGGCGGAACAAGAGAAAGATGCTGAGGGGGAGGGCCGAGTGAAGACAGAGGAACCCCCAATCGTTCAGATCGACGTAGAGGTGCAGAACTTTGTCGCCGGCCAGCCTGTGTGGGGTTCAAGAGCGATTGATGTCGCGTCTGACGAGAACTGTGCGTCGCCACATATTTCTTCCAATTTCGTTATTATGCGTATTGATATTTTCGGTGTTACAGGGATTCTCCATTGGGCGATCTCGCATAGCTCGTTGGAAGCCTCCAGAATTCGGGCCAACCTCGCATCTGCGAAAGACAGGCAGTTCCGTGCATGGAATTTCCCAGCAAATATCAGCCGACCGGAGGAGATGGAGGCATGGTGGAATGCGCTGGATTTTGGCAGACGGAAGAAGGCTGCTTCCCCTTCAGGCGAGAGTGAGGAAATAGCAGCAGGCAGGCTACACGATGTGGTGGCAGCTGACGAGAGCCCTGTCATAATGGTCGAGAACGGTTTGCCAGAGGAGGAAGGACATGAGGCCAATGAGAATGGCGCGCCGTCGTTCAATCACAGGCTCTTCCGACCGGCGTCAACGAATATTGAGGTATTGCGCCAGCTATCAAGAGACGGGAGGGAAGAAACTTTGAGGGCGGAGGCCGAGGAAGAGGCCATGGGAAGGGAGAAAATCGTTTGGGGTCTTCTGGGGAATGGAGGTGTTGCGAACAGTGAAAACAAGGAAGTGCCTGAGGATGGCAGTTCAGCATCGACCGTTACTCAGGCTTCAGAAATGGGGACAGTCGACGCGGTGGCACAAACTAACGAGGAGAAGAAGTGAAAAGCGAATCTTGCTCATTGCAGTGCACTGCCGTCGAGTTCTCGGCGACCTTACTTTCCTTTAACAGTCCACGACATGGTGTCCAGTGTACTGCGAGTGGAGGAATCAGTACCTCCAGCTAATCATTGCATTATCGTTCAGTACGTGCACGCTATATTTTTGTGCGATTTACGTTTAGGTGGATATCTCACGTACAACTCATGGTAGCATATACCACACCACTCAGGTAATAATTAACACAGCATCTCTGCATTCTGAACAGGTGCTTGCCATTGCAGTCTAAGGTGGAAAGATATGACGCTCCAAATCCCACTTTAATATATTGTGCGATACACTACTGGGTGTGTGATACACAACAACTGAGTGCGCGACACACCATTGAGTACGCAATACTACAATGTGTTGTGTAGCTACTGCTAGTATTGAACTGCACGGCCGAAATCTTCGAAGTTGGGCTCAACAATCAGCAATCTTGCCAGATCATTAGCTGTGTGAGTGACGAGTTTTCGCTCATGTTCAAAAGCACTTTGGCCTTTCACAATGAATAATGCAGCTTTCCAGCAGTCCAAGTTTCTTGAACTGTTCAACAGTGTCCTTGTAAGGTTGTGGGTTTTGTCTGTCCAGTAAAAACTGACCCATTCCGTTCCACCACAGCTGCTTCCAGTCCTCCTCATATCTCTTTTGGTTCATGCAAGTTCCTGCATGTACCATGGGTGGGGCTTCACAGGCAACAATCTGATGGTGTAGTACATCCAGATGTTCCTTGACTTTGAACATTGTGTTCCACACAATGAACCCAACAGCATGACATTCCACATTGGAGATATTGTTGATGCAAGCTGAAATGAGTCGCTCAAAAGTGTGTGGAAAGCATGTTTTGATGTTGTACTTCAAAGCAAGCAAAATGAGTTGTGTTGGTTTGAGTGAGTAGGCTCATCAGCAAAACCCTAACCCTATGTGCAGTGCTGCACAATGCTGCACAGCAATCACAGTGTCACAGCGAGGTCCCCCCATGTACAGCGCTGTACAGTGCTGCACACTACACAATTTCTCAATAAAACATAATTATTAGCACACCATCTTGTTATATACATGTTTATGACTACATTACACTCATTTTTACATAGAATCAATACTTGTGTGGTGCTGCAGAGCCTTTACAACAAAATCTATGTAACCTGTGACATGCTGTGTGGCTGTGGCACTGTGCCCAAATCAGGGTTTTGCTGATGAATATCAACCAGCCACCAAGAAAATGAAAGGTGTGTACTAGTTCACAAGTTATTCTGTCACTCATTCATTTTTCTAGGAGGCATCACAATGAAGCAGGAGGACTCAGCACCAGATCTTCAAGCACTGAGCATTTTCAATGCAGCCTTGCAGCCTAAGAAACATTTGTTCATATTCATTAGATATCACTTTCTTCACTCACTCAGAATTTAGTTTTTCTGCAAAGTTCTAATGCAGACATTGATGAACTTCCCAACATTGTTTGACAAATGTCTCTGGTGCAAGAGACCCTGCAAAAGAATGTTCCCTCTGGCTCATTTTTCAGTGTGCAGGCTGGATCAAGCCATCAGGCTCCATCACATTTTGACACCACTGATTTACTGTCTATGCAGTTCCAATTTCCAAGTGTTCTTTGTTTTGTCTCCAAGCCACCCGACTTCATAGAGCTGTGGCCATCCAATATCTTCTTGCATGGTATCCTCAACCCCAATAGTCTGTCTGCCCCTCCTTGTATTAATCCTTGGTCCAATGATTATTTTATTGGTGATGTGGCTATTGTTGTCTAATTTCTCATGCCCTACTACTTAGTATCTTTTCTAGTACAATACTTATCATGATGGAGCTTCCATTACCTATACCTTGCTGCCCAGACTTGTTACCCTGACCAAACTCTTCCTGCTATGATACACTACCTTAATCTTCTGCCCATTATGCACCATATCTCACATGAGTCCTTGATGTCACAAACAAGTTGATGCTTTTTGGAATGTGCACACAAGTTCTGGGCTGTGTCAGTAATTTATTAAAGTGGGGTTTGGAGTGTCATAGAAAGAGAGTGGTTATCATTCACATTTGGTCCAATTCACTAGGTAATGAAAATAACTGTCAGTGGCAAACACAAGTCAAACACTTCAGTGATCACTGTGGTGGGAAATCATTAGTTCTTTATTTAAGTGCCTACAACTGTGTTCAAGTTTGTTAATATTGTACACATGCTCATTCATCAAGATGGCAAGCCTGTTTGACCTCTAAATCTAGGATACCAGTGATCATTGTAAAAGGTTAATGATGTCCACCAAACCAAGACCTAAGCAGAGTAGCTCTTGATGACTTGGGGTGCAACCACTGGGACTGTCCATTTTCAGTTTCAACTCTTCAAGCACTATTTCTCTGAGCTCTCATCATAAGTGCAAGAGATGGCCAGAAATGGAGAGGTAAGTTTGATAGACAGGATAGTGAATAATACATGTTGCACATTTTAGGATGATGTGAGGGCATACTAAGGGGGTGGAAGAGTGCACTATAAACTGTGATAAGTCTAACAATCAGGCAATTGTCCCTCCCTGGTAACACAAAGACCTGATCTGAGCATTGCATACAAAAGAATTGATGATTGGCCCAATAGGCAAATGTGGGTTGAGTGCTCCAATATGGAAACAGTTGTGAGCAGGAAAGTGAGAGGCTGGATTGAGAAGGAAATAAGTATGCCCTTGGCATGCAATGTGCAGGTTGGTAGATTGGTGCCAATATGTCCATTATAATTATGGCCAATGTCTTGGTAGCCTGAAGCGCTCAAATGAGCTAGGCTGCTGGTGTTGCTATTGATCAATGTCAGGCCCAATTTCAAGCTCCTCTTTAAATAGCATATGTACCATGAATGAAAGACCTTGAGGCTCATCATACACTGCCAACTGTTGAATAGCTATAGTACAGCCCCAAAATGGTAGAGGTGTAAATTAGCCCTGATATACATTTATACCATAACTGGGTGACTATCTGTAGGCCAAATAATGTAGAATAGATTATGATGGACCTTGAAACATATCTGCAAAAGATAATATGTACAGAAAACCAAACTGTAATGTACTTTGAATAAAATAATCAGGGTTAGGTCAGCACTCCAATGGATGATCTGCTACTACAGTATACTCTGATGAACAATATGGAGGAGATGGCTTTTCTTGATGACAAAGAAGTTGTGAAAATGTTAGTAGCCACCCTGGTTGCTGGAGTTCAGTTTGCTTGACTCAATTGTATTGAGACTTGGAACCCTGGATGACTCTGCCTCTGTCATTGCCTAACTCCTTCCTGATCTACATCACAATACACCATGGCAAGCATTTGTACAAGAGTCAAAATGATTGTGCTTTCAACATTACAACCATGGGCATTGATGTTCAAACATTTGGACTGATCCTTACATCTGGTTTTGCTAGTCAGTGTTATGAGAAGCCTATCACACATATTGATGTCAATTCACATGGCATTCCATGAATTGCAAGATGGTGAAATGAGGCAACAACTATTACTATGGTGGAGATGTGTGAGATGGGAACCTCAGATGTAGATTACTAAGTGATGAGTAAGTGGATAGCAAGGGCATTAGTGACCTAAAACAGAATAATCTGTCAGTTATAATCTGTAGAGGGGGGGGGCTTCCTACAAATTTAGAGTTTTTAAGAGGGTGAAGAAAATAATGTGTGGGAAAGTCATCCTAAATGAACAGCAGCATTGTGGCAGGATTTCTTTAAATAGTATTTTTTATTCTATTCTATTCTAAACTACATTATTCAGGCCTACAGATAGTCACCCACTTTTGCACTATCTGTGAGAGATTTAGTTTTACAGCTGTCAGAGAGCTGCATATTACATCAGCAAGGCTAAGAAAAAGTATGCTCTTGGTAGTCCAAGCTGACTGACATCATTTATAATATTTGACCTGGTGGAGCAGGATGTGAGAGCCTGAGCTTGGACAAAGCAGAAACCTTGCAGGATGATGATTGTGTGTCATATCCCACAATCTGGACCCACATTCCATCATATTCCCATGCCTTCCGAGCCTACGTCTGGACCCCACTTCATATCCAACTCATTCCCAGATCCCCTTCTGCTGTGTGCTCCACACCTCAGCAGGATTGACTATGCTCCAGATTTACCCCTGAGCTCTGGACCATCAGATCTCCACTGCTGGCCTGATCCATACCCCCCTGTCCCATCCACCCTATGCACACTCCATCCAGCAAGACATCCGGACTTCACCTCGTCATATTCTGGTCCTATATCCACCTTGTCTTCCAGATCCCCAGATCTCTGGACCTATTCCCACCCTCTGTCCGACATCCTGTGCCTATCCCCATTTAGACATCTCTGCCTTTCTGGCTTTCAGTTACCTCTTCTTCTGTCTTGCTTATTGATCCTTGTACGAGTCTTCATCTCTGAGTTCATTTACTTATGTTCTGTCTTACTTACTAATGTGTTTCCACATGCTTGTACATAGCCCTGCTCCTTTGCTTACTGATCCCCTCAGATAGTCTCCAGTATATAACCCCTGTAGATACTCCTGTAGTTTCCTTAGTTTGAATATCATCTTAGACTTTGCTCTACCTGCCCAATCCTCTCTTGGACTTTAGTCCACCTAAGTCCATCCTACCCATCAGGCCTAGGGATTGATTCTCTAGGCCAGAGCTCCACCTTTCCGGCACTTACCCTCTTTCCGGACTTAGGTCCAATCCCTGTCCCTCTGACTCTACCTTAGGGTAGTCTACCTCTGTTTGTTTCTACATCAGACTCCATCTGATGTAGCCCCTATTCTTTCTGGACCTCCAGGTGTCCTGTCCTTCAGACATCCCACCCTCCATACCTGTTATGAACTAGGATGATCATAACAACAGCAGCTCGATAAGAGTGATGGCTGAAGTTATAGTCAAAACCTTGCAAATGCAAGGGTTGTAAGACAAGACAAAGAGAGTGTCTTTGACTTGAATATCGATTTAGACAACTTAGGATTGGAGGTCCTAAGCGAGAGATGTTTCAGGTGAAAACCTAGTAAGATTAAAGTAAGGAACTACTAAGTACATTGTTGACTATATATAGGACTGTAAATGACTTTAGGGCAGATGTAGGTCAACAATGAGTCAGAGATAAGTCATCTAGCAATGGCAATGGCGATTGTGATGTAATACAGATATTGGAGTCAGGTCTAGTGGTGGCATCATGTGGCTTGTGACATAATACAAGAATAGTAAGGTGGAAAATGAATAGGGGCATACATGACTGTAACAGTACCTTCAGACATCCTGTCCTCCTAACCCTCAGATGTCCTATCTTCCTGTCCTTTGGACATCTTGCTCTCTGTACCTTTGGACATCCTGTCCTCTGTACCTTCAGACATCCTGTCCTTTGTACCTCCAGACATCCTGTCCTTCTGTCCTCCATCATCCTGCCCTCCTGCCCTCCTGTCCTCCTGTCCTCCTGTCCTCCTGTCCTCCTGTCCTCCTGTCCTCCTGTCCTTCTGTCCTCTGGACCTTTGGACCTCCTATCCTTCCATCCTGTTTCCTGTAGAAGTATTACCTTGCAGTGGGAACTCTCCTGAGCACTTCCTGTGTTCCTCCAGAACTCTCCTGCACTCCTCTGAATGTTTCCTGCACTCCTCCAGAAGTCCTCTAGCACTCCACCAGAGTAGCCAGCCTCTGGAAGTCCTCTGGACTTCGTCAGATCATCATCAGACCTCATATGAAATGAAGGGCCAATACTCAGGTAAGGGGCACAGCATACAAGCTGAGGCCAAGCCCCTCTGAGTCGGTCTCTCTCTCCCTTGAGCAACATGGTTCTTAACAGCCAGTGTGATTACAGCAAGTCATTCCAGAACTTAACACATGTGTTGAAGTAAGTACTACATGAGGCTTGTGCATGCACAGCATTGTACATAGCTGCCTCAATTGAGTCTCAATTAGTACTCCTCCATCTTGTATTCCCTCTGACCCATCTATTAACCCACCCAACTAAAATGACCTCTTCACAGGTCAAGAATTTCATCAAGAATTTCAATCTGGGCAAAGTATTTGCAGTTCAATTGACTTGGAGGTGCCCTGCAAAGAATGGATGTATACAATACAGCTCAATAACCACCCACCATGATGATGAGTACACCATTCCTGCAGACATCCAAGTCTGTAGTGAGTTTCACATTCCTTCACCTACTCTCCATTTGAATTCATTACCACTAGTGCTCCCTGATTCTCTGAGCAGGGATCCAAGTCACAAAATCTCCCTGAATATTTCCTCCACCACATCCTCTTGGGGCAATTCCTTTGCCCACAAAGCTTCTGACATGGCTCAGACATTTTTACCTTTAGTCCAGGGCATTGCAGGTGTAGTTCCATTTGCCAGTCCTCCAATGTGAGCTGCTATTAGTGGATTATTGTCAATCCTTCAAGCCATAGATGTGAGAACTTATTTTATTACCAGGATGTTCCTTCATTCAGAGACTATCACAAAAATGTAGTCAGAATAAGGCAGACCCAGATCACCTGGTATCATGACTTCATCAACTAAGTTCCTATCTGTGCAATGCCCCGACCACCCAGAATCCTGTTGAACAATACCAGAGGGGTGCCATAATAAGGTATACCCCTTGTTGATGTATTCTTGAATTTACTTGATATTGAGTTGCACTTAGGATGCTGCAAAACATATTGGCCCAGGTAACACAGTTGTAGAACCATCATCTCACATATACATCTGTTATGCAAGCTATCATTGGATGCTCCAGCAAAATAGACTGTTATCTTGTGGATTATTCAGTTGTGTTCTACTCTCTTAGGATTGTTTGCATGCACTCACTATTCCACTTCATTAGTGGTCATCTCAAATGCAAAGTCAACATGACATCCAGGAAATGCAGAACACTCTGGAGAGGTAGCACAAAATCCTGATGGGAATTGCAAGCATATTTTTACCTAGGCAGTCTTCTGTGGGGCTGATTGTCACACTTGACTTTGTGACACTGGTAGATGCAACAGATCACTCACATCCAGTGCCGATGGATGTCTGCAACTCATTTGAGGTAAACCTTGCCATAAATTCTATCTTGGAGAAGCTTACTCACCCAATTCTCTTTAGCAATTCAATAAGCAGCTCCAGCTTCTATTTAGACACACCTCAATTGAGGCTTGAACTCAGCAACAGTATATGGAGGAAAGACAGTATGATTTGTGCATTGATGATGACAGGCAAGTAACCTGACCTACAAGCCATGAATGGCCAAGCATTGAAGCAGGCACAACGATCATCATGAGGGTTGTCTTTGAGGTGGATACATTCTCTACAGTTCAATATAAATGTTATTTTTGTGGTGCTGTCAATCACATTAGTGCCAAGTATTCATTTCAACACCAGGTGAGTTGCTTGATCAATTGGTGAGTATGTTTGTTTTCTGGTTGCTGATGGCACCTAACAGCCAAAGCTGAGAGTGCAAACAATGATTTCAGATCTCCTGCAGAGGCTATAGAGCAAAGCAGAGCATACAATCTTCTAACATTGACTCTGTTCCCAGAGCTGAAGCAGAAATGCACCTTATTCACAACTTTCACATCCAGCACACTGTACATTACCATGTGTTTTGACCTGCTTACTTAACACTGATGGTGCTGTGGCCATGTCCTGCTCTCAGGTCATGTGTGATCTTGTGTTTTGACCTGCTTGTTTGATGCTAATAGTGCTGTGGTCATGTCCCACTCTCAGCTCATACATGATCTTATGTTTTGACCTGCCTACTCGATGTTGATACCTGACAAAGTCCCACCCTGTCAATGAGGATGCACATGCTTTCAATGCTGGTGGTGCCTCAGCAATGGCCTATCCTCATAGGGTGTATGATGTTGTCTGGAGAAATGTCCACTGATTTTTTTTAACCTTGACGCCACCAGAATGAGTTTATTGGCAATGTGATATCCCTCCAACCAAGGCACTTTTCATCCTCAGACAGTATGTGATGTTATCTTTCCAGGTGAACAACCAAATCTAACTTTTTCATTGCACTGTCAGATGGTGCATGCCTCAATATCAATTTATATTACAGCAGATCTTTGAGCTGAATGCAAGTAGTAGAATATGGGTATGACTGCTTTGAGGACATTGAAGGTGACAGTAGTGATGATTACTGTCATATCCTGTATGCCAGACATAGATCCCATCATATTCCCACGCTTTCCGGACTTATTTCTGGACCCCATATCTGACTCATTCCTGGATCCCCTATCCTGTCCACCCTACTGTTAAGGTCATGTGCTCAAGGGGGTTGGATCACAAGGGCTTGGCCTCAGCTCATATGCTGTGCCCCTTTCCCAAGTATGTGCCCTTAATTTCCAGGGGCTAGAACAGTCGTCCGGAGTTTCTGGGATTTGACTAGGGCAGATAACGGGTGTCCGGATCTGAAACATGAGATAAATCCAATGAATGTCCAGATGTTACCTGGGCAAGCAGATAAGACTAATCCAGACGAAGCCTGGACTAGAAACTAACAGAGGATGGACTACCTTAAGGTAGAGTCAGAAATGTAGTCTAGGATGCAATCCTAAGACTCGGAATATGACATGAGACTTATCTCGAGTCCAGAGGACACAGGAATGAGCAGGAACTAAGATGATATTCAAACTGGAGTATTTCCAAGAGTTACAGGAGGTTTATATACTGTAGGTATCATATAGGAATCAGTCAGCAAACATAAAGGCTATGTACGAAGCATATGCAGAGTCTATTAGTAAGTAGGACAGATCACAAATAATGAACACCAGAAATGAAATGTATGTAATGGATCAATAATCAAAAGGGAAACATGGTTAACTGGAGTCCAGAGACAGGGGCAGTCTAAATGGGGTTTGGCACTGATATAGGGTTTGGATTCCAGAAGGGAGATAAAGATAGATCAGATCATTTGAGATCCGGATCTTGGATCTGGATATCCAGAGAAGTGGATTTAGAGTTGAGAGTCTGGAATGGCATATGACACCTATGCACATTCTGTCCAGTAAGACATCCGGACTTTACCTCCTCTCGGATTCCGGACTACATCCACCACCTCACATATCTCAGTCCTATTTCTGCCCTGCCTTCCAGATCCCCAGATCTCCAGACCATTCCCACCCTCCATCCAAGATCCTGCGCCTATCCCCATTTAGGCATCTCTGCCTTTCTGGTTCTTGGTTATCTCTGTTTCTGTCTTGCTGATTGATCCTTGTATGAGTCTTCATCTCTGAGTTCATTTAGTTATGTTCTGTCTTACTTACTAATGTGTTTCCACATGCTCGTACATAGCCTTACTCTGTTGCTTACTGATCCTCTCAGATATCCTCTAGTATATAACCCCTGTACAACTCCTGTAGAGTCCTCAGTCTGAATATCATCTTAGATCCTGTTCATCACCTTAGATCTGCCCAATCTTCTTCCAGACTTCAGTCCATCTGAGTTTGTCCTTTTCCATAAGGCCTAGGGATGGATTCCCTAGGCTGGAATTCTGGACCTTCGGATTTGTCCCCTATGTCTCTGTCCCAACTCTAGGGATTGATTCCCTAGACTGGAGTCTTGCCTTTCCGGCACTTACCCTCTCTCTGGACTTTGGTCCACTTCCTATCTCTCCAACTCTACCTAAGGGTAGTCTACCTTTGTTTGCTTCTACATTGGACTTCATCCGATGTAGCCCCTATTCCTTCCGGACCTCCGGACCTCCTGTCCTGTGCACCTCTGGGCATCCTGTCCTTTGGATGTTCTGCCCTCCATACCTTCAGATGTCCTGTCCTCCTAACCCTCTGACATCCTGTCCTCCATACCTCTGGACATCCTGTCCTCCTGTCCTCCATACCTCTGGACATCCTACCCTTCCATCCCATTTCCTGTAGAAGTACTACCTTGCAGTGGGAACTCTCCAGAGCACTTCCTGCATTCCTCCGGAACTCTCCTGCACTCCTCCGGAAGTCCTCTAGCACTCTCCACCAGAGTAGCCAGCCTCTGGAAGTCCTTCAGACTTTGTCAGACCATCTTTAGACTTCCTCTGAAATGAAGGGCACATACTCGGGTAAGGGGCACAGCATACAAGCTGAGGCCAAGCCCCTCTGAGTCAGTCTCTCTCTCCTTTGAGCATGGTTCTTAACAGGTTGCCTTGTTCATAGGGGACCTGGGTGGTGTGATACCCACTAAAACCTCAAGGGCGGTAACCCAATTCTTTTGTGTGGGGTTGTTTGTTGTTATTGCTTTTGACCATGTGGTGGAGATTAGATTCTCAAAGGTTTTGGTGCAGGTTATCTTTCTTGCTGTTAGTCTGTTGCATTGTAGTCTCTTATTGATGTTTGACATCCATTGACTTCTTATCTTTTTCTTCATGTATAGCATGCCATTTATTGTTGTGTCACAGTGGAGGGTCTAAATAAGGTGTGCTGATTCGGATATTAGGATGCATAATAGTCTTGAAGTGCCTTTTGTAGATTGTAGGTTTTGTTGGTCTTGTAGTTCCTGTTGGTTTTGTCAGTTGTTGGTTCTTTGGTGGGTGAGGGTAATATTTTCACAGCCTAGGATTGTTCCTAGTGTGACTCTTGGCCAGGGGCCATTTGCGGTAGGCCATATGTTCTTTGCTAGGTCCCAGATTGTTGATTGGGCATTTTCAGGGCAGTCTACTAATATATGTTCCATGTCTTCAACATCTGCATTGCAGTAGGCATATCTAGCATGGATTTCTAGTGTGGGGATATTTGACCAGTATTCACTGATTTTATGGGCACTGTGTATTGTTTTGAAGATGAAATGTCTTATGGTTTTCAGTATGTCTTTGTTACTGCTTCCTTGCCAGATGCTTGCGTCTGTTTCTAGTTGTCCAGTTATGTTTTGGATTGCATACCTAATTATCTCTAGGTTGTTTGTTGTTGCTCATCTTGCTGTTTTTCTTTTTTGTTCTATGATTCCTTTATATGCTAACACTTGTGTCATGGATGCCATTTTTGCACCTTGTAGGTTGAATTTGTCTGGGACCATCAGGTCAATATTGTCTTTGGTGAGTTTGTTTGTGCCTGCTGTCTTAATAACTGAGGGTCTTATATAAATGCGTGTAAAATGTAATGACACCACAATTACACTAGGATAAGACTTCTTGCCAGTCCTTGATTAACACAGTCTACGACTTTTCTTCTTTTGTGGTAAATAACATGTGAGTTCTTGGGAGGCTCACTAAACCAATCTATGTGATTAACTTAGCCAGAGCTTTTGTGTTACAGTGGCTCAAAAAACTGTCTGCATGTTTTGACATTTTTCACTATCTATGATATTGTGTGAGAACGAAGAAATGCCTCAAGGACATGCTTATACCACATTGTAGTATGGCTTCAGGGCTTTCATTTGAGCCCTACACCGTGGGAATCGGTGGATATATGGTGGAGACATAAGGCTTATAAAATGATGACTCATGTGGACAGTTTTTTGAGTGTATATTAAAACTATATAAATCATTATTTATGACACCACAAAAATCATGCCACTATTATATAAATTATGAAATGGTGTCATTATGTTATTTTATGACTATATCTAACTATATAAACCAGAATATCTCATGTATCATGGTCATAATCACCATGAAAGCCATCTCCTCTGCTCAAAGAGATAATATCCTCTCTCTGTCTTATGCTGGCCTCTCTGCTAGCCAAATTTCCTCTAGAACTGGAGTATGCAAGTCCACTGTGGCCAAGTTTATCAAAGAAAGCCACCCAGACAAGGAAAACTCTTGTGAAGGACGTCCATCCAAGCTTACCTCTACTGACAAAAGGGCTATTATCCAACATATCACTACAGGAAAGGCTAATAATGCTGTCCAAGCCACCCATTATATCAATTCCACCATCACTACCCCTGTCTCTTCACAAACTGTGAGGAATGTTCTCAAGGCAGCTCATCTCAAGGCAGTAACAAAGAAGAAAAAGCCTCTTCTCTCTATCAAACATAGGCAGAGAAGACTAGCCTTTGCCTTAGCTCATCAACACTGGACTGTAGAGGACTGGAAGCATGTTATATGGTCAGATGAGACCAAAATCAATAGGATAGGGTCAGATGGGAAGGTATATGTATGGAAAAAGAAGGGAGATGGCCTAACAGACAGAGAGGTTAATGGGACTGTCAAGTTTGGAGGAGGTTCTTTAATGGTATGGGGCTGTATGGGATGGAATGGTGTGGGAATGCTTGCTGAGGTTGAGGGGAAGATGAATGCTGAGCAGTATGTGGACATTTTAAATGACCACTTGCTGCCTAGCTTGGCAGAATCAGGGATTGATGAAGAAGATATCATTTTCCAACAGGATAATGATCCCAAGCACACATCCAGAAGAGCTAAGGAATGGTTCGAAGAACATAACATCAATGTTCTTGACTGGCCAGCACAGTCTCCTGATGTCAATGTCATTGAACATCTCTGGGGAACACTCAAGAAAAAGCTTCAAGCCTATGAAAACCCCCCTAAAGGAGTATGGGAGCTTTGGGAGAGAGTAGCAGTGGAATGGGGGAAGATCACAGCTGAGGATTTCCAGAAATTAATTGAGAGTATGCCTAGAAGGATAGAGGCAGTAATTAAAGCCAAGGGAGGTCATACAAAATACTAGAATACCTGGTTATTATTGTAAAATACTTGAGTCAAAAAACTGTCCACATGAGTCACCATTTTGTGAGCCTTGTATCTCCACCATATCTCCACCGATTCCCATGGTGTAGGGCTCAAATGAAAGCCCTGAAGCCATACTACAATGTGGTATAAGCATGTCCTTGAGGCATTTCTTCGTTCTCACACAATATCATAGATAGTGAAAAATGTCAAAACATGCGGACAGTTTTTTGAGCCACTGTATATCCAAACTTATAAACTTGTCTAGGATAAACCATCTAGACACTGGAACATGGTTCCTTGTTAAGACAATCCTCTGTAGAGACTATGGTCTCAAATATGAATATGTTGACCAAAGACTGGTTGGTCAAATAGGCACAATGTGGTGAGAAACTGGTCTCACAAATGATCAGATTGACCAAAGCTTGTGTTGGTCAATATCAGTAAACTAGGTGAGAAGTGGGTCTCACAAATGAACAGATTGACCAAAGCTCGTGTTGGTCAATATCAGAAACTAGGTGAGAAGCTGGTCTCAAATAAACTAAGTTTCTATTGTAAGAAACTTATGTAATCTCAAGGGAATATCTTTTCTCTGCACTTGGTACTTCAAAGGGGCTTTCTTTGTAAGCAACAATCTTCACAGTGAGTAGCTCAAACTGAGATTCAAATGATTGCAAGTGGGAGATCCTATTTTTTGGGGGGAGAATGGGCCCTCCTTATATACATTTTGTGTGGGAATATTATGTAAGTAAAAAAGCAGAGCAATGACATCAGAAGTGGAGCAGAACATTCCAGAAAATTCCATAGGTGGAGTAATGACATCAGAGGTGAGTCATTGTGGAGCAGAACATTCTAGCAAGTGGAGCAGAACATTCCAGAACAAATGACATCATCATGACATCATAACTTTCAACAGAATACTTGCAGGAGTATCTGTGGAGCCATATGACATCATTATGACATCATTATGACATCATACCCTGTAGGTACAATTTTGTGAAGTATCTGATGGGTCAGAGCATCCCAATAGAAAAATAAATCAAGGAAATACTAGAGAAAACAACTCAGAAATAATAATACAATAACAAGACACAAAACACAGGCTTTTTAGATAGGTTTTTGTTAGGCTTTGAACTTTTCTCTATGGTTTTCTCTAGCCAAATTGAATAAGCCAAAGGTAAGGCAATACCTTAACCTTCTTGCTTCACAATATCAACTAGGTCATTATGTGATTCCTATCTCACAAATGACTTTTCTTCAAGATATAATAAATTCATGAATCACAGAGGGGAAACTGAACTATATGACCAAGGTTTGAAACCAAGGTATGGGTTAACTAGCCCAATGCCTAAGCTAACAGACTTTGTCTTTTGGGGGGGCTACCTAGTAGTCATGTCCATGCATAATTCCAAAATCATGCAGGACACTGCTTTTGCGAGATTGTAGGCCTGATCATTCCCATGCAGACCACTATGACCTTTCACCCAGATGAAGCTGGTTTGTGCTGACCTTCTTCTTAGGTGGTATGCTGTGGCTCTTATATGTTTACTATTTGTGATGCCTATCCATCCCACATCTTCCCAGGTGGAGAGGAATTTTGTAAGGCTATTAATGGCATATTTTGAATCAGTCATAACTGTAATGGGTATATAAGGTTCTGTTTTCTGTAGGGCCACAAGGATAGCTAATACTTCTGCAGTCTGGTTCGAGTGGTTGTTGCTGGGTATTCTGAGTGCCATGTTGTTTGGGTAATTGTCTCCAATCCAGACTCCACATCCACTCCATGCATCATTTTTCCTGTTGTTAGTGCAGGAGCCATCAGTGAATATGGTTATCTTTTCATTTATAAGGTTCAGGCCACAGGTTGGGTTTTGCAATCAGTGAGCTGGGGATTGTGAGTTTAGTTTTGGGTTAGTAAATATTCTAAAGCATTCTTTTAGGCTAGTTCTTATCATTGTAGTTGGGTTGAAGAGTATCTCTCTAGTTCTGCTCTCATGGGCTTGGGAGTTTTTCTCCTTTCATTGGTGCATCAGTGATAGGCTGTCTTTCTTCGGCTTTGTTCTCATGTCATATTTGGGGGTGAGTTTACTGAGTATTTCTCTTGCATTAGCTGCACATTTGTGTGGGTTTGGACAGCCAACTTGACGGTCTTTCTTACATGGTGGGCATGTGCAATCTTTGTGAGGGAGGTGACACTGTGAGTTGTTTCTCATGTTGGTTAGTCTCTTACTTGTCTTGATCAAGTTTTTGACAGTTATTGATTTATGTTTTTCTTGTAGGCATTTGTCTTTTGTTTTGTGATATGTTTTTAGGGGTGCTCCTATATGACACCAGGTGGGTAACTGTTTTTTAATGTCTTTTGAGATCTTGATTGGGGTGAAGCTAACATTAAATTGTTTTGCTGTTTTTAGTAGGTTTTTTATTTCATTGGGGAGGGTGTTCACTCTAGGGCCTCTAGTTGGTGGGTCCCATGATAGAAGGAATGGGTTTGTTGATTTAGTGTTGTTGTTGTTCAGGTTCAAGTTATGTATGAGTAGATCAATGATGAAGGCCCAGTTGGGTCTAGAAGGGAAGAGGTCAAGGTAAGGTTTGATCCACATCACTTCAATCACTTCATTTCTTGGTTTAATATCTAATAGATTAATTCCACCTTCTTCCTTTGGATGTTGCAGTTGCTTGAGGCTGATTGGTGGGGAGCATTTGTTGTCCCATATAAAGTTTCAGATCATTTTAGTGAGTGCTTCTTCTATGTTTTTGGGCATTCCCTGAGCTTTTGTCAGGAACTGAGTCATTCCACCCACAAACATTTGTACTATCAGTTGTTTGCCTGCTAAGGTAGGGTGACATTTTGACCATCTATTTAAGGTGGAGTTAATTTTGTCTAGGATTGGTTCCCATGGTGTTGTTTGATCTGTCTTGTTGCTGATCCATGCTCCTAGGGAGCATATGGGATGCCTGTTGGGTGCTATTCTGATGGTGTTGTCTAGTGGAGAGTCAGTTTGGTTTAACTTTCATGTTGAGATGATACAGTCATGGTGTTGTTTTGAGCCAATGGGTATGATTTCCATTTTTTCCATATTAAATTTAGCACCAGAGGTTAAGCACCAATTTATCAAGATTTCTTCTAGGTTGCTATACTTGTCATTTTCATTAAGGTATATGGTGGTGTCATCTGCATATAGGTTTACTATGAGTTTATTTGTGATACCAGGTATGTTGTATCCTGTTAATTTATCTGAGTTTCTCAATGTGCATGCTAATGGTTCAATTGCTATATCAAACAGGAGGCAGGAGAGTGGATCACCCTGTTGCACTCCCCTTGTGACTTTGAAGGGGGCACTCATGACTCCATTAATGGCAACTTTGGTGTACACATTTGCATATAGGGCTTTCACTGTTTTGATGAATATTTGGGGGAGGTTGAAGTGTTTGAGGGTTTCTATAAGGTAATCATGTTTTATTTTATCATACACCTTTTCTTGGTCAAGGGCTATTAATGCCCTGTTTTCTTCAGTGATATCTGCATATTCTACCATGAGTTTGGCCAGTCTAATTGGATCAAAGATGGACCTTTTTGGGATAAATCCGCTTTGGTCTGGGTGGATCAGTGTGTGCACTTCTTACACTAGCTGCATTGCCAGGGTTTTAGTTAGTATTTTATAGTCTGTGTTTAATAATGTGATGGGGCAGTAGTATTCAATTTCTGTTCTCTCTTTTTTCTTGAATATAGGGCACATCCAGCCATGCATGAATCCAGAGGTGGGGTCCACATTGTGTGTTTGAATATCATTTATTACCATGGTAAGTGTTTGTATGATGTCAAAGCTCAGGTGTTCTTCTTTCTGACATTCTGTGTTTCTTGTGTAGCTTTTTCCACACTTCATATGTGATACCATCTATCCCAGCTGTGCTGCCTGATTTTGATGAGAAGAGAGCCTCATGGACGTGATGTTCTTGTAATAGGTTGTGAAGTGGTGAGTCTTGGTTTTGAAGTTTTTGGGTGTGGTATGTCTCTCATGAAATTCCATCTAGTGGTTTGTCTTAAGTTTTTGGTCTCTTTTGGGAGGTTGTCCTATTGGAGGGTTTTGTGGTATTGACAGGCAATTTCCACCATTTCATCTGAGCAGCTAGTGGAGCAGTTAGTGTTTGGCCTCCTCAGGCTGTGGATTATATCCCTAGGTTTCTTATGTGAGTTCATTTTCAACCAATACTTGCTTATGGTTTCTCCTTTTAGTGCCCAGTTTGCCTGTGAGTGTAACTGGATGTTCTTAAATTTCTTTTTTTCTAGATGGTTGATTTCACTCTCAATCCATGCTCTATGGCATCTGGTATCCTCATTAGTGTCTGGGTCACCACATTCTAGGGTATGTTTTATATCTTCCTCAAGTTGTCTTGTTCTTACTCTTATCTTGTGTAGATGTTCTTTCGTGGTTTTTTTCACTAATGTAGTGATATTTGTTTTGAATTTTTCCCATGTTGATTGTGGGTTCAATGCTTCAGTTCTGTTCCTGAGTTGGTAGGTCATTTGTTGTTGCATTGCATTTCCAAGATCGCTTATATCTTTGAACAGTTTCTTATCATTCATTAAGCTCAGTGGCCATGTCCATTGTCCTTTGCCAATGAATGGTGTGTTCCATGGTATGAATCTAACTGATATCATCTTGTGGTCTGATGGGATCGCTGTTGTGCAGGACTCCCAGTTGTGGACATTTCGTTCATGTTGTGGGGAGGTGTATATTCAATCAAGTTGTGAGTATGAGTTCACATTACTATAGAACATGAAGAGTCTTGACATTGGGTTTAGGGACTGCCATGTGTCTTGTACATTTAACTTATATTTCAGGTCATGCAGTGCATTTGAAGCATTTTCATTGTCTGGTCTTGCTGGTGCTTGGTTCAGTGTGTCTTCAGTAAGGTTGAAATCGCCCATCATAAAGTCAAGTTGAGGTAAGTCTTTTTCATTCCATGTTTTTGCGATTAAGTCCCAGAAGTCTGGGTGCTTAGTTGGGTTATTTTGTGCATATATGTTGAGGATGGTGATGCATTCGTTGTTGTGCCATTTCATGCTGATTGCTAGTGCTCTGCCTGGGATGATCTCAGTGATCTCAGTGTTTGTGGTATTGATCATTTATTTGTTTAGGACAAATGTGACTCCTGCAGAGTTGCCAGGGTGGAACAGGTCACAGGAGTTAATAACTCAAAGTCTTCTTGAATACAATGATTCTACTTGCACTTCATGTTCAGGTGTTAAGTGTGTCTCTTGAATGTAGAGGATGCCTATTTTTTTCTCTCTCATTACATGTTATATTGATGACCATTTTGATATTGTACTGTTCCCAAGCTCTGGGGATGTGCATCCTCTCATGTTTAAGGTCACAACAAGAATGTTTGCTCTTGATCTTTTCTTTTTGGTGTGGGTGTGATTGTTTAAATTATTATTTGCCTGGTATGGCATTAGGAGAGTTCTACCTCCAAACTCCTGAGTAGTGTCATCAGGGGTGGTCCCAGCGGTGTGAAGACTACCCCCTCTGTTACTTGGGAGGCTTAAGCCAGGGCCAGGAAAAGAACTGAAATTTGTTGAGTTAGTTTGAGTTTATGAGGTGGTCATATTACTGCTCCTTCCAGTATGACCATATGGGGGAGAGGACTGTCATATCCCAGGCAGTCATGGTGGATATATGTTTGCACTGTCCAAAATCGTGAGTCCTGAGTTCACTCTTTCTCTTGCAGTTACTTCAGCTCCTCAGCATGGCAAATCCATGACCTAAATAGGCCTCCATTTTGGCTTGCACCTACTAGGACTACCATGGCTTTCCTGTCCCACCATGCAGTCAGTATATTTGGGCCATAGTTTACAGGGTGGTCTAACTTCATCCTATGTGGTTAGACATGCATTTTGCCATTCTTCAATCAGGTTGAACTGCTTGCTTGGGTCAGGGTCAGGGATTTTATAAGGGGAGGTTATATTCTGGTATGGGGATACATGAGGTCAGGGATAAACTGCTACAAGAGGGGTGTGGGGGTAGTGGGGTGAATGGTATGGTATGAGATAGGTAAGTGGTAGTTATGTACATGGTCCAGTAATGGTGGTGGGTTCAGGCAGCAATTCTCCTTCCTTTCTCACATCCCCTCTGATTGGAGTTAGCTGGTTTTGTGGTCAGGCTATGTTTGGGGCCATTCCAAAGTGGGATGTTGGGGAAGGGACAGAGTCCACAAGGGTGGGCTATGGAGTGACACAGGGGGCAGGGTATGAAATTGACAGAGGAGCTGCTACCTTTGAGTTCCAAAGGGTATTTGAGTGAGAGGAGGTGGGCTCTGAGTTTCATCCAGACAACTGGGTTGTTGGTAGGGCTGACTGTGAAGATGTTGTAGTGGGGAAGGAGGATGCCACCACTGACCTTAAAGTCAAGGCACTCAACCCAAAGGGACTTGATGAAGTCTTGTGCCACGAGGTGAACTCGTTCTTCTGGGATCTCACTTTTGGAGAGGATGTCTGTGATGTCCCACATGGTTACATCTTCAATCCAAATGTTATGGACTGTGGTTCTGACAGTGCTTGTGTCTGTGGTGGAGAAGCCATGTAAACAGAAGAGAAGGAGTGGTGGGGAGTTGACTTGGAAGAGGTGAGCCGCGAAGGTGATTTCTGTGGATGACCATATGCACTGGTTCAGGATGATGGTTTTGGTCTCCTCAGAGATGTTATAGGCAAGGAAGCTAAGGGGGTGATCCGTTTTCTCTCTAATAGCTTCTGGACAGGGAGGGGAGACTTTGATCTCATGGTCCTCTTGTTGGTCCATTTGGGCTATAATGGAAATTGCCTTGCGGAGGCATTCAACTAGAATGGGTCCTTTAACAGCTGGATCCTTGCTGTTGTGAAGAAGAAATAGGTACTAAGCTGTTAGCAACTAGCACTACTTATCCTAAGAGGCCCGAGTTAATTGATTGGCCTGAGAGGACTGCTATTGAAGCACTTCCTTCAATTATGTGCGAGAGAAGTAAGTGAGCGAAGGAGTTATAACCTATGTTGGCCTAAGAAACTTGAGCACAGACCATATGTATACCTTTGAATTTCTATGTCAAAGAATCGACTGTGAGTGCGGGCAAAAATCAACCAATGTTAGTATCACAAGAGCGGAATGAACCATTGGAAGATATGAGCAAGTGTATTGGATGTCAGATGCTGGTGCAGCAGATGTAATGCTGAAGGAATCAACTACCAAGCTATGGCACTACAAGGGATGCCAAGTCAGTGTCATATGCCATTCCGGACTCTCAACTCTAAATCCGCTTCTCTGGATGTCCAGATCCAAGATCCAGATCTCAAATGATCTGATCTATCTTTATCTCCCTTCTGGAATCCAAACCCTATATCAGCGCCCAACTCCATTTAGACTGCCCCTGTCTCTGGACTCCAGTTAACCATGTTTCCCTTTTGATTATTGATCCATTACATACATTTCATTTCTGGTGTTCATTATTTGTGATCTGTCCTACTTACTAATAGACTTTGCATATGCTTCATACATAGCCTTTATGTTTGCTGACTGATTCCTATATGATACCTACAGTATATAAACCTCCTGTAACTCTTGGAAATACTCCAGTTTGAATATCATCTTAGTTCCTGCTCATTCCTGTGTCCTCCAGACTCGAGATAAGTCTCTTGTCATATTCCGAGTCTTAGGATTGCATCCTAGACTACATTTCCGACTCTACCTCAGGGTAGTCCATCCTCTGTTAGTTTCTAGTCTGGACTTCGTCCGGATTAGTCTTATCCGCTTGCTCAGGTAACATCCAGATGTCCATTGGATTTATCTCACATCTCAGATCTGGACGTCCGTTATCCGCCCCAGTCAAATCCCGGAAACTCCAGACAACTGTTCTAGCCCCCAGAAATTAAGGGCACATACTCGGGAAAGGGGCACAGCGTATGAGCTGAGGCCAAGCCCTTGTGATCTGACCCCCTTGAGCATGCGACCTTAACAGTCAGAGTATATGTGTGGTCATCTCAGCTCTGCCTATGGCTGCTATACTTTGCAAAGGCAAGTGCGTTCGACCCAAGGGGAAGCAAGTGCAACACATCCACAGGTCGCACGAAGCGTGGGAAAGTCACGCACATGGAGGCGAAGGCACGTGCAGAGAGTGGTAGGATGCGTGAAGCACAGGAAAGTTGTGCGCTAATAGGCGAAAGTGCGCAAAGGGCTAGGAATGCAATGGGGACTAGAGGAAGATGATGACTGATACTGATGGGTGCGAGGATGACAAATGTGATGATGATAGTGTGATTGTCAAAAATGCTACTGACTATGGCTCAAAAATGCATGCACTATGCTGAGGGATGCTAAGGGATACTACTCCCAACTAAGTGGTAGCTAACTAAGTGATAAAAAATGCGAATGCTATCATGCAAAAGGCGACTCAGTGCACTCCCACAATGCGGAGCCAACGCAAGTAAGGCGTGGGAATGAAGAAGGTATATGTAAGTAAGGGTCCATGATGGAATATGGTGTCATGATAAGAGTAAATTCGAAAATGTACCAGTAGGACTTGGTGGACAATGGATGGATGCTCCTGGATGATGGGTGATGAAGTGCGGGAAAGTGCATGGGAATGTGTTGCAGGAGAGTAGCACGCGCATTGTGCGATGTGTGGGAAGATTGTGCATGTATAGGCTGAGTGAAGGAATGATATAGGGAATGATGCCATGAGTTTGTGCTGTGAACTGCATGCAGATACATCACAATATAGGGCTCTACAGGCATACAGAGGCACGAGTCTCTACAATGCACACAAAATCGACCACACTCTATGGAGTGGCCAGTTGCAAGGGATATAGTGCAAGCAAAGAACAGCACTAAACTACTGGTCATGGGTCAGGTATTCTTGCAAGAGCTTAAGGGTAAGATCCTAGTGGTACGGAACTTCAGAGTGGTCAAATTGTGCAGGATTGCCAAGAAAGAGCAAAATAGATGGATTGTGCAAGGTCTACAAAAATAACATGAGAACAACTCTCCTATAGAGCTGAGTCCAGGGGGAAGGGAACTACTCAATTGTATGTACTGTGGTCATTTATATCATAGCACATGAATGTCCAGAATGCATAGGTGAGAATTGTAGCATAGTTAGTGAGCACATGATGAGTCTATAGGTAATAAGACACCATGTGCTGTGGATTGTGAGTAGTCATATAATAAGACCTGCAGCTCATTTAGCAATGACATTTGGGAAAAATAATGCACCAGCAGAGATAGGTGGACATGGATAGGACATGGGAGGGCAGATTCCTAGGACCAGACCAGAGTAAGAGCGGATGGGTTGATATATATGGATTTAATGATCCACACTTTATCTCCTTTCCTGAAGGTGAGAAGAACCATGCTATTGATCATACACACCTAGCACCGGTATGATCATCACACCATCATGGTCAAAGACTCTGATTAGGACTTTGGGGTAGGGCACTTTCAACCAGGTGGTGATGACCTTAGCAGCTTGGAAGTCAAATAGTTGCACTGCATGTGCTAAATGAATGTGTGGAAAGCCGCCTGGTGGGGCAGGCGTGAACTGTGGGATGGCTGACATGGAGTTTGCACTGGTGGACTTTATGATAGACCTGTTGGTTTCTGCTACCATGAGGTAGGCATGGAGCATTTCTTCCTCAGAGGGAGGAGAGGGGTTGGCAGGTCTAGGTTTGGGGGTGGTTGGGGTGGAGGTGGGGGTAGTGCGAGGGGGAGAGAAGTCCAGCATCACTTCATCATCATTAACGGTAGGGGGGGGGGTGGTGTCCTCGCTTGGGTGGCTTTCATGCCTGTGCTTACGTTGTGCAGGATGGTCTGTGTGATGGGCAGTGCAGCTGGTGACATAGAGTCTGCCTCAGATTCTGTGAGGGGGACTGGAGGTAGGGCAGTTCTTAGCATAGGTGAAGGCATTGTGGGAGTGGGCAAGACTTCTTTCACTGTGTTCCCCTTCATCAATTAAGATATCTGGGGGAAAGAACTGTGAACCTGAACATTGGTTTCTGGGAAGGGGCTGTTGTGTTCCCATGGGGGAGGGGCGAGCATTGATGTTAGCTGTCTTTACACTGGACAGGTCCTTCATTTTTGTGGGGGTTGGGGTTTTGGTTTGGGGCGGTAGGGCTTATAAGCTATTCATCGCAGGAGGTGTCATTTTCATTAGGGGTGACATGTCATATCCCACAATCTGGACTCACATTCCATAATATTCCCACGCCTTCCAAGCCTACATCTGGACCCCATATCCGACTCATTGCCAGATCCCCTTCCACTGTGTGCTCCACACCTCAGTAGGATCAACTCCATTCCAGATTTACCCCTGAGCTCCAGACCTCTGGATCCTCACTACTAGCCTGATCCATACCACCCTATCCTGTCCACCCTATGTGCACTCCATCCAGCAAGACATCTGAACTTCACCTCATCTTGGATTCAGAACTACATCCACCTTGTCATATCCCAGTCCTGTATCCACCTCACCTTCTGGATCCTCAGATCTCTGGATATCAGCCATAAGTATCTCCAGATATATTCCTGCCCTCTGTCCAATATCCTGCACCTATCCCCATTTAGACATCTCTGCCTTTCCAGCTCTCGGTTACCTCTCGTTCTGTCTTGCTGATTGATCCTTGTATGAGTCTTCATCTCCAAGTTCATTTACTTATGTTCCGTCTTACTTCCTGATGTGTTTCCACATGCTCATACATAGCCCTGCTCCTTTGCTTACTGATCCCCTCAGATATTGTCCAGTATATAACCCCTGTAGATACTCCTGTAGTTCCTCAGTTTGAATATCGTCTTAGACTTTGCTCTACTTGCCCAATCCTCTCTCAGACTTTGGTCCACCTAAGTCTGTCCCATCCATCAGGCCTAGGGATTGATTCCCTAGGCTGGAGCTCCACCTTTCTGGCACTTACCCTCTTTCCAGACTTAGGTCTAATCCCTGTCCCTTTGACTCTACCTTAGGGTAGTCTACCTCTGTTTGTTTCTACATTGGACTCTGTCCGATGTAGCCCCTATTCTTTCTGGACCTCTGGGTGTCCTGTCCTTTGGACATCCCACCCTCCATACCTTTGGACATCCTGTGCTCCTAACCCTCGGACGTCCTATCCTCCTGTCCTTCAGACATCTTGCCCTCTGTACCTTCAGACATTCTGTCCTTTGTACCTCCTGCCCTCTGTACCTTCAGACATTCTGTCCTTTGTACCTCCTGCCCTCTGTACCTTCAGACATCCTGTCCTTCTGTCCTCTGTCATCCTGCCCTCCTGTCCTCCTGTCCTTCTGTCCTTCTGTCCTCTGGACCTTTGGACCTTCTATCCTTCCATCCTGTTTCCTGTAGAAGTATTACCTTGCAGTGGGAACTCTCCTGAGCACTTCCTGTGTTCCTCCAGAAGTCCTCCAGACTTCATCAGACTATCATCAGACCTCATATGAAATGAAGGGCCAATACTCAGGTAAGGGGCACAGCATACAAGCTGAGGCCAAGCCCCTCTGAGTCAGTCTCTCTCTCCCTTGAGCAACATGGTTCTTAACATGATGCCAGTATATTGCAGGTTTGTTGTGGTGTGAGTTAGGGCTGTGGTAGGCATGTAATGAGTGTGTCTGTGTGAGGGAGAAATTGTTATTTTGGGGTTGGTTTACCGAGAAGCATTAGCTGGGGACATCTTATCATTGATGTTTTTCATGGTCATTTTACTCTCAGTTCAAGTGGTTTTCATTTTCTTATGTGTGTGTGGGACATGAGGATTTGGTTGGGTGATAGCATACTTGTGTTTAATGTGTTGGATCAGGGGTGGCCTCATTATGACACGTATTTCATGTGCACATCACAGTGTTCAGTTGGTACTCATTGTGTGGGTGGGGTTTTTGGTGGTTTTATCATATTCCTACAGCTAGTCAGAATAGTTGTTCAGGGTGTTTGTTGTGGGTTTTATTCATTGTTTTTTTATTTTTAAGAGATGTTGTTTTCTTGCTGGTTCATAGTTGTCAGATGTGTTTTGGTTGGTTATTTCAGTGGTGTGGGTTGAGACGGGTTATGTATTGCGGGCCAGTGGTTAGCTGTGAACACAGTTGTTCTACCTTGCCCGCAAAGTTGCGTGGGAAAAAATGACCATGGTGGTGGTGCGAGTTCAAGGGCCCTCCGGCATCCATATTTATGTAATGCCACAATTTCACCGTGCACTGCCAAACCTCGAGGCCTCACCGTCACCTTGTTCGTTGGCGTCGTCCCAAGGACTATTCAGATTCGGAAGCTGTCAGATCCATTGAAATACCTCGCCTTGTCTTGTGCACGCTTCGCAGGCCCATTGATCGTTCGTCTAGGATGTTATTCTTGTCCAGCGTTGCCACGTTTCATTATCAACTTCCACACCTAGAGAAAACCATCCTCCACCACGGAGCGCTCGAATCTGCTGTTGCGTGCTTTGGATAGTCTGCCATGAACCACTGGCTACCGTGACAAAAATGTTTACACATGAGATGTTCATGCAATCTTCAAAGAAGCTGGCCATGATAACCCACTATCTAATCTCCCAAGTGCTTCAAGTTGCAGGTCCTACTAGCTGACAAGTCGTTGCTAAATGATGGATGTGTGTGACGAGTTTATTGACCATTTTAATATTGACATCCTAGAGTGACGCTACACGATCCAAAATACTCAAGGGTCACCGCCAAGTACCACCAGGCCTTTTCGATGGCGACAAGGTGAGTCGTCTGCATTTTTAACCAGTTCTCATTCTGACTTTTGCACTTTCGGTCCTCTGCAGCAAGTGACGCCCATCCTTGTTGCTCTACACATGGCCCTCAGTGACTGTACTCCCTCTTCTGCGAATTCACGTGTGCTCGTCAGTGGTTTCTCATCGCTCTTCCCCCACAATTGCTTCAATACCGATAAAGCAACCGAAGTCCAGTAACGCGGTCCATCTTCTCTCATTGCAGTCCTCGTATTGTTTGAAGTTACCACAGTACAGGACAGAAATGTACGTCTTCGCATGCGTTTCCAACCGCTGTGGTTAATGGTTTCTGTCCAAGCATTGGTCGTTCCTCGGCGGCTAAGATAAGCCGAAACGAACACGTGGTATCTCGTGCTCACGATATCGGGGCTTGGATAGCACGATTCCGAATACCGGAAACTTTGTATTTCTTTGAAAAATCTCTTGCGAGTGCTCAAATAGTAATACCGGAGTAACTGCTGGATAATATAATCTGAAGCAGTTCTGTGTGTCAGGATTGAATATCGAAGGAATCCCTGCCAGACAAACCCTCTCATTCAACTATTTTTATGGACTTCGCTCGCATACATAGTTCAAGATCTGCTGTAGTCATCAAACGCCGACAAGGAGCAAGAGTTGACTGGGTACAAGGTGTCATGCACCTACCTGGTAGACGACGCATGATATGGCTCCCTCTGGAATGTGGAGCGGTGACACAGCCCTGGAGATGTCTGTGTGGGTGGTGATCTATTCCCCCGATAACGCAAGGTTTGCGATGGGCGGACACTATGACGACACAACAAAAATCTGGAATGCAAAGATGGACAAGCTACTTGCTCTCCTCCTTGCATGATCATATACCTCCTTACCCCACCTGGCCTGATCATTCGCCGCCGCCGCCGAAGTCGACGTGATTTGAGTGAGAAGCAACATGTATATTCCAAAAGGTCCGTTATTTTTGTCCCATCAACACAACGATCATTTATAATATCGTACATCAGGCGCAATCATCACATACAACACATGGTCCGATCCGCTCCTCCCAGTTTTCGTGATACTGACTTGAATCGCACGAGATGAAAGGCGGTATCCCGATGTATCTCGATTTATACCTGAGAGGTTCATCGACGTTAATGGTGCATTGACAGATGATGACCCTGCACAGTGCGTTTTCGGCCTTGGCCGGCGTATGTCCAGGTTTGTTAAGTCATTTTAATCCTACAAAGATTCGCTGATAGATAAACTTTAATCAGGGCAGTCTACAGGCGATGCCTCTACGTGGTTTGCCATTGTGGCCATGTTGGCCACATTGGATACTTCTCCTGCCAAAGATGATCAAGGCAAAGTGATCAGCTTCACTCCCACGTTTATCGCGGGAGTGGTTCGGTACTTGAAGCTTACTCGTGTCATTCTATCCTCTCGTCACTAACAGTTTCGTTGCTGCAGCTGTGCTGCAGTCTTCCCTTGTCATATTTCGGCACTGCCTCACATTCATTCAGACCTTGTGGATAGTTGGCGAACTGCCGAGTTGTGAAAGAAGGGATGATAGTTTGCCCCATCGGTGGTCTGATTGGGACACTAGAGTAATATCACCCAGCGTGTCTAGCTGTTTTGTGGAGGGTCCTGTAACATTTCGGTGTTGGCGTGCCAGAATATTCATCCTCAGATGCATACGTCGTGTGACGTTAGCACCTCACTCGCACTTCGCTCATTAGTAAATTCACATATTCCTTTTTGGCACTTGCGGTTACTTACTTCGAAAATTCACCACTGAACTCCACCTTACAGTAAGTCAGTTTATCAGACGGATTTTACCTTGCGAAGGGTAAATTTCGTATATGGGGTTCTGCGGGTTCTGGATCGTATCACTTCGCGCCCGCTCTTCTCGCTTCCCTGTCCGGGTCATCGTGATTCGCTGTTTGCTCGCCTCTTCGTCCTGGCTCGAAGAAATCAGTTCGAAACCAAACCAATCAATATGTATTAACATGGGTATGAGGATGCAGTAAAAATCCGGAATGCAAAGATATTTTACATCTTGTGTGTGTCTTCGTCTTCCATGATCATATTTATCATATCTGGCCAGATCGTCCGCTACCGCCGCAGAAGTCGACACGATCTGAGCAAGAAGCAAGATGTATCTTAAACCGACACATGACCGAATCGCATAATCAACGCACAGGCGGCGACTTACAACTTCTCCGTGGTTATAAGGACGATTGCATTATATACGGTTTGCCAAATTACTAGGACTGCGCAAATTATGGCCCCTGCAGTTAATGGTCACCTTGCTATCCTCGCGAGCATTCCTCTTTCCTTCGTCGCCGTCACGGCACTTATGCGGTTGATCAAGAAGCAACAGAACAACCCTTCTCTTCCTCCTGGCCCAGTGCCACTCCCACTGTTAGGGAGCGTTTTATCTATCAACGCTAAGGAACCTTGGCTGACTTATACCGAATGGTGTGCTGCGTATGGTACGTGAACAGAGATGCGTATAGACATATGTGGTGCAAATTATTATATCAGGGGACTTGATCTTCGTGCGGAATCTAGACGAGGAAATGGTAGTGATCAATTCTCAACACATCGCAGAAGCCTTATTGGACAAGCGTTCTCGTATTTACTCCGACCGACCACACCTAGCTACACTCGAGCCGTGCGTCCTTTCAGTATTCTTCTATTCAATCAGGCTGAGGTTCTTGCAGATATGGCTTGTCGATCAACTTTGCATTCTTAGGTTATGGTGATGAATGGCGTCTCTGCCGACGACTTTTCCACCAAACTTTCCGTCCTGAATCTGCAATCAAATTTTTCCCAATGCAGATCAGACGAGTTCGTGAGATGGTCGTCAACCTAATCGATGACCCTCAACACTATTATGACCACTTCGCAACGTCAGCAATTGATTTTTACAAATTGAACGATTACTCACCTGTTCACAGATTCTCGTTATCTGTTGTGATGTCAACTGTATACGACTACAATATCAGTGCTCGTGATGACCCTGTGGTGCAGACTGTGATAAATGCATTGGTTCCGGGCTTGACCTTGTTGACCCCAGAGAGAGCATTGATGCTCAAGACCTTCCCCTTTTGTGAGCTCAACTCTCCTAGAAGAGAAAGCGTTAACATAACATGCACTTTCAGTACTAAAGTTACCTGACTGGTGTTGGGGATCCTCGATCAAGCGTGATGCTCGATCTTCGACCGAGCGTGTCAATCAAATGGCCGACGTGCCATTCCAGTATGTGCAGCAGCACATGGTAGGTACTTATTTTTATCTTGGTTCCAGACATTGATCCGACCCTTGCGAAGGCCGACAGCTCGTTCGTCGCTCAATCTTCAATGGTTGCAGAAAATTTGCGACGGATGGAAGCACAAGAGGAGGCATCCAAACCTGCATTCAGGAATGCCTTGAGGAAAGCAGCTACTACTGCTATTATAGGTAAGTCAGCTTTTTTACAAGCAACACTGTACTCTCGACGTACATTAATATTACACAGCTTCATATGAGACGGTAAGTGGATAACTCCGTCATGTCGTCCGCTGCTTATCATCGTTGCAGACTGCGGCAAACATGATGGTTTTTGTTTTGGCCATGGTATTATATCCAGACGTTCAGAAACGTGCACAAGCAGAACTCGATTCGGTGATTGGAAGAGATCGACTGCCAACGTTCGAGGACAGAGCATCACTACCCTACATAGATGCGGTAGTGCGGGAGACTTTCCGATGGCAGCCCGTTGTACCCCTTGGTATTCTTCTCTGCCAAGTGATCTGGCCTGTACTGAAGATGATCTCATAGGCGTACCACATGCTACCTCGAGTGATGACGTATATGATGGCTATTTCATTCCGAAAGGTTCGCTATTTTTGTCCCACCAACACAACGATCATTTATAATATCGTACATCAGGCGCAATCATCACGTACAATACATGGTCCGATATGTTCTTCCCAGTTTTCGTCATACTAACTTGATTGCAGGGGCATTACACGGGATGAAAGGCGGTACCCCGACGCATCTCGTTTTATGCCAGAGAGGTTCATCGACGTTAATGGTGCGTTGACAAGTGATGACCCCGCACAATACATTTTCGGCCTTGGCCGGCGTATATGTCCAGGTTTGTTAAGTTATTTTAATCCTCCAAAAGATCCCCTGACAGATAGGCTTTAATCAGGGCGGTATACTGCTGATGCCTCCGCGTGGTCTGCCATTGCGACTATGTTGGCCACGTTGGATGTTTCTTCTGCAAAAGACGACCAAGGCAAAGTGATCAGCTTCACCCCCACGTTCATCCCGGGAGTGGTTCGGTACTTGACTTCCTCATGTCGTCCTATCCTCTCGTCGCTAACGGTTTCATTGCTTCAGCTGTCCTGCAGTCTTCCCTTGCAGTATTTCGGCACGGTCTCACATTCATTCTGACGTTGTGGACGGTTGGCGAACTGCCGAGTTTTGAAAGACGGAATGACAGTTTCCCCCATCTGTAGTCTGATTGAAGCACTAGAGGAGTGATCGATTGAGTATGTACTTCCTGTATACTAGGTGAGCAGACATGATGAACAGAAATATGTCATGTGGGCTTCAGTCACCAAGCGTGTCTAACTGTTGTGTCGAGGGTCCTGCGACGTTTCGGTGACAGCGTGCCGGAATATAGCTCTCTGCGTCTTCTGTATTTCATGCCCATGATATGCCCCGACTAGTCCCCATCGAACGACTGCAGGCAACAAGCGTACGGACATCTCAGGTGCACATTTCGTGTGACGTCAGTGCTTCACTCGTACTTCGCTGCTGCTCCCAAAATGGGAGATGTATTAATACGCATGTCCTGCTAGAGTCAGGTTACCGTTCATCAGGACAGTTCAGGAACGATCCCTCCTCTATTAGTCCCGTTGATACCGCCGGATATTTGATAGATGGGCCAGTCTGCATCGGCCACATAGAAATTTGAATTTCATCTTTTTGTGAAATCCAATAAGGACTTGATCAATCGCGGTGCTTGTCAAAGATACAGCTATTCGTCGGAAACCTTAACTGCAGTGCATATGCATCCGATCCAGGTGACCGCAGGAATGAAATGCATCCAGCATGCTCCAACAGCGGAGTACCCTGACCGAAACCCCAATCAAGCTTCAATCAGTAAGCATAATCAGGCACTGCGCAGTGTGCTCACATACAAAGAAGCGAGCTTTGATGAAAGGCTTCCCAACTTCAAGCTTGAAGGTTTATGAAACTTATCATTGGATGGAGATGAAAACTCGCTGTTAAAAGCTCAAGAATTCGCTGATGGAGACTATCTGCACACGGATAGTCTCAAGAAGAACATGGTTGGCTAGGGTACACCGAGTCTGGATTTTGTGTGTTGGAAAAATGGGATAATGATTATTGGGATGAATCGGATCGATGGAAGAAATTGCGATCTTCGTCGAGCTCAATAGGAACGTATCATAACGACTCGGAAGTCTGGACGCATTGAAGAACTTCAAGAAGAGTGAACTTAAATGAAAAGAAAGAACATCAAACAGGATACAACGTTGAAAAAGATATCATGATTCATTGATGGCATGATCATGGTGCATGTTGCCCTTGAAATTGGCCTCATGTTCCGTGGGGAGAGTGGCCCATAGATCCTTGTACAATGAACGAGTCTGCTATACAAGGGATTGGAGTCTGAGCGAGTGTTGCTTGCTGAGTCAGATCGACTTCCTATATACAATCGTTCGAATCCAGCTCTTTCTGAAAGCGAACATTTAATTATTTAATTATATAATCTCCGACGTGATCTTCCGATGGGAACGTGTCATCGAGGCTGTGCATGGCTCTGCTTGTTTCAACAACTAAACCTCTTAGTGCTCTTCATTTCTGGGCATTTCAAGTTAGAACTTCTTGGAACTCAGCGGTGGCCGATAGCATGGGAGTCGGCAATATTTCGTCTGTGGGTGCCCAGGGGATCGTATGGTCGAGAACGCGACATGGTAATTTCCCTCTTCATATTATCGTTGAAGCGCTCGACGTTACTTTCTAGATAACGTAGTAGTGTCGATAACCCTAAATTCCTCTATTCGGACTCGGGTTGATGTGGCATCTTCCCAAGAGATACTTCTCTTATCGACTTCCGGAAGGACCGGAATCAAGCGGAGACCTGCGAAGAACTCTAGTTGGTACTACAGTAGGTCACCTGTCACACCTGAGGCATAATACATGCCTAACTGAACTTCATAACGGCACACTCAAGTTGAGCTGTCTAGCCTCCCTATTACCGCAGAACACATAGAGCTCCTGCGGGCCTCAATTAACTTTGCGCCCATATAATTATAAACGTGGCTACTCGTAATCAAACGCTGCGCGTCTCGCCCCATTCTTTCTGCCATGTCGGCCACTGGAGAAGAAAAGGCCCATGGGACCGGATCTGAAACTTCATCTACTGACCAAGTCGAGATCTACGAGCGTCCCAGAGGATGGAGAGGTATCTATTACCATCCAGCCACACAGGTCTGCTTGGTGGGCGTCGTGTGCTTTATGTGCCCGGGTATGTTTAACGCCCTTACCGGCCTTGGCGCTGCTGGTCAAGTCGATGCAACTACCACCGCAAACGCAAATTCTGCTCTCTATTCTACTTTTGCATTCTTCGCCTTTTTTTCTGGGTCAGTCACCCGCAGTGCTCGGTATCGTGTGATCATTTGATTTATCCCTGTGTAGCTCCGTGCACAACGTGGTTGGACCTAGAGTTTGCCTATTACTTGGAACATGGGGATATTCTCTGTTAATTGGGTCTTACTTGTGAGTCTTCCCTTACTCTGTCTTCAAGTCCTTAAACGGGGTCAAATAGTGCGACGAGCATTCATCCCGGTGCAGGCGACTTTGTTGTCGCCGCTGGGGCTATCTTGGGCGTCTGTGCGGCATTGGTATGGACTGCGCAAGGATCCTTGATGATGGCATACCCGACTGAGGCTCAGAAGGGGACGTTCATTGGTTACTTTTGGGCTATCTTTAACCTAGGAAGTGTCGTCGGCTCCTCGGTAGCCTTCGGGTCGAATTTTAACTCCACGGTAAATCATCTTTGCTATATAAGCTGTACGATATTCATCCACAGAAATCAGGCGAACAAAGTTGGAAATGGAACCTATGTGAGTTTTATTGTGATGAAATTTCTGTGGTTGTTTTGACCATATTGCTGAAGATCGGATTTCTGATCCTCTCCCTTACTGGCGTCGTCTTGCCCCTCTTCCTTGCAGACCCATATAAGATGATCCGTACTGACGGAACCAGAGTCACACCTATCCGTCACCCTTCTTGGAAAACTGAGTTTATCAGTCTATTTGTGGCACTGTACACGGACCCTTGGATTGTACTCTTGTTCCCCATGTTCTTCGCCAGCAACTACTTCTACACCTGGCGTGAGTCAAACATCACAGGAAAATGACACTGCAAGAGGTTGACGCGTTTTCCAGAATTCAATGATTATAATGGCGCCCTATTCAACATTCGCACCCGTGGCCTGAACAACTTCGTTTATTGGACTGCTCAGATCTTTGGCTCATTCTTCATCGGTCATTTTGTTCTGGATTTGAGGCGGTTCCGTAGACGTGTCCGTGCATTCTTGGGCTGGTCGATTGTAGTGGTCCTCGTTTTCGCCGTTCATCTATGGTCATACTACTACCAATTGTAAGTCGTAAGTCACGGTCCATCTTTTGTTTAATATGACCATTAACTCCACAGGACTTATACTCGCGTCTCCGACCCTCCTACAGCGGTCAAGATGGATATCAATGATCCAGGTTACCCTGCACATGTTTGGCTCATGATTTTCTATGGTCTCCTAGACTCTATGTGGCAGACAACTGCCTACTGGCTGATGGGCGCTATGTCCAATGACCCCGCAAAGCTTGCCGTGTTCACCGGCTTTTGTAAGATTATTTCACATTGAGGTCACACAACAGCCCAGTTCTAATCTTTCCAAGACAAATGCTTCCAGTCTGCTGGATCCGCTGTTGTGTGGCGCCTCGATGCTGTACAAAAACCGTAAGCTTTGCTGTTTTCAAGAAGGTTATACACGTTGATTTTTTTTCATAGATATATGGACATTTTCATTTCTACTTGGGTCCTAGCGGCTGCCGGCATGATATGTGCCTTCCCCTTGGTCTACGCGCGCGTAAAAGATTACACGGAGATGGATGATGAGGCTCTGTGAGTCAATTTGTTGCCTTGTTACCTGACGTACTTACTGGTTTCCCCAGGTTGGCCCGCCCAAACGTCGAGAGACTTCCTGAACCCATTGAGAAGTCTAAGAAGTAAAGCGACATGTGTTCGTGCAGCAAGAGAGGATGTATTTATGACACACGAACTTGTAATGAGATTTTTGTTGTTTTTGTATCTTCGAGTATATGTAGTCGTCTTGCTATCAGGAGGAATCGTGCGTTATAGGTATTGATAGGACGTAAGTCAATTCTCAGACACTCAGGCTGCCGACAGTGGACAAGGTGAACTTGGTGTCTACCGACCGCATCTGGGTTCCTCTTTGGACCTTCGGACTGATGATCAATAGGTGACCTCAGTTCGATATCCAGTCGAGTTATAATATAAGTCATCGTTGCTGTTGTCAGCTCTCGGAACAATTGAAAACTTGATGATGAGAATTTGCAGAATACAATAGACTGCGGGCCGGCGCCGGGTACCGCCACGTCGATTTCTCTCTATCACACATCATGGACCACGTCTACGCCGTGTACGAGTTCAGTGCGTGAGCGCAACGCGCTTTACTCTGCTTTACTCATGGTACGTGCTCGCTTTAAATTTAAACTCTTACACTGAACATACATAGCACATTTATTCACGACCCAAATTCTTTTGATGGAGTAAGGTGCCTTTTCGGTGGATTCTAGGGCTCCGTGAAAAACTACCGAGTTTTTGACGTTGGAGTTTTTGACAGGTTTTTAACGTGTTTTTAACGAGTCGATAACTTGGGGTTGATATTGGGGTGTCAAAAACTCGTCAAAAACTAATATATATATGTATATGATCCCGGGAACATAGCCTATCGAATTCTCCATCTGAACATCCGAAATCACCGAAAAATTGTTAAGATATGACCGACGATCTGTCAACTACTGTCCAATTGAGCGTTCGGCTCAATGATTGCAACAAAAATTTACCTTGACAATGCAGATGTTCTCGCGGTACTGTGCAATCTATCTGACTGGTGTTCATCTTGCTCACTCACAACTCGCATTCGCAGTACTTCGCAGTGAAAAATTTCGATGTCACCGTCAATTCGATGGCGGACGAGCGTACAGCGTCAACGATGAATTGGTTGAACTCCGCGTTACGAAGCTCCCTCAAAAGTTCTACCATTGTCAGTCAGGTTCAAGTTCGGCAGTGGGCTTTGATGGATCCTGAACGTGTTCGCGCTGTCCCACTTTTTCTTCCTCCGCCTTCTCACTGTCCTGTCCCGTAGACCAAAAGGCCTCCCTCAAAACCAACAGTTAAGTTTCGTGACTTGGACAGTACTCTTTTCGATGTCGATCTCGATAGCAACGGTCAGAAAGGAAACACGACAACTCCGAGTCGCAAGCAGAGGCTAACCCGGAGCCGCAGGACTCTAATTCAGACTCGGGGGACAATTGGTTGGAGGAGAGCGAGGACCCAGAGATTGAGCGTGATCCAATGTACAGGTCTTGTGACACGAGAGTATTTGTGGGTAGCGAGGATGCTCATCTTGATGCTCCTCGATTGTTGGACTTACTATCAGAGAAGCCGGTGGAAGGGGCAAGTAGGACACCTCAACTACAGGATAGCACAGTTCCAACGCCTCCGGGAGGGCCTGTACAGTGGGCATTTGCATTACCGTAGCGAAAAAAATGTCAAAATGACCTGAAAAAAACGCATTTTTTGAGTGTGTCAAAAACTGGTCAAAAACCCCTCGAGGGTGGGGGTGAGTTAAAAACTCGTCGTTAACTCCGTGGGTAGTTTTTCACGGAGCCCTAGTGGATTCCTTGATTTCCGGAGCCAAGGCCACCTGAGGATAATGTGACAGGTCACCTAGGGCACCGGCTGCGGCGCCTACCTATACCCAATGACATAACGATAAAAACCTCAAGTTGACCTGTCCGGTATCGAGCCTCCATATCGCGTCCCACGCAGAACATATCACTGATATCTGCAGACGAGTCATTTGAGCATGCGCCATATAATTATGAACGCTCTTGAAATTCGAGTTTTGCAAGGCACGCCTCCGATTTCTCAAAATTCCTTCTGCCAGGTCGACCGGTGAGGAAGAAAAGGCAACCGAGAGCGGATTCAGATCTAACACTTCGGCCGCTGGTCAACAACCCGAAGTCTTCAAGCGTCCCGAGGGATGGAGAGGTACACTATCACCCAATCACACAGGTTCGCCTAGTGGGCTTTGTCTTCTGTATGTGCCCAGGCATATTCAACGCTCTTGGCGGTCTTGGTGCTGGTGGTCAAGTTGACGTAACTAGCAGCGCAGACGCAATCGCCACTCACTGTGCTACCCTACCCTACCTTTTTAACTGGGTCAGTCGTACGCACTGCTCGGTGTCACGTCCATTTAATATACTCCCTGTGCTAAACTCAGTACACAATATGCTCGGATCTAGACTCTGCCAGTGCCTATTTATCGGAACATGTGGATAGCCTCTGCATTGCATCCTACATGCTCGTGGGTCTTGTCTTCCATCTTTCAATCTTTACACAGCCGGTTGAATAGTGCAACAAACATGCCATGATCTACCCCAGTACAGGCGACTTTGTCGTCGTTACTACATGGAGCTATCTCAGGTGTATGTGCTGCCTTGATGTGGATAGCGGAAGGATTCCTGATGATGGCGTACCTCACTGAGGCTCAGAAGGGGACGTTCATCAGTTATTTCTGGCCAATCTTTAATCTGGGAGCTGTCGTCGGCTCCGTGGTAGCCTTCGGGACAAACTTTCACTCGACGGTGAACCATCCTTGCTATGAAAGTTGTTACTACTTATATAAACAGAAAGGAATTAGGCGAACAAAGTTGGAAACGGAGCCTATGTAGGCCTCTGTAATCGTGATCAAGTTCTTATGATTGATTTGATCGTACTCACCCTCATTGGTGTGACTCTACCCATCTTCCTTGTAGATCCATAAAGATGATCCGCACTGACGGAACCAAAGTCACGCCTCCGCCACCCTTGAAAAACTGAGTGTGTCAGTCTATTTGTGGTCCTGAAGACAGACCCCTGGATTGTGTCCCTGTTTCCTATGTTTTTTTTTGTCAGCAACTACTTCTACACGTGGCGTGAGTCAAACATCACAGGGAAGTGACGTTGCAAGAGGTTGATATGTTTTTAGTATTCAACGATTATAATAGCGCCTTATTCAACATCTGCGCCCGTAGATTGAACAACTTGTGTATGGACTGTCAGATCTTTGGCTCATTCTTCATCGGTCACTTTATTCTGATTTGAAGTGGTTCCGTGCGTTCCTCTGCTGGTCAATTATAGTCGTCTTTTGTTTTTGCTGTCCATACCTGGGCATACTTTTACCAGAAGTAAGTCGCTATCTACCTCTTGTCAAACATGCCAATCAATTTCAAAGGAGCTGTACTCGCGCCTCAGAGCCTCCTACTGCCGTCAAGATAGATATCAATGATTCCGATTACCTGCACATGCATGGCTCGTAATTTTCTATGGTCTCCCTGACTCTGTGGCAAACACTACCTACGTGCTGAGCTATCCAGTAAACGTGCAAAGGTCGCCGTGTTTACTTGCTTCTGTAAATCCTCACATCAAAGCCACGTAATAGCTCCAGGTCTAATGACCTTCTCAGACAAATGCTTCCAGTCTTCTAGAACCGCTATTGTTTGGCGCCTCGACGCTCTGCGACAATCATGAACTTTATTCTTTTCCAGAAGAATGTGAATATTGATTGGTTTTCTTTAACAGATATATGATCGTTGTCGTTTCTACTTGGGTCCTAGTTACTGCTCGCATGGTGTTCGCCTTCCCTTTGATCCATGTCCGCGTAAAGAACCACACGGAGATTGACGATGAGGGTTTGTTAGTCCCTCTATGTTGTCTTGCCTCATTACTATTCATATCTACTTGGTGGTTTCCCCAGTTTGAATCGACCCAATGTCGAAGGAAGAATGATGGATTTAGTACGCATTCGAACATGTATTTGATTCCATACCTTCGAGACTCGTGTTCAGAATGTTCATGGTTGCTATGTGGACTCGTAAGATTTGATATGGATGACCCGGTGATCGCAAATTGATTTTCAGAAGCATCTAACAGATGCACCTAACCTTGCTCGATAACAGTTTGTTTCGCCGGTTTATTTTCTGTTTGAAACAAGTGGGGAAAAATAAACCGTTAGAGTTATGGAGTGGGAGTTTATTTACCAATTTATTTCATATGTGAAGATGTTGGAGTAGATTGTGTGTGACTGTGTGTCGAAGTGCAAAGATTACCGGCAAAAACATACCGTTACTGGAATGAAGATGAACAGCAGAAGCTCTCACTTCATGGAACCATGTCTCTGTTCTGCAAATGGTCCATCTACCGTACCTACCGCTGCATCTGTCTTGTCGGCTGTGACCAAAGTGATGGCTGCTCCGTTGGCGTTGACGTTGCAGTGGTGCGGCAGTCTCGGCAAGTCAGTCAGCTGCTCGTATTTCACTCTCCGTGACAGGAACAGCTTACAAACCTTATCACAGTCCATTTCGTCCTCCACGCTCAAAAAATTTATTGAGTAGCGAATGCTGCCTGCTTTGGACTGTGCAGCCTTACTAGATAGTCACATGACTCAGTACTCATCTCCGAAATCTCCACTAGTCTCGACAGTACATTCATGCACCATGTGCTGAGAACAAGCACGAGAAGGTGAGGGATCGCATTCGGAATGACATGCATGAGAGACTTGTGCATGCTCTGCATCATTAACATGTCAATCTGATTTACTAGTGAGTGCGCCGGTATCTCACCTTATCGGCATTGGGCATACCATTTCCAGACCGGCCGGTGTACCTTTTGGTAGTAGTAGGCGGCCTTAAAGAAGTACTCTTTGCAGGGTCTCAGTGCGCCCCACATGCTTCTCTTCACGATGGCGCGGTCTATCATCGTAATGAAATCGATGAATTCATTGATTCATCTCGCATCTGCTCGTGCATACTTGGATCTGCCATGCACCTGTAGATGCGGCGCATGGCAGTACTTTCGGCAAATACGGGGTGCAGTAAGTAGTAGGGTGCAGTTCCCTTTGTTGCACTTCTCTTTCCCTCGCCGGCATTGCTTATTTTAGAGCGATCTTTTCTTCCAATTGCCTTTGCCACGGGTCTCGATACGCCGCGTGCCACATGGGTCCTTCATACCACATGAGCGCTTGATAACACGTTATAAGAATCACTGACCCAGTGAATTTCGTCGTCTTGTTGCCCGCTACATCTTTTAACCACCATGTCTGACGGGCAAGCAGAAGTCGAGAAACTTGGCGGCAGTAGCAGCGAGGACTCTGGTTCTCAGCGCGCAGAAATCTTTGAACGTCCGGCAGGATGGAGGGGTGTCTACTACCACCCCATCACACAGGTTTCGATGTTGGGATTCGTGTGTTTCATGTGCCCCGGCATGTTTAACGCAGTTACTGGTCTCGGAGGTGGAGGCCAAGTTAGCACTACGGACTCGTCCAACTCTAACGCAGCCGTGTACGCGACTCTTGCGTTTTTTGGGTTCTTTGCCGGGTAAGGCAAACTCATCACTGTCACTTTTGTTTATAGCTAATAATAATAATTGTTGCAGTTCGGTTAACAATGTGCTTGGTCCTCGACGGACTCTGATGCTTGGCACCTGGGGCTACTCGTTGTATATTGCTTCCTTCCTGTAAGATGCCTTGCTATTCGATCAATACTTATTCTCAAACATTTCCTTTAGCGCTGTCAACATTCATCCTGGTGCGGGTAATTTTGTTGTTGCAGCCGGCGCCATCCTCGGCGCCTGTGCGGCCTTTCTTTGGACCGCGCAGGGCTCGCTGATGATGTCATACCCCACCGAGGCTCAGAAAGGCATGTTCATCAGTATCTTTTGGGCCATCTTCAACCTTGGAGGGGTTGTCGGGTCTGCTGTTGCGTTTGGAAACAATTTCAAGAGTACGGTGGGTGAAGCATTACATTTGTGAATCTGTGGATGCTCATACTATCTTCCACTGTAAGGCTAACAGCGGTAAGGGGTACAATATTGCTATCTCAGTGCGGAACTGACTAATTCTGTTGTGTCCAGTTGGCAATGGAACATATGCAAGTCATTAGATCGGTTATTGCTAACATAAATTGACGGTTCATTAGATTGGCTTCTTGATTCTGACTCTCATCGGCGTATTTCTCCCGCTGCTTATGGCGGACCCAGACAAAATGATCCGCACGGACGGAACTCGCGTGAACGAGGTCCGCCACCCATCCTGGAAGACGGAGTTTTTTAGCCTCTTCATAGCCCTGAAGACTGACCCCTGGATTATACTCCTCTTTCCGATGTTCATTGCCAGCAATTACTTCTACACTTGGCGTTCGTATATTTCTTCTTAGGATCAGTGTGGTTACTGATAAGTTATGCAGAATTCAATGATTACAACGGCGGATTATTCACCATTCGTGCTCGGGGTCTCAACAACTTTATGTACTGGACATCACAGATCTTTGGATCCATCTTCATTGGTTACTTTATCCTTGACCAGAAGAAGGTCCGGCGCAGAGTCCGTGCCTTCTGTGGCTGGATCCTCGTGTTCTTCATGATTTTCGTCGTCCACGTCTGGGCATACTTTTACCAAAAGTAAGTCATCTTTCCGCCCTGCACGTCCAAATTCACATTAATGCGATCCTTAGGACATATACCCGGCCTGAGGAGACTGCGCGAGGTGCTTACAAAATCGATATCTATGACTCAAACTACGCTGCCCATGTCTGGCTCATGATCTTCTATGGCTTCCTGGATTCAATGTGGCAGACATATGCATACTGGCTGATGGGCGCAATGTCGAACGATCCTGCCAAGCTGGCCGTGTTCGCTGGCTTCTGTGCGTATTGACCTTGAATCAGAAGTACGAGTTCGATACTGATCAAGAACCCACATAGACAAGTCCCTACAATCAGCGGGTGCAGCGAGTGTCTGGGCTGCTGATGGTGCTAGTGCCCCGTAAGTGTATCATCCCCATTTTGCGAACAAACCGCTAGATCGATGTTTTCAGATACATGAACATTTTCTTGTCAACGTGGTGTCTCACAGTCGCTGGCATGATCTTTGCCGCACCGATGGTGTACGTTCGCGTCACTGACCACACGGAGATTGAGGATGAGGTTCTGTGAGTGTCTATGATGACTGATGGACCTGTCACTGGTGTTGACTTTTATGGCAGGATGCAAATTGAGGGCGTGGAACGGATCGAGCCCCCAGTTGTTACGACGGCGGAGAGGGCGTAATATCATGACACTAATGTACTGGTCACGAACAGCTCTATGTGTTGATTATTTTCTTTTGGTTTTCATGGTAAGGTACTTAACGATCAACAACTTGTCTTTAGTTTGCTGCACACTTAATGGTGATTCTGCTGTCATCTCAAGTTGAAGGTTCAGGTCATCCCGTCGTACCGAGATGTTGGTTCCTAGAGACGGTGTGACATTAATGTTGTCCCGTGAAAACTTCGGACACGCAGCTAAGTGAGAACTCTTCATCACACTTACATGGCACCGTGTGATTGCGCGGATAAAATAATCGATTTGTAATGCTCCAATGTTACAAGTCGTAAAAACTTCCGTCTATGGCTATCATATGTACATGACCAAGTTATGGTGCTCATCCCATCATTCAGGTGTCAACACTACTTCAACAACCACCCATATCTCGGTGCGCCTGAAGTGAAAAATAAAAACAGAAGTTCAATGCCAAAGCCCAGAGGAATCAATGCAGGGGGGGAATCAACAAGCTTTAAGCTCGCATTTTGTTACCCCCCAACCTTAGTGCCCAAGTACCCCTCGCCCTCCGCGCCATCTCCTTCGCCCTCCTCCCCAGGCTCCTCCCCGTCCTCGTCGATAACCCTCCCTTCCTCTTCCTCACCTCGCCGATCGTCGTCACGCTGCATCTCGTCCCGCATTACCGCCACGTCCTGGTCAACCTTGGGGACGACTCTGTCAATCCCGGCCTCCGCAAGGGAGACGTGCATGCGGTTCTTGGCAAGATGGGCGGAGCGCTTCGGGGGGCGCTTGAGCCTGCGGCGGGCAACCATGACCGGCACGGAGCATCGCTGATATAGTGTCAGGATGATATTCTCAGGAGGGCTATGAAAAGACTTACTTGAATGAGATAGTGTGATGTTGAGCCTAGGAGAATGCTATGGGGAGAGTGACATTGGTTTAGTGGCGTGATGCAGACAGCATCATGTGCACTTACCCTTTAATCTGACCCAAGCCTCTGGACCCCACAATCAGCATCGTGGGTTCGTTATAGTCAACAATATCAAGAAGCATGTGGCGTGCGTTTTTCGAGTGCCATGCTTGGCAGGAGACAGTCACGTTCAAGTGTGTGCGTTGCAAGAGCGATGTTGCTTGACGGACGAGGATGTAAGCAAGGCCTTGGCGCTATGCACCGACGTGAGTTCGCAATGAATTTGATAAGAGGGCTATCTTACTTCCTGTTGAGAACGAAGTCTGATGGCGCGGTCCACTTGGTTAGGGATCGGCGGGTCAACTGCAGCATGTAAATCAAAACAAGATACGAGTACATATCAAGGTGCCATTACCTTTACCCTCGTTCTCGACAACTGTAACAATGAGCCTGTACCAAAAATTTGACAGTGCACTACGACAAGGGTGAGAACACTTACAGATGATCGCCGTCTCGAATCACTGTGCCGATACCCCACTCAACTGCATAACGACTCTCCTCGCTGAGGTCACTAGCAACAATGTACATCCGCCTCCGCCTTCCTGATGCCTCTGGATCGCCTTGAGTCATAGTGATCGTGCACCTATCACGCTGGAATAGTGGACGAGCAGTCTTCAAAGGAAGTGTTTCATGGTGCCGGGACTTCTTTCGCTTAGGGCCCCCACGCTTGCCTTTGATTGAGGTGAAGCTCGACCGGTTCAGAGTAGAAGGAAAATAAGGTTCGGGTGGCACCACAACATTGACACCTTCACCCAATGGGTCAGGATCCATAGTGACGTCGTCTGGGTCTAGCTCTCCCATTGGCATCTCATGAGCGGCAATAAGCGCATTCTGCTCCGTGTTCCTCTCGGTGACGAAATCAAACATGCCCGCGCCGTCATCGCTCCATTCGTCTTCTTCATCTTCCGTTTCTTCTCCAGCGTACTCTGAACCTGAATCCAGATCTTCTGTGAAAGCATTGCGAGGTCGGACGGCAAGTGTGCGTCGTGAATTGACGGAGTCACAGTCCGAGTCCTCGAGAGGAAGAGGAGCAGGAGATGCATCACGATCGCGGGGACGGAAACGGCGTAGACTGAAGGGAGATGACGAGCGAGCACGAATGGATTCCTTGGAAGCTACGGATGCTGTATCCTTATCTTTGTCCTTGTCTCTTGTATAAGACGGGAGTACAAAAGACGAGGCGCGAGGTTTGCGTTTGCGTCCGCGAGTTTCTTTGTCTTTGTCCTTATCTTCATTCGTTGTCGTGCGAGATAAAGAGAGCGCGGAAAGACCCCCCATCATGGAATTAAAAGATATCTTCCCGAAGGATCCGGGGGTGCGAGATGTCAGTTCAGGTGATTTCACGGCAGGTGCTAATGAGGGCGATATAGTAGAAGACGACGATGCGGCATTCTGTGACGAGGTCTGTTCATACTGCTGTAGATGAGAAACAGAGGAGTGAGGAGATGAATGCAAGGAAAGCAAATGAGATAAGGAGGAAATGGAGCTGCGTCTCGGTGTGCTAGGCCGCGAAGTCTTTGAGCTTGACTCACAGCGCGAAACACTCGCACCTGGGTCTGCAGAATGGAAGGTCTGTTCGTTTTGCTCGCATTCTTCTCTGGAAGACGCCAACCCCGTGTCCAAGTGAAGGCTCGGTCTGGGCACTTCCTTGGCACCATCCTTCTGCGGACCGTACCACGCTAGCCAGCGTCTCGGACGCACGCTAGGCTCGGCAGTGGCAGACATGATAACCAAGACAAGAAAGCAGCGACCGAAATGGTTCGAATCAAACAAAGGGTGGCGCTTACCTGAGTCGCAAGGAATTTCCTGAGATTGGTGGCTGCGTCGTTCGAGACTGATGACTAGAAAAGGCGAGAGGTTCGCGGAGCAAGATTAGAGGTGAAATGCACGCGAGAGCATTACAGTGTCTTGGCTGACACGCCCATCACTCACTTTTGCTTCTTTTCCCCCGTTCATCCTTGTTCCTGCTCTAGTCTCGCCTAGAGCCTAATATCGGGTTAGATCTACAGATAGACTGTACCTTCGAGTTTTTGGCACACCTGTTGTATTCCTCGTTGGTTGCTGTTATGGTCGTCCTATTGTTTGCTATCACTGGGCAGTGCAAAGGGGATGCCTAAATCAGTAAACCCTAACACACGTGGCTTTCCCGATTCATATACGGACCCATGACACAACTATTTATTGTACTCGTTGCGAGGACCTCTCTGCTACGACACGACTACTTAATGTATGCATTGTGAGGACATTACTGCTTTTGCTCATTCCTTATAGGCTTGCGTTGGCAACCGTCCCAAAAACTTCTTCTAAGAATGCATCCGAGTTCGGCGGTCGACCCAGGAAATCCTATTGCATCACGTGAGCCACTGTCCTCAGATTGAATTGCGAAGATATGACGCACCTCAAGCGAGTCCGTTTCATCCCGACTACCTCCCACCAGGAGAATCTTATCCCTGTAAAGCTTGCCCAAAGCAGGGTTCAATGGATCCCTCTTGAAAATTGTCGTATACATGTCCGCAGCAAACACGAGGGAGTACGTGTACCTGGTTATCACGTTTGTCCGAAGTGTCGGTCTCAGTCGGTGGCCCATCAAAATACAATTGCATGACTCACCCATAATACCCTGCATCATAACCACCGACGATATGGCCAAAGGTGCCTTGTCCTGGCTGGGCTTTGCCCCCTTTCACGAGCGAAATCGATTCACGCAGGTCATTCCAGAGTTTGGTATAATCTGCCGCCTCTGTACAATATCCCGTCAGCCCTGCAAGCTAAAATAATAAAAACACATGCATCCAACCTTTATCGACGTGCACTTTGAGATCGAACTTGGCAAAGAACAGTTGCCGAAGGTAGAATAACCCAACGTTTACGTAGCGGCTGTGACACTGATCATGTTTCATTCTAGAAAACTGTAAGATGAAACACACCTCCTTATCAGCTTATCTATCAATTCCGGCGACAGCGGCTCCTGTGTCTTGTAGTGGCTAGACATTTTCTCGAGCACTTTGGGCTCCCAGCACCTGCTCCATGCCGTCAGCACTCTTCTGATAGCACATTCCTTCAGGATTGTCCAAAATACGCACCAATTTTCGAGCATTTGCGACGGCGCCTCAACAAAGTCTCTTGCCACGGATGTACCGTGGAATCGCGCGTACTTCGTCCGACTCAGTAATCCATGAAATACATGACCCATCTCATGGAAGAATGTTGTTACATCATCGTGTCGTATTAGAGCAGGCCGCTCGGGAGTTGGCTTTGCGAGATTCGCCACCATTGCCGTCAGGGGGTAGTGACGTTTTCCCGATGGTAACTCATAGCCAGGGAGAAGGCCCCATACAGCTGCGTGAGAATACTTTGCAGCTGGCAAATAGAACAAGGTTCAGCGAGGACAAATGAAATACAAATGAAGTATCACTCCCTTACCGCGGGGAAACAGATCAAGGTAGCAATATCCCACAAATGCGGATTCATCTTTGGCATCCTTTTCCCATACAGCGAACTGTTGTACTTCTAGAGCAAGAATTTAGACAGCTGAAAATTTGTCCAGTACGGTGGGTGCCACGTACCTGGATGCCAGACATCCTTGTTATCGTCCTTGATCTCAACGAACTTGACTCCAAGTAGGTCCTGATATATTTTCAAGATCGTGGGAACAACGACAGAGACTGGGAAATATTCCTTCACAAGAGATTCGTCGAGGTCGAGTGTCTTCTCGATATAGACGCGGTCATAGTACCTATCATGATACAAATGAGCGAGGTCCTATAGCATTGATGAACGCAGTGATTTACCTGTAGTCCCAGATGTAGAACTCGCCATCGAACGGAAGTCCGCGCTTCTCGTGTTCCTCTTTCTTGAGTTGAAGGAGAATCTCGCGCTCTTTCTCTCCGACAGGACGCAGCTTCGCCTCAAGGTTATCTAGGAACTAGGGTGCATATGTGTTGGTTTGACAGGAGTAATTAAAATTCTGTCAATCACTCACGTCCTGTGCGTTCTTACCAGACTTGACCATCTTCACTTCCGTGATGTAGTCTGCCCATGTGTCATAGCCAAGCATTGCGGCGATGCGCCGACGGATGTCAAGCGCCTTCTCAAGTAAAGGCACGTTTTGTTTGAGTCGGTCTTCGTATCCTTCTTGAGCACTACGCCGCGTGGCTGGATTATGCGCGAATTTGAACTGAAATATTACTCAGGTAAATCGACAGAAGCTCCTCATAATGCCACATACAATTGGGAAGATATCTGGCGTCTTGAAAGTGATATCATAGACTTCCTTTGAGCCCTCAGTGCGCTTGCCGTAACCCGAGATGACATCGCTCGGGACTCCATCCAACTCTTCGAGTGTGAAAGAGATGAGACCCTATGTATGTTTGAGTGGCCATTGTCACGAATCAAAGCAAACGAGTGATCTCACATCCTCTTCATTGAAGTTTTTCTACAAACCCTATTAGCATAACGCCTAAACACCGAAGAAACCATCCCTACATTGAAATCCAAGCAAGCTTGCGAGAGCTCCTTCTTCAACTTCATCAGCACCTCACGCTCCTTTTCAGGGAGCGCAAGACCAGCTCTCTTGCCATCCAATACCATCTTCTCTACGAGCCTACGCTGCTCGTCACTCAGCTTCTCCCATTCACCTGATTTGCGCAGATTTTTCTCTGCAGCGGCCTTGGCTTTGAATACGTCAAGACGCATGGACTCCTCGACATCGAAATCCCGCTGAAGAACTTCCGCTTGGTTCGAAGCATCTCGGAGTTCTTTGGAGGTGGAGACATTCTGGTAAAATCCGAGGGGCTCGCAGATGATGAGGACTTCTGCCTCTGCATTAGCAAGCGGTAACTAAAGTCGGATGCTTGTCTCAAAATGCGATGACAACTGATCGGAAGCATCACTCACAAAAACCTGCGAGTCGAATGAGAGATGATCAGTCCGATGGTACGCGGGAGGCAGGTCACTTACGGTTTCGAAATTGCATTCCGCCTCCGGTAGAGCCGCGACTTGGTCACTAACGGCCTTATTCTGCGCAAGTGCCTGCTTGGTGACACTCAACACTTCTTCCGGGGTATCATTCCACTTAGGAGGAGCCTGTGGCGGAGTCAACGAAGCCATGATAGGATCACTTTCTAATAGCGAGAACGCAAAGCTAGATTTTGCGTGTGAGCTGCTGGAGAACGATCTCGAGGTCTGCAATCGTAAAAATCGGGTTCGCGAGCGGCTCTGGCGTAAGCCAATGGATGTCAAGGATAGAGATTGTATCCGTGTGGGGTATTTAAGCGCTGAATTGGGGCTATCAATTTGAGTATATGTCCTGTTAGTAGTTCCGCTAGTGTGTGTGACCGACCCAGTATATCTACCGGGATTATGTGCAAACTGCCAAAAGCGCGAGGATTCTGCGTTGCGTGATTCTGGGAGCCTGGGACGTGGCAGAAGACAAATAGACTTGGAAGACGCAGAGCTTGCACGGGCGATCATCAACCTTGTAAATTAACCTGGGTTTGAGCGGTAGAATGGACCCAATCAAATTATCCTTTGGCAGTTGCAGTTCACGTAGTACTAATTGAGTCCGACAGTGTTTTATAGTTCATCCAAATGGCGCTAATTATAACTGCAGACGCCTAAAATAAGAAATAGCTCTTCGATGGCTTTCAAAAGGGTGCGTAGTCGTAGATACTCGTGCTGTTATCCTGCACGATCAAATGATATATGTTAGAACAATATCACTTTAATTCGTCTCGAATTGTGAGTTCAGCCAACGAACTTCGGGAACGTTCTTCGGCAGCTGACCCAATGAAAAACACACCACCTTGCTTGCAAGGTCATATGTATGCTATGTCAAAAGTTCTGCGGACATGAACAAACACGAACCAGTTTCTCTCGCCATTCTGAACTTCGCACTCATTCCAGATACATTGTCAATCTTGACACTGCCATTCATATCTCAAGGTTTAATATCAGATTGTCTTCTTATTTTCTTTGTGGTCGTGATGAGTCTCTTTTCCGCAGCATCTCCTTACAAATAACGGTCGGAAATTTCCGATGCACGTGAACGTATGACCAGAGGTAGTGTTGTTGGCAATACTGCGCCATTGCGCCGCGCCAGTTTTGCCACTCTGGCAATTACCGGCGAACTCGGAGGGGTCTGTGGCAAAACTTGGCACATCTAGTAGTAGGTGGAGGCTAACTCAGACAATCTGTGACAGATTTTCTTCACAGATTCGCCATCAATCTGCCGCTCAGATCAGTAATACTAAGTCTATCTCTATGTTTTTACCGTGTGTTGAATTGTATCGTTTGTACCATCCCGTCGTCCATACTCCCTGCACTTCAGAGATCTTAAAATGTCTGACGAAAAGCATCCTGGTGGCCGCCCACCAGCTAGAATCATCACCGATAACTCCACGGAACTCGAGCGAGTCAATAACAAGTCTCGCCGAAAATTCTGGAAGTGCAATTATTGCACTCCAACCAGTGGCAGTGGTCAACGCATCGAAGGCCGAGATAACTGCTGTCTCTTACACCTCACAAACCCAAAAGAGTGCCCGGATGCTCCATCATCCACTCGCAACGAAGCTCGCAAGGTCTTAATGCAGAAAGGTGCTGCAATTGGCCAGACAGAAGCACCACTTTTCCATGACACATCAGCTTCGGAAGGAATTGTTCCCGCAGCTTTCGAAGATGACATTCAGCAGGTTGGATCTGACTCGGAGGATGGTTTGTCTTGGGATGTGCAGTCTCTGTTGACTATGAAGGGTGTCTCGTCGATGTAATAATAAGTAGTATTATGCAACGTTGATGTGACGTGTCTGGGAGTTTTGCCAAGTTTTGCCGGTGCACCAAGTGCCAGTTGTGCCGGCACTTGGTCACAACTCAGCCCAAAGTAGTTTTGCCCCCTGCACTAACCAGAGGTCATCGTGGTCGTCGGGTAGTGACTGGCGAACCAGAACCATGTTGAAATTTGACTCAACACCACAAACAGCACGCGCGAAGACGAGAAACGACATAATCTTATCTCAAATATGATTGAGCAAAAACACGATGGGTTTCGACGCGAGATGTGCATTAAGCAATAGAGAAAAAAAGGGAGTGAATCACAACACTTGCAAATAAAGCCAAGTCATCATGATCGCTGGCGACGGTGCCTAGTGACAGATCAGTGCAAAACTCCTGCAGGGATTAGGGATTGTTGACTCAGTGACTGTATTGCATGCTATCACTCTTATAAATCTCGACTACAAGAATCAAAAGAAATTAACTGGTGTGCGTTGGTCAACCCACCATCTTGTATTAACAATGTCAAGCTCGGTGTGGAGTAGGTCGAAGGACCGAGTAGAAGGACGGCTCTAAGCCTCTATCCCGTTCGGTCCCGCCCGCCAGGACAAACTAGTACTTTCACGTTGCGCGCGGCGCGTGCAGATCCGACTCGGAGTACTTTTAAAAAAACCCTATTAAATGTCTTCTTGGAGCGAAGCCCGATGTAGACAGTACATGCGATATACTAGTGTCGTTGGTAACATTGGCATAATTATGAACCATAGACTCTCTTGGAGTACTTACTGCACTAGTACTTGCCAGTGGTGAACACCAAACTTACATCAGTTGCGTTTTGTGTGCTCCCCTGGGACCCTGTCGGAACGCGATGGCGTTCGAAGACCGATATACTCGCGGAATTTGTCACCCCTGGCCTTCAAGGATTGTGGGCGTGTTTTAACTACCGACATTTCAATAGCGCGAATGTTACAATGAGGCAGCTAATAGCTGCTTACCTACAATGTGTCGTGATGGTATAAAGTTCGAGCCAAACCTTCGTTTATATGACTTTATTCGTATCCGAGTCCCTTGATTAAGATGTCGCCATCCAGCAGCTACTAGCTATACATTTTGTAATAATAATATAGCCACTTGTAGAAAGTACTAGCCTATAGGCCAGATTATCACGTTGAAACTTTGAATCACAATGTCTGGTACTACGAATTTCTGGAGGGCTGCTCGATTCATTCAGTTTGCGTTCACTCGGGATCCAAGCACGCTCGTCGCCAAACCTTAGACTCGTACTTAGACCTTACGGTGCGCAGCACCCAAATTTGGTGCAGTAAATTTAGCAAGTCTACAAGCAGTCTTAAGGCACATCCTAAACTTCAGCAAGACCCTATCTAAACTTTGTTATGTGATCAATTGATTCCGTTTCTGAGTGAGAGATGGCTACATATGATATACTCTATGGACAGGGTCAGAAAAGGGTTCAGGAATATGTTAAGTATGGGTTGGGTTAGGCCCGCCGATTCAGGGTTCTACTAACTGTTAGTGGAGTTCGTGGTACACTCGGTTCCTTCGAACAACTTCAACCCCTGAGGCTTGAGCCACGGACACCATCCTAGCTCTACTCAACACGTTCGCTTCAGCTTAATGTCGCGGCCATCGTTGAGCGGTACGCCGATATGTAATTCGCGTATCCCTACTACTCGCATACCTCACTCCCCCACTACCTTCAGCTTTGTCGGTTCGATCTTCTCCTCTGAGTTATTACGTCTTTCGACATGTTGATTCCTTTATGAACACTTTGTAATCTACCCAATACTATCATATTCACGCCATTCAATTTTTTATTTCAACAGCGACTTAACCCTATTGCAGCGGCGCCACGTCACCCAAAAATTCAGTGGCAGTGACAATCCACAGGCAATGGACACACAGAGTGCCGTGATCTCAAGGTTACGTCGGGCATCATGAATTATGATGCACTGCAGCGCCAGCGCCCCAATCGAAGAACCGTATCGTTCAGGAGTGATAGTACTTACTGATTTGAATGGTTTTTCCGACCAAGACATACTTTCAAGGAATCTATAATGCATGTAAATGAGTCGTCCTGACAGGACGTGACATCGCAGGATGTCGCGAGCGCTTGGAGTCTCGAACTTGAAAGCCTGACATATGGTGACGTTGCACCCGGCTGATCGGGCATTGATGCAGATGTCATCATGATTGTGTATCTACTATCCGCTCGTAGTGGTACTATCAGTACGCCTAACTGTAGTTTGCAGAAGCCCTTCAATATGTAGTACATTGTTCGGAAAGCTAGATACTGACCGAATATCGGTTCTTATAAACGATAAATTAGGACCGCCGGATTGACGGGAATGGAAGTACTAGTAAGCGGTAGTCTATAGTAAGTAACAGCAAGCCTGTTGGACACACCTGAATTCAGGGAATTCTTTTAAACTTTGCAATATACATGTTGATCGCCTCCGAAGTTGACTAACAAACTCGGAGTCTAACCATCCGATGAGTCATAGGTAACTGGGTCGAGCTGACCTACTGAATCCAGTCTTGCAGTGTCCGACGTTAGTCACCTGGATGAGCCTCCTCAGAGAAGTGGCTAATTAATGGTTTTTTTCAATTTGGCCAGCATGTGCGATCACGGTATTAGTAGCGCGTGACATGCTTACATAATACCTCCATATGGCATAGAAATTGAATTGAACCCTATTTCAATTTGGCCTGCTATGGGCATCTCCGACGCCTTTGCCTGTACCATGCACTATTATGCGAATGAACAATTTAATCGAACTTCACGTTATATATAACACCGCGTCGAGATGATGATCCTCTCATTCGTGCGTATTTCTTAAACCCTTCATTCAATCTGCGGTTCACTACGCATGATGAACTCCCCCTCTCTTACTGAAGTAGAGAATCTCGTTGTTATTTACCTGGGTTTCGCGTTTGCGACATTCCTATACGGCTTGACGTTCTTTCGTGAGTATTTTATGGTCTCTTATTAGATTTGTCTTATGTCGTCTAATCGTTGCAGAGACCTACATATATTTTTCTCGATACTCGAATGATCATACATGGACAAAAGTCTTGGTATAGTTTTCCTTCCCTATTTGTCGAGTGTGCGTCTGACATCCCCACTCTCTCGCAGGTTGGGGCACTATTGTAATGTATTCCAACTTCAAACTTGAATTACGCCTTACACATATCCAGTGTCCTTGATACCGCTTCAGCTGGTCTAGGTGCGATCACTTTCACCCATGTTTTATGTCCTCCTGACTTAGATTCATAGTATCTGACCTGTAGGAGCTTTGTCTCCATTTACTCCAATCTCTAACGTATCTGAACAGAGTATACGACTACTTGATAACAATGTTCGAGGTGCGCATGGAGGTCATATATGCAACTCCGTAAGTGTCAGTCGTGAAATGCGTTACGGACCTTTATAACCATACTTCCAGAGCTTTTTGCGTAAGTAAATTTGGCATATGGATGCCCTTGACTGCTTCTCACTGTCTTCCGTATCAAGATACAATATCTTCTTTCGGTGAGTCAACTCAGCGCTGGCTTTCGGCGTACCTCACAGCATTACTCTAGGTCATTATCACACTGATCGCGCAGTTGTAAGGGCACCATCATAGATATAATATGTGACATCTCTTACCCCCCCCCTCCCCCCCTCAGATTCTTCGCCAGACGACTTTATACCGGTGAGTCAAGAGTTTCGTGTATTCATGTCAATCTCATTGCTTGATAGTTTGTTGTGGTCCTACGAGAATCACTTCGAGATCCGTCAGCGTGGTAGTGGTACGCATTTTGTAACCACACTCAGTCACTTCTACTGACTCCGTCGCAGCTCTTTTGTGCCTTCATCGCCTTTGGTTAGTGTCCTTTCCCGCGTGCACAAACCTTGCCTGACATAGATTCTGATTACAGTTTTCGGCTTGAGTTAGTATGTATTATATTCAATTGAATCTTGCTGACGGAAGTGCAGTTTCAGTAGGGCAATTGTGAGCGGATATTCTACGAGTGATCCTGGATGTCGTCACTGATTCTTGTTCATGTATCAGCTTCCAACAAAGGCAGCTATCCGCATTCGCTTTGCCTCCTATGGCAGTGAGTGTTTTGGCTGATTTGTTGCATCGGGAAAATGTTCACCCGGAATTACAGATTGTCGCTGGCATCAGCCAAGGCTTCGCAACAATAGCAAACATCATCATTTTCATTGCAATGTATTGGTCATTGCGTCCAGCACGTTATCCAGACATTCCCCTGTCAGTGTTTCGTATTGTGAGATACAGGCAGCTGCTGACGCATTGTTTTCAGGCCTAAGGGAGCGTTTGACAACCTTTCCATGTTGTTTGCTGGCCGTGGTCTGGCACTCATGTAAGTTTACTTCGTGACGGTCTTTGCAGCCTAACCATGCTTCTATTGGTCAGCGTCATTCAAATGGCGTATTTTGGCACAGTACGTGGATACCTAGCAATCATAGCTTCATAACTCATATGTATAGTTCGTTGCTTCACCAGGGAAACCATACTGGGTAGCAGTCCAGATGGTAACACCCAAGGGTGAGTTTTTGTCACCCACTTCCCTCACGCACAGGCTCATGGCAGGTCATAGTTTACGCCAATACTGTCTTGGGACTGTAAGTCATTCACCTAACATCTCATTAGACACCGTGTTCCTATTTTTTTCTCAGCTTGAACGCCCGGGAAGTCAAACGCGGCGTCGGTCTCAATGAAGAAGAAACCTTGTCTGATCGACACGATTCCCGAGACGATGGTTTACCAAGCGCGCTCCAATTCCGCAGCACAAAGGCGGTGAGTCACGCGCCTTAAGACTCAATCATCTGGCATTGACATCAAGCTAACGTATTATCAGACACAACAGTCATTGAGCTTTTCGCAAGAGGCAGAAAACAGCAGAAGTAGCGAAATCGAAGCAATAAGCAAATCATTTTCTGATGACCAGAACTTGGTGTGTTCATGTGATATGATGTTGAAAATGTCCCCTGATCTGACGGGTTTATGCAGGAGTCCATTCGTTCTCGTTGTAGCGATCAACTTGCATATGACAAGGCAAGTTTGTCGTGATGCGGAATTTGCGATTCGCTGGTTGCATGCCTATTAATACCAATATCAATATCATTGTACTAATCGTCGCTATCGTCGCTCTCGCATTTGCTTTCCTTGCTTTCGCCCTCACTTGTATTATATTGCCGTCGATGTCACAGTCGAGGCAGTGCATAACCCACATTAGTCCCTGCCTCTTGAAGTAGCTCGGACTTGGAAGATACATTATATCACGGACTCACGAATAACATAGCATAATCGCACACATTGTACATACTATCTACATTCCAAAACAATTATTTTGGGAA